AGTATCGTACTAGTATAAACCAGCCATGCTCCGGCTGCCGCCGGAGCGCAAGGCTGTTGGGCCGGGGCAAGACTGTTTGCCGATCGGACCACAACCCCGCGGGCCTATGCACAACGAAACATATTGCGCCGCGCCAGCCCGCAGGACCACTTGCGCGCTTCCCGCGCCTGTGGGCGCTCTGCGCAGGGAGCAGCTGCAAAGAACACCGGGGGCGAACAGAAGCCGCCCGGCGGGAGAGGGTAGCGCGAGAGGGTGGCGCGAGAGGGTGCGCGAGAGGGTGGCGCGAGAGGGTGGCGCGAGAGGGTGCGCGAGAGGGTGGCGCGAGAGGGTGGCGCGAGAGGGTGCGCGAGAGGGTGGCGCGGCAAGGCGCCGAACAAAACAGCTCCGCGAATGGCCTGCAGTGCCAAATATGGGTAGTGCCATGCGGATTCGCGCCCGCTTCTTTGTGTTTTACCCTCTCGCAGACCTCTCGCAGAGCCTCTCTTTGACCTCTTTTGGGGGTCCCCGCTAATAATCCGGCTATACTCGCTGGTAGAGGTCGACAGAGGTGGCCGAGAGGTGGCCAAGAGGGTCCGCGAGAGGTCGCCCCTTATTCGCGCCACCTCTCGCCACCTCTGTCGACCTCTCGCGCCCCCTCTTTTTGACCTCTCTGCGCCCTCTGTGCCACTTAGGCGGCGCCTAAGGGTGGGCCCTTACTGCGGGCCTTATTCGCGCACCCTCTCGCGGACCCTCTCGAACGGGGTTCCGCGCCACCTCTCCACCTCTGTCGACCTCATTTCTACCTCTGTCGACCTCTTTTTTACCTCTCGGCCACCTCTCTGGGACCCTCTGTCTACCTCTTTTTTCGCATTAATATAATGTATAAGTAATCGCATGACAAATTAGCTCAGCATGACAAATGGGATTTGTCATGCTGTTTTACCTTGGGATGAAGATTTGTAATGCATGACTGCGATTACTACGAGTGCGATACTTTTGCACAGGATATACCAGTTAAAAGCGCAAAACTCAGGCTGCGGGTCCACCTGGTCGCACCGTTTTTTCCTTTTGCACTCGTACGCCAGCGACTTGTCCCGGTTGATGAAGACCCCCCGGCAAAATTTGTTTTGCGTAGTGTCCCACGGGTTGATAAGTTTCGGGGCATCCGCGTCAGACAGTGCTAGTTCTCTGGTTTGATGTTTCTTGGAAAGCAGTGTGGCGGGCGCAGCTTCTTCTGTAATTCCTCCATCTTCCGTGGAGCTTCCAGTCGTCGTTTCTGTTTTGCTCGAAGCAGAGCCTCCTCCCCTCCCCCGTAAAAAACACTTTTGCAATGTCCCGATTACATCTTGACTCTGCCGGATCGCCAAACCCCCCGAATCGCCACTATCATCCTCACAGAAATATTCGTTTTGCACGGCTTCTAAATCCGCGAACAAATCGTCGATCAACTGCCCCTTCCAGGATTCCACCTTGGCGATGAACTTGTCTTGCTGTTTCGGCGTAGCTAAATGTTCTTTCTCCACAATCTCCTCCCCCTCTTTTTCCACTTCCTTCTCCGCCGGACCGCGGTTCAATAGCTCCTGGTACGCGAGTTCCAACTTCTCCTGGTAAGACAAAGTCGAAGTGGTGGTCGTGGTAGTTGTCGTGGTTGTTGTGTTCATCTGTAGTTCCGCGTCCAGCATTTCCGACGGGTCTTTGATCTCCCTGGGCGTGGTATCGCAAGAAAAAACTGCTTCACTGTAAACTTGTAAAAATGCAGAAAATGCATCGCAGCAGTGTTTGTGTTGCTACACATGTTGCAAGACAAGTGATTTTTAGCCGTGTTTTCCCTTGGCATCCTCGCATGGCAAGTTTTCTTCGTCACGTGTAACGAACTTGTGATGCAAAACTTGCAAAATCATCACAGTGAAACACTGTTTTCGTACGATACGTGGCCAAGGACTCCGTTCCTTCCTCCGTTGTTTTCCGTACCAAAAACCACTTCTGCTTGCAGTCCGGCTGCTGCGCCCCGTATTCTAATTCGTACATCGCGCACTTCTTTATCCCTGGGGAGACAACCTCATCCAGTCCGTTTCCGCACTTGTAGCCGAGGGTCTTTTCTGGATTGACGAAAACCCCGCTGCAACCACTCTCGTCCAATAGACATTCGTGCATGAGAGCGCGAATGTTGGTAAAGAGGCTGGGGGCTGTACTGCCGAAGACAAAAGGCTTTTCGCAGTAGTATTCGCCCGTACTCGCGCCGGTGATGTTCAGTAAAGTTTCCACGTTGGCGAAGGAGGGAAGCTTGGAGGTTAAGTTGTTTGCCGTCACTGTGACGTTGATTTGCTGCTGGGGAGAAATACTGGGAGAACTGTCAGGATCGGAGTCAGCTTCTGATGCTTCATCTGGAGACGCTTTATTTTCTGCCGGTTCTGTTCCAGCTTCCGCCGGTTCCTCTCCCGCCGCAGCGGGCGGGTCTTGCTTGCTCTTCTGGAGTTGCAGAAGTTTCGTGTTTGCTAATGTTCTACTTGATTTTCGTGTAGTTCTCTTTTTCCTTTCTAACTTTATCGCCTCTTCCCTATCTGCCTGCAGCAAGCTCAGCAATTCCTTTCTCCTTTTTTCCAAAGTGGCCACTTGGAACCGCAATGTCTCGGTTTTGTTTTGTTGGGCTGCTCCTCCTTGGGCGTCTGTAGGTGACTGTTGATCTGTTTTAATATTTCCTGAAGTTTCGTCATTTTTCGAAGCTGCAATCGCGGCTTTCTCCGCCTTTTCCCTCCTCTCCGCAGCGGCCTTTCTTGCGCTCTTCACAATGTCGTTCACCGCATCACGAAAACTGGCCCAGGCTTGCGACTTTTGCAACTCCTTTTCACTTTTTTTATTTGTCGCGAACCCCTTCGCGTCCGGGTCCGAGCCAGAGCCACTATCACCGTCCCCCATAGAACTCATCTGCTCCAACTGCCCCGCTAAATCCGGGTTATCGAGCATGATCCCCGGGAGAAGAGTATTCCAAAACTGGTACTGCGCGTTGTGCGGCTCGAGCTTCGTGCCCGTTTCGGTGTCCAGGAGCACTTGCAGGTTGTTTTCGTCGTAGTCCATGGTTAGAATGGTCGCTTGTTTACTATCTTTGAAAGTTATAGGAGGACCACCTGGGTCGTCGGACACCATCGTGAGGATTTTCGGGACTAAGAATTCGAAACCGCGGAATTGTTCGTTGAGATCCAGAGCCGTAGAGGTAGAAATTTTATCTCCGATATTTTGTCCTGGCTGTATCCTCTGCACCGCCGCCCGGAGAATGACCGTCAAGATGCTGCGCAACCGCGAGACGTGCAACACGATCTCGGTCGGGGGTTTATTTCCAGTAGTTGGTTCCGCGGTACTTCTTTGCCGATCAGTTTTTCTCGCGGCGAGTAAAGCAGTTGTTATCGGGTCGTCGGTACTCGAAGCCGATACGTCGCTTATCTCATCTCCTGCATCCTGCTCACCGGATATCGCTGTAGTTTCTGAATCTGAACCACTAGCACTCCTCGTCGCATTACTGACCGCCGCGGTTGAAGATGACGATGAGCTTTCGTTTCTTCCCATAAACCCGTGCTTTTTCAGATAGTCCTCCATTTTCGTGTAAAAAGGTTGGTACAGCTCCATCATTTTACTCCCAATGTTCCGCTCTCCCGCGACAATCATTTGGTGCCGGTGCCGGTACACATGCACGTTGATCACCCGGTGATCTGGGATCGCCGTCGCTTTCACGGCGGAAAGAACCGAGTTTCGCAGGTGCTCGTTGACGCACGTGTTGAACTGTTCCAGCTGAATCGCTTGCGTGAAAAGGGCTAGTTGCTGCGTAGAAGAAGATTCTGCTTTACTACTACCAGGAGCAGGCGGGAGATCACGACTGTTTTCTTCTACATCACCCCCTTCCAGGCTGTCCACATCATGATCCTCTTCTTCATCAAACCCCGTTATCCGGTAGCAAATGTCCACATCCAAATCCCGCCCAAAGCCGTCGTTCCCCAGCCCCACCCGCGCGAACGCCGACTCGATGGCCTGCGCGGTGAGTTGTGTGGCCGGAGCGGAGTTCGCGGTGGCACTCCCGTCGATTTTTCGGCTGTACCCGAATAAGGGGTTCGGGTACATAGAATCCGGCGTGGGAATCAAGCCTGTCAAAGCGTTGCTGCCGCTGAACGTACCGCTTCCGGGAGCGGTTAGTGTACTGGGGAACACCTGACTCGGGTACCAGTCGGTACCAACCGAAGTTAGTCGCGCTGGCAACCCTTGCACACCGGCGATACTGGGGGGTAAATCCGCGCGAATGGAATCATATGCACTGCAAAAGTATCGTACTAGTAGTAAGCGCAATACAAATTAACTCAGCATGACAAATGGAATTTGTCATGCTGTTTTGCCTTGTGATGGAGATTTGTAGTGCATGACTGCGATTACTACGAGTACGATACTTTTGCACAGGATAAGTCCCCGTCGGAGCTGCTGTACGCTTCTTCGGAAAAGGGGCCCGGGAGTTCGTCGAGATCGGCTTTGGAGGTGGAAACTGGGGAGAGAAGACCGTCGGTGAAATCGAAATCGGATTTTGAAGCGGTGGAGGATGAGCTAGAGCTTCTGCCTAAGCCTATCTCACTCCCAAATTGCGTTTGCATCTGCATCTGCAGAAATTGCAAGTACTCCGCGGGTGGTGGCTGGCCTGCAGCTGTCCCTGTTGCACCCACATCACTAGTATCTCCAGATGCGCCGGCCGACACCGACGCGTCATTTGGTGCTCCTGCACTGCCATCACCATCGCCACTGTTTGTTTTCTCCAGCGTCTCGCTTGCCACCACCGGCTCTTTGTCACCGTTGTCATTTTTGGACATCTCCACCCCACAAACCGCCTGACCAATGCGGATTCTAGGACCGCCGGGGTTGTTGAGGGTGCTACTACTTTTCGTGCTGCCTCTTGATGTGCTCCCACGAAACTCCTGTTGCCTCGCATCAAACATCTGCATCAAAGCTGCTGGCGCGCCAGCAGCTGGATCTTGTTGATTTGTTTCCGGGAACCCAAAACTCGTTTTCAAAACCGGTTTTGCCGGCTCCAGCTGCAACTATTGAGAGGAAAAATCCTCCCTCCCCATATCGAAAGTGTATGTTTCCGAAAATTTGTCTTGCTGATTTGAGACCACAAATCACGTCTGTCTTGCAAGAAGACAACTCTACAGGCTCTGCCGCATTATGCAGGCGGTTTGTGATGTTGTTGGGCCTACAGCATAGACGTTTCTCTTGCTAAGCGCCTAGGCCGAAACCTCTCTACTCAGGCTTCGCAGGAGCTTGTAGTCCTCTACTGCAAGACAAGCCTGATTTGTATACGCAAATCCAGCATCAGAAACTTCCGTTTGATATGGGGAGGGGGGATTTTTCCTTGTGATAGCAACCCTAACTTCTTCGACGGAGGTTTTTTACTTGCTGATCCGTTTTCGTTGTCCCCATTCCCCTTCTCCTGTTGCTCTTGGTAGTGCTGTGACAGAAACTTCTGCATCTCTTCCTGCTTTATTGCCCGATCGAAGTTCTTCTCCATAATGGATCGGTGATTCACGTATGCATTGCAAATATGTCAGTCTGGGTCTGGAAGAGAGCGCTTGTTTGGCATGCATGTTTTGCATGACCCATGATGTCTGTGATGCATGCCCTAGCATCACAGATGTTTTGAGGGCTTCCTCATCCCTAATCCGCATGACAAATGCCCTCGTCTACTCCGCGTAGCAAGAACAGGACTTCGCTTGCTGCTCATGCAATACAGTTGTTCTTTGGAATCGAAACGCAGCATCACAAGTTGTATCCTTCCAGACCCAGACATATTTGCAATGCATATCACGTGCGTGCTGTTGATTTGGTTTTCGTTTTGGGTAAAATCAATCATCAGATCCCCCGTGATTATGACCTGCAAAAGTATCGTATTCGTATAAATGCATTACAAATTTCCTCAGCATGAGAAATAAAATTTGTAATGCGGATCCGGATTTGCCTTGAGAACAAGATTTGTAATGCATGATTGCAATACGAGTGCGATACTTTTGCACAGGATAGTGATCTCGTCCGCACGATGTACGTCGTAGGAGCAGAAATCCACGATCGCACGGGGCTGTCGATTTGTAGCACTGCGCTGCATCGGTTCTCTCTGTACAAAAGCGTCCAACGCAAATTGCACCGCGAGAGAGATTATCAAATGTAAAAATGTCTGGGTCTGGAAAAGTGTAGACTTGTCATGCACATTTTCCATGACCCATGAGGTCTGGAATGCGGGACTTAGCATGACAGACTCTGCGGAGTCTCTGTCATGTCTATCCTGCATGAGAAACTCCCTTCCAACTTGGTCAAAAGTGTACAGCTTTTGGCACTCATGCAACAGAGATTTTTGCATGCTTCAGATTTACCATGACAAGTTGCAATCTTCCAGACATCCAGACATTTTTGCAATTCATAGAGATTTTTTCGCAGAAAATCCTCCTGTCGTTCGGTGCGTATCCTGATTAAAAACGTCCCCACACCAGAGTCAAGATGGGGACTTTGCAACACAAACCTAGGAGTTTTGGGAATCACGCATGACAAGTTTCAGTCCGTAAGGTAGTGCAAGTTAGCAAGGAAAGCCGCATCACAAATCGATCTGCTGATCCTGTTTACAGCATTACAAGTTCCCAAACACGATTGAAAATGCCTGTCATGGGGTTGCGCATCACAACTATTCCTGTCATGGCAAATCTGCATGACAACTCTGGGGTGGGGACGTTTTTACTCAGGATAGTGCGTCAGCGAGGTTCTGGATTTTCAGGGATAAAGCCCCCGTGAGCCGGTTTTTCCCGTCGTTTTTTGTGCATTGGTTCAGTTTCCTCTCCAGCGTAATAGCGATTCGGTCAATCGCGGCCTTGCGTTGGTTTTCCAGTCGTTCTTGCTCGGGGGTCAGGTAGTTGGTGGGGGTGATATTGTCCTGGTCTGACCCTGCCGGCGTCGCGCTCGTGCTTGTGGTAGGTGGTGGAGGGAAAAATATTTTCAACGACCGGGTGTCGTGTGGTGTTAGTGAGTCTTGCACTGACTTTGTCAACGCGCTTCAGGAAATAAGTACTTCAGCATGATAAAGGCGAAACCCAACTTCTCTTCTCCGCCGCACTGAATCTGCAAATTTTTGCAACACATGCAGGTGAAATATTAAACGTGCAACTAGTACTAACCCGCCTGTTGAACAAATTTTCCCATCCCATACAGGTGTCGTGAAATTCAACAGCAGTGCCTGCGCTGTCACCTGATCGGAGTTCACAGGCATTAACGGGAGCTGCACCGGATACTCCTTCGCTGTTGTTGACTTTTCTTCTCCTTGTGCACTGGTGTCACTTCCTCCCGCATCCTCTTTTTCACGTCCCAACATCTTCGTCCTCGTGGTCTCCTCTCGCAGATTCCGCAGTGCTTCGGTGAAGGAAAGGAGCGCTTGCGGTTCTTTATTCGGGTTAATATTTGGTACCGATGGTCGTACTCTTGATGCAACCTGCGAAGCAGTAGAATCTGATGCACCTTTCATCGATGCAGTATGAATTTCAGAAGCTTTATCCCCCACGCCCGCACTTGCTGGTATCGTGGTTTTCGTCCTCTTCGCAGCCAATTTTGCGCCTGCCTTCGGATCTGACACAGCAGCGTCCGTTGGTTGTGGTGGTATTTCGTTGCAAACAAACTCCCCTACCGGTGACACGGCGGAAGAATATGTGCTGTCTACCGACGTTTTTGAGCTGTTAGTAATCTTCTCTGCCGTTGCGTTAGTACTGTCGGTGTCGCCCGACGCGCTACCACCGGTACTGCTACCCAAAACATCAGTATTCTGTGGTTTAAAGCTGCTACGGTCGAAAAACTGTTGTCTTTTTCTCACCGCGTTTTCCTCCAATTTTGCGTTTACCAGCGCCGGTTGCATATCAAATGTAAAAATGTCTGGGCCTGGAAACTTGTGATGCTGGGTGGCGTCTCATGATGAGGCCACAAGTGCTGGCTCAGCATGACAAGTTTCTGAGCTTCTAGGTGTTGCCTACTTATTCTGCATGACAAACTGCGTTTCTGCATCACAGAAAAATGGAGCTCCTGGGTAACGTGCATGACAGACTTAAGAGTCATGCCAGACAAGCATGACAAACATGCACTCTTCCAGACCCAGACATTTTTGCATTTGATATTGCAACTTCTCGAACAACTCCTCATCCTCAGCACTCGCGGCTCCGTCTTGCGAGGAGTAGCTGAAGTCCATCCTTTCCTCCAGCTCGCAAGCGCTGCAGACCGCCGCGCTCTTCTGCCAACAAACGTTCTTCGCCCGTTCCGGGCGCAGGCCGCATATGAAATGTAAAAATGTCTGGGTCTGGAAGATTGCAACTTGTCATGCTAAATTTTTTTTTTTTTTGCTAGGCTTCTCGCGTGTCGATTTGAAATTCTTTTGATTTTTCTTTTGGTTTTCTTTTGATTTTTCTTTTGATTTTTCTTTTCATTTTTCTTTTGATTTTTCTTTTGATTTTTCTCTTGATTTTTCTCTTGATTTTTCTTTTAATTTTTCTTTTGATTTTTCTTTTTGTTGATATTTTCTTTTGATTTTTTGGTATTTCTTTTCGTTTTTCCTTTGTCTCGACACACAAAAAGCGGTGGGCGATTCACGAAGAAGTGCGCGGGTGTGCTCGGCGTTCCCGTGGCCTTAGGCCCTACCTTTTGGATAAAAGCTGCCGCTCCTCCTCCCCACGTCTCTTCCTTTCGCCATTGCCATCACTCCATTCATGGCCGACAGTTCCACTTCTCGCACGTCATCTGCATCCCTCCACAGAGATTTGTGAATCCTCTTCGGCCTGCGCAGTAGCAACGAAAAAGCAGTGTGCCAACCTGGCGGAGATTTACGCACTGACGCCTGCCCCCACATCTTGTTCTTGGAAGGATGTCCAATATTTACACTTACATCTTGATATCATGGAAAACATAGAGAAATCAACTATTTATTTCTATGTTGGTAAAAATGAAAGCGGAATAGAATAGAAAGCAAACTATACTACTTTGGTGCTGCAGGCAACTAATAGTTCTGAAGACAGGGCAGAAAAAAGCTCTTCTGTAGTGCAAGGAGGTCAGTACTAAGTAACTTTCCTACAAAATCCTTGGAAATTCAACTACTCAGGACTATATACGACTCATTTTTTTTGCTCAACAAGTACTACCTTTTCACTACTACCACCTCCTTTCTCCATCTCAGCCTGTCCCTGTTTTTATTTCTTTTTGAATGGAAAGTTACGAGCAACAGGCAAAAAAACGCCTGTATTTAGGACGAACAGCAAACTACGAACCTGTCTGCGAAGTTACCAGGTGCTACGATGACGAATTCACGAATGACGACTTATTTTCTTTCGCGCGACGATTAGGCTGAGGAATGGGTCTGCTTAAAAATACCAGGTCACTGTCCATGTGTTTACTAGTACCAGGGGACCAGGCAGCCACGTAGCTCATTAGGTACAAGGTTACTCTATGCCGCTGATTGGTACAGTTCTATTCTAAATCTTCAGCGATGAGCAAACGCTCCACCTAGGTCTGGCTTTATGGGGTTCCCTTTATATTGGTGCACGTTGCGGGCTTCGCAGCAGGGACCTGTTGTTTTATGCATTTTTGATTTTCATTGAGTTGTTTGCTCGAGGATGTTATCTGACTTAGCATCATGATCTCAACTACCATCTATATGTTCATCATACACAAGCAGGCACTAACAAAAAACACGAACCTCCGATCTGCAAATCTATTGCCATCAAATAGCTCCATAGTCATTATTTTTATATACCTGGTATCTTCCTTTCTTCACTTTCCCCCTCCTCAGCCCAGCTTTTCGCACGATGTAGTACTGGTCGTTTTTCTTTTTCTTTTGGGATCTCGTCGCTTCATAAACAAAAAGGAGAGGATTTGATTTGCAGAGAACCTGGGGAATTTAATTTTTTGTGACTCAAGGCATCTAGTGGCGCGTCAATCAAGATACTTCATCGGAATGGCATCAGTAAATACCTTCAAATTGCTCATTCTATTTAGTTTCTTATACACATTGTCGATCTTGGTGTGCTGCTTTGGAATTCGTTCCATTGTGTGCCCTATTTCATCGACACATCCCTTCACCCTATCTCGAAAGAACTCATGCGTTAACTTTGCCTCTTCGTCCACTATAAGACGCATGATTTTCTGCGGCTGTTTTAGTAAGCTGCGCCCGAACTTGTCATGCTAAATCTGCAGCATGCAAAAATCTGTGTTGCATGATTACCAAAAGTCGCCCAATTTTGACCAAGTCGGGAGGTAGTTTCTCATGCAGGATAGGCATTAGAAAGCTCTCGCAGAATCTGTCATGCTAGCTCCGGCATTCCAGACCTCATGGGTCATGGAAAAACTGCATGACAAATCGCGCATTCTTCCAGACCCAGACATTTTTACATTTGATACCGCAGTAGTCAAACGCAAACAGGTCGAAGTCGTTGGAGTCGTAGGGGTTGCAACCGGAGCTGACGTCGTCGAGGGTGTGGAAATACTCGTCGCTGCATATGCAATACAAATTTCCCGTACATGTACAAAATGCATCACAAATTTCACCAACCTAGAAGAAGTTACTTGTCATGCTGAAGAGGTTTGAAGGAAAAGTTTGTCATGCGGAAGCCACATTTGTACGTCGTGTACAGGAAATTTACTGTGGATACTGCAGGCGAGATCTTCCTCCGGTTTGTTGAAATACCGGTACACAATGCTGTCGTACATGAAACTGCACACGTCGTAGCGTTATGCAGTGCAAATCTGTCTGGGTTTGGAATCCTGTGATGCTGATTTGCTGCTGATTGCAACGCTTGCCACGGCAGCCAAGCATGACAAGTTTTTGAAACGCTTCCTGATGTCTAGCACGCATTACAAATTGCGTTTTCGCATGGAAAAGGAAGTGGCTCTTCTGCTGCTCACGCAACACAGATTTTGATTTTCTAGGAATGCTGCAAAATACGCATATACAAGTTCAAGTTCCACTTTTCCAGACCCCGACATATTTGCAGTTGATAAGCGTAGGCAATCCCGGCCCCAGTTCGAGCACTGCACCGACTTGGTGTCGCTGGCGATGCAGCCCTGTCCGCACCGGCCCATACAGGAGTTGTCGGAGAGAATCGTGTCGATTGCGAAATCCTGCACGTCCACGTCTTCGGGAGCAAGAAACTTTGTAGTCATCATGGCCCTTCTGCTCTCCTCCTGTTGCAAAAGAACCACGCCTTCAAGTTGATCACCACGACCTCCTGGCGCTCTTGTTGTATTAGCCGACGAGGACGAGACGCTGCTATCAAGTGTAAAAATGTCTGGGTCTGGAAGATTCTGACACTTGTCATGCACGTTTTGCATGAGCCATGATGTCTGTAATGCATACCCTGGCAATACAGATTTCTTCAGGGCTTCTTGATGCCTATTCCGCATGACAAACGCCTTCTCAGCGTAGCAAAAATTGCATTCCCTTTGGTACTCATGCAATACAGGTTTTTTTGGAATCCAACTGCAGCATCACAAGTTGCAACCTTCCAGACCCAGACACTTTTACAGTTGATAGCTACTTGTCGTCGTAGAATTGTTCGCACTGTCGTCTTATCAAATGCAAAAATGTCTGGGTCTGGAAGAATTTGTCGTGCAGATTGTACATGACATGTGACGTCTGTAATGCATAACCTCGCATAACAGATTTTTAGCGGGCTTTCTGATGCCTATCCCGCATGAGAAGTACCCTCTCCATGTAGCACAAACTGGACCCCTCTTGCTGGTCATGCAATACAGATTTTTTTAGAATGCAGAGACAGCATCACAAGTTGCAATCTTCCAGACCCAGACATTTTTGCATTTGATACGTCTGTGTCTATCTCCGCGCCCGCATCCGCCTCCGTCGGTGCCGGGGTTGTGATGCTGCCATTATCGTCATGTTCTTGGCGCGGCGGGGGAAAAAACTTCTTCGCGACTTGCACCGAGTTCACGGGCACCTCTTCCAGGCCCCAGCACTCTATCCTGAGAAAAAAGTGTTACAGTTTGTTACAGACTCTGATGGAAGACAGGCAAGACAGACGACCTTTGTCATGCAGGAAATGCTTGCCAGCTTCATTTCATTCGTGTTTTCCCTTATAGTCTGCGCATCACAGGTTTTCTTTGCCATGCCGGCGACTTTGTGATGGAGAAAGAACTCCAACAAATGTGTAACTGTAACACTTTCATTTTCCTGTGATACACTCTCCGGCCCGCATGGTGACCTCGTAGCAGATTTCCGGGCAAGAGCGTCGAGATGAAGCAGCAGCGTCTTCTTGCTTTGCATCGGAAAGATCCTCCGTCGTGGTTCCACTTGGCGTGGAGGTCGTTTTCCCGAGTTTTCGCCCCGTTTCGATGCACGGCCCGTTGAGTTCGCCCAGGTGGGGCAGGCCCAACTCCGGCCCGGTGAATTGGACCACGTACTCCCGGTCATTCTCGTAAAAGTCCGTGAAAGGTTCTAACCGCTCGATGCTGCACACGGAGTTGGTGTTGGTATGTGATGCAGTGGTTCCATAATTATTTTGATCACCATCCCCAGATGAAAACTCGTTTTCTGAAGAGGAAGAACCCCCAGATTTGTTGTAGCTTGCCGGGATCAGAATCGACTCTGACGCAGAAGTACCGGAGGTGGTGGAGAAGAAACCACTAGGTGCTTGTTGCGCATTTGAACTTCTTCTTGATCTTCGAAACCCGTCGAACAAGAACCCGCTGCTTCTGGTTTTTCTACTTCTCTTGTTCGAGTACGTGTGATCACCTCCAGCACCCCCATCAGCGAAGCTTCGTGCTTGCTGCAAAAGGCTCGTCTGTTCACCGTTCTGTTGTCCGCCTGCTTCTTCCGTGGCTACATCGTCGTTTTCTAACTCTTCTGCTGCTGGGTATGCGTTGGCATCATCACTACCGCTAGTTCCGCACCGCCGAATCCGGTACGGGTCGCAGAACCTCGTGTCGCCCTCCAGTAATTGTCGCCGGTTGCATGGCGGGTACCGGTTCAAACACAAACCGCCGTGAAAACGATTGTTCGTCCCTGGTGTGGGAAAAAAAGGAGGTCTCGTGGTAGGAGGACCTGTTGAAGGTTCGCTCCTTTCGACTTGTGTTGTTGTACTACTGCTTCTTCTCGCTGCAACACGACCGTACACGCCGGTAGCAGCCTCACGAACGAAGAGCACGACGGCAAGCGACTGAATTATAAACGCGGGGTTAATTGCTCTTCTACTTCTGATTCCACCTCCGGGGTGGTCACCACTGCCTTCACACCGGAAGAGCAGGCCTTTTCTCCGTCTCCGCGAGCCGCCCTTCATACTGCAAGTAATTCTCCTCCTCAACACGAGAGGCAGGGCGGACCGCCATCAGGTCCGCTGGCGACGGCAGAGCGAAGGAAATAGACCGCTTTCTGAAACTGCTTTTCGCTCCTGCAGTACCAGTTGTTCCCACTTCTTTTACAGAAGCTGTGGCTGTACCTGTTCCCAGATGGATTTCCTGCTCGTGCTTGTACGGTGATGCGGATCATTTTCACGATTTTTAATCAAGCACAGTTGCAATTACGCTGGGCATGCAGATGCACCGCCTCTCCCGTGTAAGTTCTCGGTACTGGGGATTGAAGAGGCCAAAAGTGAGTACATGTAGCGTTGCCGCACGTCAATGTGGTACACTCAACGCTTGAAACACTCCACAGTTTTTCACTCTCAGGCCTGGCAGTTTTCTCATACGCCCCAAGATTTACGAGATGCACTCTACTATAATGCGCAGCGTAACATCAAGGTGAGTAGCATAAGAGACTCTCAAACCTTTCAAAAAAAGTCACAGTCGATGTCCTGTCCAAATAACAAACTTAAACTTTCTTCTTGCGGCCTGTGATGGCAGCAAGGAGGCACTAGTAGCACGGCTCCTCCAGCTACATCACTAGAAGAACATGACCCGAACAACCAGGCAGGAAAAGAGGCGTGCAAAGTCAAGCCCAGGGTTCATCCTGTACGTACTTGTTACACGTCGATGCTACTTCGGTTTCTTCCGAGTCACAATAGGATAATTCTGTCTGCAATAGTGGTCGTGGAAAAAAAATCGAGACGAAATTCACCGGAAAACAATATTCTTTTTCATGCTCCACCTTTGCCGCGAAACAAAGCGCTTTTCCGCTGCTTTCGCAACACGACAAATAAAACGACCTCCCCGTCCTTTACCCGTGGTTTGAGTTGGTCGGCGAATTTACCTGGTCACCCGCGACCCGCGTCAGCAGCCCCGCGGCGCCCACCTGCACCCCCGTCGTCATGGAGTTCACGCCCTGATTGAAGATGGACTGCCCGGATTTCTCGTCCGGCTTGAAGACCTTGTAGGCAAGAATCATCAGCACGAACATCAACAAGACAAATTTCGTGTCCAGAAACCAGTACCCGCCGTGCTCTCCCATCAGCAGTCGGTTGGGATCCGAGAGGGGAAACACCACTAGCTCTTCCGGAAACGACACGTCCCCTGGAACGGGATTATCCGCGCCAGCGGCTTCATCCTCCTGCGCCCCGTCGTCCTCCTCCTTCTCGTCCTCGATGCCGGTTCGCAAGACCACGTAGTCGTGGCCCGGCAGCGCGACGAATTTGTACAGCTGATTGTCGTCCGGTGTGGGCGGCGCGTCGACCGCGGTCTCTATCAAGTGCAAAAGTGTCTGGGTCTAGAAGGATGCAAGTTTGTCATGCTTGTCTCGCATGACTCTTGAATTTGTCATGCACATCATCCAAGAGCCCCATTTTTCTGTCATGCACGAACGCATTTTGTCATGCAGAATAGGGGCGAACACCTAGAAGCTCAGAAACTTGTCATGCTGAGCCAGCACTTGTGGCCCCCTGATGATACGCCACCCAGCATCACAAGTTTGTCCAGACCCAGACATTCGTGCATTGGATAGTCTCCTTTTGTGTACTACTCCCATCGTCGAGAATCAAGTCGAACATGCCCCCATATCCTGAGCAAAACCGTGCCCACCCCATATTCACCATGCGAAATCTGCTAGACAACTCTGTCAGCTTTGGGTGTTGCGCATGACAAGTTTGGCCTCTTTGTAGTGTAGTCCTGCTTAGCTTGCTCAGCAGCATCACAGCTCTAGCCCATCATGCTGATTGGAGCATTACAAATTCCAAAAAACGACTAGAAAACGCTTAGCATGGGGCTCCGCATGAGAAACATTTTGAGCATGCAGATTGGGATGACAACTATGGGGAGGTGGGGACGTTTTTACAAATGATACCCCATTAATCTTGTTCACCCGCCCAATGGGGAGCTGCTCCACGCTCGCGCTGGGGCTGTAGACGGCGTTTTCGTGCATGATCTGCACCCGTGCGGGATTTGTTCCCCGATAAGCGTCGATCACGGCAACCTGTGCGTGCTTGGGGTCGTGCTGGAAGACGTGCGACTGGAAGGCGACCGCGTTGCTGTGCGTATCGTGGCGGGTGATGACGAGCAACAGCGTCGTCGCCTTCTCGTTTGGCAGATCCGCGATCTCGAAAATGCCGGCGCTATGCTATGCAGTGCAAAAGTCTCTTACTCGAAGTATTAATAACTATCACGCATTACAAATCTGCATCGCAAGGTAAAACAGCATGACAAACCCATTCGTCATGCTGAGCTAATTTGTAATGCAAGAATTCCTACGTACTAGTACGATACTTTTGCAATTCATATGTGCTGGTGGTGGTCGACTTCGGTCTTGAAACGGATGGTGTCGCCGGGAAGCAGGTTCAAGTCCACAAAGTCTTTATGCAAGAAAAAAACTGTGTAAGTGTAAGTCTGTCATGATGCAGGAAATGCTATAAATGTTTACACTTGTCATGCTAGAGGTGCGTCATAGGCAACTTTCATGGGTGCTTCCAACTACTAGCTGCACATGACAGGTTTTCCCTGTAATGCAAAACGAATTTGTGATGCTGATCTTCCTACAAAGTTACACTTACATAGTTTTTTTCCTGGATAGTCTTCGCATTCCTTGTACTCCATTCCCCCGTACAGCTCCACGTCGTTTAAGAACACGTTCATCGGCTTCGCGTAGGGGTACGCATTACAGATTCGCAGCACGCTCCGTCTCCGCTTTTTCCGGAAATTGTGCCCATTTTTCCCAGCCGCAGTTCCAACTCTGGCTCCTACCGCCAGTCGTTTCACTTGCTGTTTCGCGAGCAGCAGGTTTTTCGCGGTGGCTACCGCTGGTGGAACGCTTCCCAGGAGTGCGGTTGTAAACAGCAGCCCTGCAACCCGGGCGCCGGAATGAAAAAACCTGGCTCGACCCGCCATGATGGCGCCACGACCTGGGAGCGTGCGGTCCGCTTACTGCTTCCTGCTGAGACTAAAACGCGGAGGTCTTGCCCCGACAAGTGTTCATCCCCGCACTGGACGGTGATGTTGAGACGAACGATGTTTCAACGCCGCATCTTGATGTTTTTCTTGTAGTTGCGTCACCAACTAAGAGCAAGCGACCTCCTGCTTCGCCCACTTACTGCCTCACTCATTTACTTTACATCAGAGGACAACACAGAACTCATCTCACGGCGAGGAGACATGATCGCGATTGGGAGAACGGTATACAATTTGAAAAACACCCGAAGAACAACCATCTTCGTGCAGCTCCCGCCTTCTAGAGGCTCATGGTCAACATGAACATCCCGTGTTGATTCATTCATATCAACTTTGACCGTAAAAATGCCGCGCAGCGTGTGTAAAAAGACGTCTATGTGCGTTACTAGCGCAGACAAGGCTGCTGCAGAATTGCAGCTTCGTTTTCGTTCACCAACTAAGCAGCTCCTGTGCTGGCTATATTCATTTAAACACATCAGCTCCAGAACCAATGTTGCGACTGCCAAAAAAATCGACGAAGGACAATTTGTTATGTGGTCTCTCATCAGAAAGGTTTTTATCCCTTACGCGGACGAATTTGCACTTTATTTCATCGAGTTGTAGTGCTAGTTCCGGTTTATTTTCGACGTCGTGGTCAACAACATTGACAAAAACTACACGACTAAAGCTTGCTCCGCCCCGCGACGGATGAATTGTTCCCGGCAAGCTTCGCGGTGTTCAGAATCCAGTCGCTGATCATTTGAAACACGCTCTCCTTGCCCCGGTCGTTGTGCGGCTCGTGGCGCGCGTGGCAGTGCAGCAGGATTTTCAGCTCCTCGCAGTTTTGAAACTCCTCCATCAACTGATGCAACACCCGTATTGTGAGGAAAAATCCCCCCTCCCCATATCGACACGAAGTTTCTGATGCTGGATTTCCGTACACAAATGCGCGCTGTCTTGCAGTAAGGCAGCGCAGCCAGATCCTTAGCCTAGGTAGGGGCGTTTGGGTCTAGCTGTTTAGCATTACAAACCGCTGCCCCTTAGGCACAACGAACAGCATGGCCAATCGCTTCCATAATGGCGCGGAAGCCTCTGCGCCTGTCTTCTTGCAAGACAGACGTGATTTGTGGTCTCAAATCAGCAACACGAATTTTCGGAAACATACCTTTTCGATATGGAGCGGGGGCATTTTTCCTCCCGATAGCCCGCCACTTCAAACCCCCCGGCTTGATGAGTTCCCGCGCAAGCGGGTCTTCTGACCCCAGCGTGACAAGCACAGGCTTGCTGTTCAGCGAACTGAAATCATCTTCATGCACCGAGCCAACAGCGCTAAAAAACCCAGCCCAGTAGTGCACAGACAAGTTGTGTTATGCAAGAAAAAAACTGTGTAAAGTGTAACTTGCTTGGAAGATTCTTGGAGATATAGCATCACAGGTTTGTGTTTGCTCTGCGTGACACAGAAAATACTAACCTGTCATGCGTTTAGTACGTGAAAACACGAGGACATACGAAAAGAGCCCCTGATGCATGTCCAGCATGACAGGTGTAACTGTCTTGCATCGTCTGCAACTTCTACACAAAGTTAGTACACTATACACAGTTTTTTTCTTGGATATGTGTCCGCAGTTTTCGCCGATGTAATCCTCTATCTCCTTCTCTTTATCAAATGCAAAACTGTCTGGGTCTGGAAGATTGCGAGATTTGTCATGCTTGTCTGGCATGACCAAAAAGGTTGCGATGCGTGTCCAAGAAGAGACCCTTTTGCCTGTCATGCAAAAACGCAGTTTGTCATGCGAAACAAGCAACACAACGGAGCGCAGATATTTTTCATGCTTGGCTGTGCATTACAGAGCATTCACTATTCCCGACGCAGCATTACAAGTTTCCAGACCCAGACATTTTTGCATTTGATACTCTTCGCGGCTGATCCAATCGAAATTCGTTTTGTTCGGCTTAAAATCTATCCAGGAAAAAAACGTTGTTAGTGTAAATTTGTGATGCGCAACATACAAGCTGACTGCGTCTGTCATGCTTGGCATGCATCGTAGGGCTCATTAAAGGGTGTTTTCACTTAGTATCTGCGCATGACAGGTTTTTGCTGTCATGCGAGAGATATTTGTCATGCTAATCCTCCAAGAAAGTTACACCTACAATGTTTTTTTCTTGGATAAAATCCGACTGGTATTCATTAAAAGTATCCCAGTTGTGGTGCACACCTCCCCCTGACGATTTTTTGTCATGCAAAATCAGTAAAAATCAAGTCGCTGTCTTGTGGCAGTGTTTGCATGACAAAGTTTGGGAGCCTATTAAACTCTACATTTCTACGACTTTAGGTGCATGATCGACGTACCATCCACAGGCTCCACTTGTGCTGGTCGTGTATGTATTGCTATTGCTTTTTTTGCTACTTATACAATTAACGGCAAGGGGGAAAAAATGAGCACTCTCGTAAAATATCAAATGTAAAAATGTCTGGGTCTGGAAGAATGCAAGTTTGTCATGCTTGTCTGGCATGACTCGAGAATCTGTGTTGCATAGGCACGAAAAAGCCCTCTTGCCTGTCATGCAAAAACGCAGTTTGCCATGCGGAATACGTAAGACATGGCAGCCCAAAAATTTGCCATGCATAGCTGCGTACTGCAGTGCGCCTATCATTCATTTTTAGCATTACAAGTTTCCAGACCCAGACATTTTTACATTTGATATAAAACGCGACCAGCCGCTCGAAGGTTTCCATCCGGGGGTGCACTATCCCACAGAAAAAGACAGGCGCGGCATATTTGTAATGCCAAAAGAAATACACAGAAACATCTGTCATGGGCGAGCCCATAGCGTGCTGTTTGGGATACGCAATACATTTTTTTTGTGTATTTTCTTTTGCATTACAAATATGCCCCCCTGCCTGTCGTTTTCTCCGGGATACGCACACCGTGCTGCCCAAACATCGGGCCGAGGATATCATGAGGAAAAATTCATCCCTCAACTAAAAGCTGCCCTTCGCTATACACAGATCATCTTTTTCTCACGCAAAAAGAGCAGGCCACTGCAGCGGGGAGCCGGCTTTGAGACCTCGACAACGTTGTAGCGAGACAGTACAAATAAACTTGATGGAACGTTGCAAGATAAAACAAAGCTGACATCATGTTGTCCTCACAAATAACGCAGCATGACAAAGACAAGGCTACATGTGAAGTAGACATGGGGGTTAGTTTCCAGATGATAGAGCGTGTGTTTCAACATGGAAAAGACAGTCTGCACGAAGGAGCCGGGGCGGAAAACCTTTTTTTTCAATTTCAATTTTCAATCGTGCCACGCAAATTATCTGGTGCACTGACCAGATAATTTTCTATCATGATATCATAGGTGGTGCTGCTGCTGGTTCAAGTAAACCATAGCATAACTAAACTACAGATGTATTCAAAAACGCACAAGCATGTCAATACCGGCCCGCTGAGAATCAGTCCGTCTACCGCGTGCCCCGACTATCCAATTTAGATAGAATCACCAACAGTACGACCATCGCTCTCGGTCTATTGATAAGATGTGTACCAAGCGTGATTGCATAGAGCACTAAAACTAGTTTGCACAAACAAATAATTTCTGATTCTGAATGGCTGAGATCAATGTGCATATCTTCCGCTCGAGTTGTTGGAGACCAATATGCTGATGGTGATTCTCTTCTTTTGCATCTGATATCAATTTTCCGTCATCCAATGCAATTGCTTTTTGCGCGATGACCGAGCCGACGGAGTGCCCAAACAAGTACACAGGGACACGATCTTCACTACTCCTGGCGCTTTTCGCAGCTGTAGTGCTGTTTTTCCCCCCGCTAAACTCCTCGACTTTCTGCAAACACAGAGTCTGTAGGTCCTTCGGAATCTGGTCCCACGGAAGCATGGTGTCCCCCAGGACGCAGCCCTCGCGCTCCGCGGTCTTCCCGTGGGCGAGATGGTCGTGTCCGTACACCGAAATTCCGGCCTTGTTCAGAAATTTGGCCATGATGCGGTACCGTGCGGCGTGTTCGGTGTTGCCGTGCGAAATGTACAGAACGGCCTTCGGGTTCTCCACCGCCCAGGAGTACTGAAACACCTCGTGCGAGTTTTCAATCGCCACATACTTCCCCTCCTGCTCGGATTGCAGAAACCGGGCGCCAAATTTACTTCCGCCCTTGGAAGACGAGGAGGACGCACTTGCTCCTGGCATAGTTGCACCGGTGTCGTCCGCAACAGAACTCGAAACACCTGCTGTCGACGAAGATGTCATGTGGGGCGCGAGGCGAGTCGTGGCGGGAGTGTCGCGAAACGAGGGCATGGGGTGACAGTATGTATTTTGGATCAATACGAGGAAAGACGAGAAGTAATAATGGTAAATCTAGTACGTACACTGCGTCTAGTACGTACACTGCGTACCAAGAAGCACTTCGATTCTGCGACACAAGGCACCACGCGTCGATTCGGTGTAAGTAGAGAATCTGTGTCTAATCCCTTTGCTGTCTGTGGCGGAATAAATCTTACGTACTTACAGCAGCATCAAGTGCTGCTCAGATGACAAGAAGAAAACAAGTACTTCCTTCCACCAAGGAGCTGTACAAACTATGGCAAACTTGTTCTTACTTTGCTTTCCCTCGATTCCCCGCTTAAAATGCACAGCAGCTCCGGTGGCCGCGCCTAGGTCTACTAATTCTACTTAGGAATGTTATCATCGGTGCTAGATGCTCTGTGGAAGATGAGCAGCATTTCTTTTGGGGGCTAACTAGGGTGACAACTATTTTGCTTGGTGACGATGACACAAGCGAAACAAAAAATTATCCACTCAGTGAAAACAAACCCAACTACTTTGCTTGCAAGTCAAGACTCGCTTGAACAAAACACTGATCACCTTAGCCGCGCGTGCTAAGTCAGTCACTGAAAAAACCAGCGAGAATCATGATTCAATTCCTTTTGCAGGCAAGTGCCACGACATACGTTGTAAATTGGAAAGAACAATAGCGTCTTGAGTAGTAACGCGAAGTGGTACCAGTCCTCGATAAAAGCAGAACCCGTCTACAACTTCGATCAAATTCTAATTTAGATCATCACGTTTGATGCAGTTCTCCCGAATAACGGTTGTGTCATTCTTGTCGTACTAGTCGCGCCACGTCGCTGATACTACAGGAGTTCGGCAGCGCGACAAGTTGCAATCTTTTTCAAGACCTCACCAACATCTTCTACTCCCGGTTTCTAGATAGGTTGCAGGTTAAGGTTATCGACCGGCTGGAGGCGCAGCGGCTGGAAATTGTTCTCAAGGGGGCTGCTCCCGAGCTGGTTTTTACTACCCACAAAACATCCTCGCGTGCCGCTATACCACTCCGAACAAAACAAACCAGAACCACTGCGGGGGAGGAGGAAATAAACCGCTGTCTTATTCATGTAGTACAACCGTCTGAAGAACATTACTTGCTACTACCCGGCAGCGGCCTCGGAACCAACCGTTAACCCATAAGCATTACCCGTTGGCACGGTGGGGCAACGACAATTTTTTCTACTGCACGCCGACAAGTAGAACGAGATGACAGATCTCGTCTCAAAACGTTCGCCACAAACAAGAACCGCACCACGACACCAACTCCAAAATCCTAACTGCGGAGCTGCTCCAAAGATCAAAAGTCATCGCAATTTTTCATCTTTTCTTCAGTTTGTCCTCCTCCTCCCTCTCCCATCTCGTCAACCACAACATATTAGTCGCGCTTCCTCTTCTCTACTGAAAATCCCTAATACGCCATTTCAACAGTAGAGTTGTAAAGTGAGAAGATGAAGATGCAACTTGTTATAGTTCGGTTGTTCTACTTCATATGATCTTCCACGACCTAAGTGTCCCGAAACTTCGCCCACATGCCGTCTTGAGGGACGTAGTTGAGGAAGACATGTTTACTATTTTTGTGCTGCTGCGCCCCGCCCTATCAAATGTATAAAATGACTGGGTCTGGAAGCTTGTGATGCATATTTTGGAAGACTCCTGATGTCTGTGATGCATGCTCTAGCATGACAGATTTTTCGAGGCCTTTGTGATGCCTCTACCGCATGAGAAATGCCCTCGCCACGTAGCACAAACTGGAGTCCTTTTGCTGGTCATGCAATACAAATTTTTTTAGATTCCAGAGACAGCATTACAAGTTTAGAATCTTCCAGACCACCCAGAGATTTTTACATTTTATACGCCCTCCTCCTTCTCAATTTCATCCAGTTCCGGCGGTCTTCTCACCCACCACGTCCCGTCCGTCATCAAATTTACCTGCAGCTTGCTGTTCATGCTGATGTTCTCTTCATTCTCTACAAATTCTCCCGATCGTTGTATGTTCGCGCTTGTTGTTGTCGTGTTGTTCCCAAAGTCCTTCTGCTTCGCAAGTCGCACCTGCCGCCAGAACTCCGCCAGCTCGCCCAGGATTCCGATCGTCGTGATGTAGTGATCCGGGTGCAGGTCGTGCCCTACCAGCAACCCGCCGGGCCGGAGCATCTGCAGGTATTTTTGGATGTCTTTCCGTACGGCACTATCAAATGTAAAAGTGTCTGGGTCTGGAAAGTTGGAACTTGTGATGCTAACTTTGGACTCTAAAAAAATCTGTATTGCATGACCAGCAAGAGGAGCCACATTTGTGCTATGCGAGGAGGGCATTTGTCATGCGGAAATGGCATCAGGAAGCTTTCCAAAAATCTCAGATTTTTGGAAAGCTTCCTGATGCCATTACAAGCATCATGGGATGCTGGGTCATGCATTACAAGCATCATGGGTCATGCCAGACAAGCATGACAAGCCTTCCATTCTTCCAGACCCAGACATTTTTACATTTGATAGGCGCCGTAGCTGTGATCGGAATCGATGAACACCAAGTCGTATGCGTTGCAAAAGCAAAAGTATCGCACTCGTATAAATGCACTACAAATTTTCTCAGCATTAGCAATGAAATTTGTAATGCGGATTTACCTTACGAAAAAGATTTGCAATGCACGACTGCAAATACTACGAGTACGATACTTTTGCACAGGATAGGTCGAACACACGCTGCCACGCGTTGGTCTGGAGATTGTGGTGGTGGGTCGTTGGATGGAGCGTTTTCTTGTAGTTCGGTTGATGTAGAAGTTCTTGCCGTTGAACCGGCATGTCAACTTGTTCGCTTGTTCGTCCCTTCTTGTCCCCAGCACTTCTTGATGTTTCTGTCCCCACGGAGGTTCTCCTACTAATTGTCGTGCGATTGTGTCTGTTGAACGTCGGCAGCAAAGAAGAAGTACCACTTGTAGATGAAGTAGACAACAATCCTTTCCGGATCCGCGCCGGGGAAAATTGCAGGGATTTCAGTGGAAACACCTCGCAATATCCTGTGCAAAAGTATCGCACTCGTAGTAATCGCAATCATGCATTATAAATTTCCATCCCAAGGTAAAACAGCATCACAAATTACATTTGTCATGCTGGCCGAATTTGTAATGCGATTTCTATTAGTACGATGCTTTTGCAATGCATACGCAAACCGTGCCAGCAGTTTGTGCTGATACAACAGAACTCGACGTTTGCTGCTGCTGCATCAGTAACTCACAGTCCTCTTCCACCCGAGTTTGCATGTTTTTCAAATCCTTCTTTAAGTCGTCCGGAATGATGGGCATGAACCAGGGATCCACTGCTGCGTAGTAGCTGATAAACGATTTCTCTGCAGCTTGTTTGGTGAGTAGAACAGAAGCTGAAGGAGAACCGCTACGCTGAGACGCTGTAGCGTCCCCCGACGAACGCTCTTCTTCAAGACGGCTTCCTGAAGAGTTTTTACTTGCTCCGCTCCCCATCCCCATGATCTCCCCGCGACGCCCTTCCGACGGCGGACTCAACAGATACCGCATGGTGTTGCCCGAAAACACGCCAATTTCCGCGACGCGCAGACTGTGGTGGTGACAGGAGTAAGCATCTTCAACATGTTCTTGATCTCTGTCGCGGTTATTGATTTCTTCATGGTTGTTGTCTAGTAGTTTTTCGGCAGAAGTGGATGTGGTGGAAAAAGCACTAGTTGCAGTATCTTGCATTTTCCCGTCGAGACTTTGCATTTTTCTCCGCCACGCGCGCGGTGACTCCGAGGCCGGTCGCCGGTGCAGATGGTCGTTCTTCGTGTGCACGAGGTTTTTCTCCACGATCAAAGCTGACTCGGGTAGTGTTCTTGCTGTAGAAGAACTTTTCTCCCCGGGCCGTTCCTCCACGCTGCGTTCTTCATGCCGAAATAAATCATCGGCCAGATCATAAGCCCTCTTGTTCTCCCCCGCTGCCCCAAACGCCGGCGCGTTGTTGCCGTTCAAAATGCACTTGGCCTCCTTGTCCGAGAAGTATTGCGATAAACCCGCATGATGATGTTGGTCCAGGAGCTCCTGCCCATACGATGAATTGTACTCCTGCTCTTTCATCAAGCTCTTTCGCCGCACCCCGCTACTGTCCTTCACTAAAATCTCCTCCATCAACCAGCGGACCGCCTCGAAGCGAAACCCGATGAACTGCATGCTGATATCAACTGCAAAAATGTCTGGGTCTGGAAGATTGCCAGGTTTGTCATGCATATTTCTCATGATCCATGACGCCTGTAATGCATGACCTAGCATCACAGACTTTTAGAGGGCTTCCTGAAGCACGTTTCGCATGAGAAGTGCCCTGTCCGTGTAGCACAAACCGGACCCCTCTTGCTGGTCATGCAATACAAATTTTTTTAGAGTCCAAAATCAGCATGACAAGTTGCATTCTTCCAGACCCAGACATTTTTACACTTGATAGTTAAACTTGATGTCCAAATTGTCCCGGATGTTCACCTATGCATTGCAAATATGTCTGGGTCTGGAAACTTGTAATGCTAAAAAGGAATGATAGACGCACTGTAATACGCACCTATGCATGACAAATTTTTTGGCTGCCATGTGTTACGTATTTCGCATGGCAAACTGCGTTTTTGCATGACACGTAAGAGGACCTTTTTGTGCCCATGCAACACAGATTCTCGAGTCATGCCAGACAAGCATGACAAACTTGCAATCTTCCAGTCTCAGACATATTTGCAATCCGTATCAACACCTGCTCCCTCCGGTCGTGTTCCGACTGCGGAAAGACACCGCCCTCCACCTTTTATCCCAAGAAAAAAGTGTTAATACAGTTACACTCTACTAATGGAAGACAAGCAACACAGACAACCTCTGTCATGCAGGAAATGCATGCCAGCCTCAGTTCATTCGTGTTTTCCCTTATACTCTGCGCATCACAGCTTTTCTTTGCCATGTCGAGCAACTTTGTGATGCAGAAACTCGAACAGATGTGTAACCGTAACACTTTTTTCCTGTGATACCTTTGCGTGATCCGACACTGCCAAAAAAGTGAACCACGCGGCCTCCTCGAGGTACAAAATATCTTGTGCAAAAGTATCGTACTCGTATTGTAATCATGCATTACAAATCTTTTCGTCAAGGTAAATCAGCATTACAAATTTTATGTCTCATGCTGAGGAAATTTGTAATGCATTTATACGAGTACGATACTTTTGCACTGCATATAAAAACCAAAACAGCAAGTAGTGGTTCGCTGCACGGTTTTTCTGTCCCAGGAAAAAACTGTTTCACTGTGATGGCTTTGCAAGATCTGCATCACAAGTTTGCTACACATGACACTGAAAATTTGTCATGCGGGCTTCCAAAGGGAAAACACGCTTGAAAAATCCAATGTCTTGCAGGTGTAGCAAGACAAATAGTTCTGTGTTCCATTTTCTGCATCACAAGTTCACAGTGAAACAGTTTTTTCTTGCGATATTTTCGCCAACGAAAGCAAAGAAGTCCGGGAGAGTTGAATCGCCGGGAGACGGCAGGACGGTGCTGCCGCTGCGAGGTTCTTTTCACCAGGATTTTTCCCAACACCCTGCCCGTGTAGTTGTTCCCCCTCTACAAGAACTTCTTCCGCAGCGAGATAGACGCAGTCCAGGGCTCTCTGCAAATGCTTCAACACCAGATCCTCGGCCGTTTTTCCGTTGGTAAGAATCAAACTCCTCTCCCGCTCGGAGGTGAAGCTGATCTCCGTACTGTTCTGAAGATTTTTTCCGTGGTTTGTCGTGCTGTTTTCATCATCGGTTAGAGCCGATTGTCGCACGGATTTCTCTAGTTGTACACTGTCACCGCTAATAGAAGACGATGAGGAGAGCGAAGCCGTCGTGGTTGCACTAGTCGTACTTGATGTGGACGAAAATTCAACATTTTCGTCCAGAAACAATTTTCCACTTTCCACCACTCCGATAGCGTGATTGAGGTAAAATTTCTCATGGTCACGCGCCTTTTTCTGCAGAAGTGCCAGCTCCTGAACTTCATCTTCCGTGAGTGTCGAAGTTAGTACTTGCGACGTTTCTCTTGTTTGTGTAGCTGCAGGATCAACATCAGAATTCTCCTGCTCCCCAGTGGCCGCGCCAGCGTTAATATTTCTGCTTTTCATCATTTTCGCGGCGTTTTCTACCTCGAAATCGTGCAAATTCCGGAAGACGTGACAGGCGAACTGCAGGACATCGGCATTGTAGAGCTTATTCGCCTCTCCCGCTTTCAGCCATGACTGCATCTCCCATCTGTCGTCGGTTACACGCTCGCGATGGTAGTTGAAATAGATCGGGGAGTATGCACTACAAATTTACCACGACACACGAAGAACACGTAGCAGGACATCCATCTTCACAAATTTCGCTAATAACGCAGTACAGAACCGAAGTTGTTTATTGGCACGCTCAATAACAGGTAGCAGAACAAGAGTGCTGTCATGCTTGTTGGTCAGCATCTGTACTTCGTGTGGTGCGGTAGTAAATTTCCTCTCGGTAAAAAGCCACTCGCGTCTACCAAATGCAATTCTGTATTCATGCTTGGTTCCGTATCGTTGTTCTGCTCCTCTTTATGATCTTGGGAAGGAGAAGTACTTGTAGACGCAGAACCTGTTGCATCTGCCTCGTCAACACCGCCTGCTGACATCAACTTCTCAGAAGTCGCATTTGTGATCTTATCCCTCGTCTTCTTCGTGATCCGCTGCCAGCTTTTCCTATGAACTGCAAAAGCATCGTACTCGTATAAATGCATTACAAATTAGCCCAGCATTACAAATTGAATTTGTATTGCTGATTTACCCTGAGAAAGAGATTTGTAATGCATAAATGCAGTTACTACGAGTACGATACTTTTGCACAGGATATTTCCGGTGCACCGCAGCAGTAGCGAGAAACATGGTGTAAAGATCGTCGCAAACGTTGTTCTTCACCATCATGTATCAAGTGCAAAAGTGTCCGGGTCTGGAAAAGTGTAAACTTGTGATGCAGATTTTCCATGACCCATGAGGTCTGGAATACGGGACTTAGCATGACAGACTCAGGTGCGAGGTCTCTGCCATGCCTATCCTGCATGAGAAAGTTCCTTCCATTTTGGTCAAAAGTGGACAGGTTTTGGCACTCATGCAACACAGATTTTTGCATGCTTCAGATTTACCATGAGAAGTTGCCACCTTCCAGACCCAGACATTTTTGCATTTGATATCATGGAAAAGTCTTCAATCTCCACAAAATCCCGCAGGTCCCGCTCATTCCAGGGCAAGAGGGCGTTTTCATCTACTGCAAAGGGATCATATGGAGGTGTAGGTGGAGTAGCACCAGCTACCTCAGAACCCCCTAATTCTAATTCATTCTTCCTGCTTGTGGTCGTAATTCTTGTTGATGTTGCTGCACCTCCTGCTGCGGAGTTGTGGTTTCGCACTGGTCTCGCTCCCAAGGTGGGAGCAGCATTAGAAGAGGCTTTGCTGCCCTTGGCCTTGCCGCTGTGGAAAAGCAGAAAGAAGAAAAACGAGGGGAGATGACAAGCGAACGACATGGTGTTCACTTGATGCTAGCTTGTTACTTCTCGCTAGTCTGACCTTAAATTCGTGTCCAAATAAAGAATGCTGTAAGTAACGACATACAGGACCACGGCTTTTGCAAAAACATGTATTCCACACGGCACAGCGTCGGCTTCGAATCTCGAGCGCGACCGCAAAAGACCGAGACAGAGAGAGAGAGAGAGAGAGAGAGAGAGAGTCTGAGTCGCGCATGAAAAATCTTCACAGAATCAAGATGCCACATGGGACGTAGAACAGCAGCGGGAATAGAACATCGCCATGCAATCATAAAAAAAACGCCACAAAGGGTCGTACAGAGGCACAGCTGCGAAGCAAACGCAGACTTTCAATTTTCACGAATCTCATGACATTTATGCTCAAGTAGCAGTAAAAGATTCGTTGACATCAATTCGATTGTCCAAACAATGGCACTTTGGTGGGTGAAACAGTGGCTGGAAATACCGTCTAAATCAAAAAATTTCCCACGACCACTCAATCGTCCTACCAATTGCACATTGCTCTATATTACAGGGTCTGAGTTTCATGTTCGCTTCCATCCTTAGTCATCGAGGACGGTTCTTGCTATAAAAACGATTTACGGTCACTGTCAAATGTCCCCGCGATCCCGAGCCGGGCCGGCAACATAGAAAACAAGCTTCTCTGATTTCTTAAAGATTCCAATGCCTACTGCTGTACTGTCCTAATTTTTTTTTTCCCAGTCATGTGAAGAATGACACGAGTAGCTACGAGCTAATTTTTTCCTTACAGGAGCAAAGATTGGGTTTATGGGTACATACTAAAGGGAATTCAGAAGCAGGAACTACTTCCCTGTGCTTCGCTCCAGCAAAATCTTCGATGTCTTATACAGCTCCAGTTTGCAGCTGCTCAACAGCGGGCAGCTTCCTCTGCGTTTCTAAATTGATCGTAGTCGTCTGAGGGTTCTGCGGTGTGGTAACTAACGTCCAGACAGTTGTAAGTACATCCTTCGCCGTGTGGAAATAACGCTGCAGTTCCAAGTATGAGTTTTCGCCCTCTGCTAGAAGAACTTCACTGCATTCCGCAACTCGACCCCAGCCCGCCGGTTTGGTTTTCGTTCTTCCCGTATCAAGTGTAAAAATGTCTGGGTCTGGAAACTTGTGATGCTGGGTTGCGTCTCATGATGAGGCTACGAATACTGGCTCAGCATGACAAGTTTCTCAGCTCCTAGGCGTTGCCTATTCAGCATGACAAACTGCGGCTCTGCATCACAGAAAAACGGAGCTCTTGGGTAACGTGCATACCAGATTTAAGAGTCATGCCAGACAAGCATGACAAACATGAATTCTTCCAGACCCAGACATTTTTACAGTTGATATCCCGTTCAAGCGCTTACCCCCGGAATAGCCGGCGGTGCAGGAAGAAGATAGTGCGTGTTGCAGGAAAACTTGCTCGCCCATCTGATGTTCAGTTCGAGATAGAGTTTATTCGACCGCTCCATGCACTTGGAAGTGAAATTCGTATTTTACAACTACAAAACGCATTCGCATAGCCAAGCATCTCGTCCCGCATGACAGAATAAAAGTAGCAAACCTCAGCATCAGAAGCAACAAAAAAAGTACGTGCTGCAGTAATCTCTTCCCGTCTTTTTCCAACGAGGGGAGAAATGCACAGTTCTGTTCGCTCGCAAACAGCGCCGCATTCTCCAGCGCGTTGTCCCTGCATTCCTCTCCGTCGGGTACAAACCCGATGACAAACCCGGGCGTGTTGTCCCCCAACCGCGGCGCGTTATCCCTCGCAACGGCGATCAGCTCTTTTTGGGCTAGAAACTCGTTCTCCTCCGTTTTCGCATCCGACAAGTCGACGGGAATCAGGAGAACGAGGGAAAACGCTTGGAAAAAAGACCGGGGCAGCGGGTTGGTGCAGCTTGGGGGAGCGGTTGTTAAAGGCGAATCTGCAGTTGTCTCTGGTGGTGCTGGTGTTCCTGATGTGTTTGTGTTACTACTGCTGCTAGAAGTCGTCGATGTACTCCCGCCACTGCCTCCTAACATGGTCTTTGGCGTGGCCAAAATTTCCAGATCCACCGCTGTCGTGCCGCATTTCACTTCGATCACGCAACTACTTTCCACCTTTTTCTTGTCGGATGCAGTAGTAGTACCAATCCCCGGAGAGGTAGAGGATTTATTATTTCCCGCTTTCAACAATTTCTCAACCACATGCTCCGGATCGCTGGTGCCTAAAACCAACACCCGCCCGCGAATGTTCTTACTGGAGGAACCCGTCGAAGGTGCCCCGTCCTGATCAGTATGACTCGAAGTCGTGGCTGTTGTGGAACTACTACCGCTCTGCCCACAAGAACTTGCCGCTCCCCCGGCGCTCCCGAAAACATCAATCCCCCTCTGTTGCAAAAAGTCCCGTCCCTGCGTGCTGATCTGCAGTTGCGTCGCCAACCTTGCGCACACACTCGGACGCCGGGCGTCGATAATGGAGATGCTCGGGCGCCGGATGTCGGCCAGAGAAATGGAAGGCCGCCGGGCCTCGAGAAATTTCGCCTGCGAGCGCGGGGTCAGACAGTTGTTACCACTAGACGGTGATGTTGCACAGTTATCCTGGTTCTGTTGTTTCCGCGCTCCTACACCCATACTACTACTTGCCCCTCCTGTATCCAAGAAAAAAACATTGTAGGTGTAACTTTTTTGGAGGGACAGCATTACAAATCTGTCTGGCATGACAGCAAAACCCTGTCATGCGCAGATAGTACGTGAAAACGCCCTTTAATGGACCATACGATGCATAAAAAGCATGACAGACGCAATCATCTTGCATGTTGCGCATCACAAATTTACACTAACAAGGTTTTTTTCCTCGATATCCTGCGCCAGCCCGCGTGCGCGGTTTGAAGGACGCAGACCCGCCAAGCAGACTCGCACTCGACGCGCTGGTTTGTAGGAGTTTTTGATTTTGTTCACCGGTAGATGGGCCTAGGCTTCGGTCGTCCGGAGGAGTACCCGGGCCTGTGAAAGTAGGTGCGGCCGTCGTACAACTAGTGGAAACAGCAGCTCCGCTCGCGCCTCCCAACACTGGTGGTTTGTTTTGCTTCCTGCGCAATGCGGAAAGGTTGACTGGGGCGGGAGCAACAGCAGCTCCCGCGGAATCTACAAGCCTCGCGTTGCTCTTTGCAGTAGAAGTATCAGTGCCCGCGCCGTCAGCTGTACTTTCCGCACCGCAACTCGTCGCACTGGATGATTTATTTTCCCCGAGAGTCCTGCTGCCCATGAGCTTTGCTAAGTTCGGGTTGTTGTTTCTTGGATGTTGCGGAAGATTTGTTTCATTATTTCCCGCGTTGTTACAACCCATTCCTGCGACCGTCTTCGCTGTCGCGCTTCGGATCCCGAGCGCTCGCAAAGCCTCCAGCGACTGTTTGTTGTCGTGCGAATATGACCCGCTCAGACGTTACAATCTCAACTGTTACAATAGAATCTGGAAAGCTGTGATGCAAGAACTGCAAGATTTAGCCTACTACCATAGGATTGCGCATGACAAGTTTCGGAGTCCCAAGAAACCCACCTGAAAAAATCCGGCGAAATTTGTATTGCGAAAAGCTCAATTCTCTCTGCGTTCCTCGTCATGCTCTTCATGCAATACAAATTCCAGACTCTATTGTAACGTTTGAGATTGTAACGCTTGGGCAGGCCATAGCGAAATCGACCCGCGTCTCGATTCCAACGAGAACGACCCCCGTCGGAGCTCGTTCAGCCGGGTGGAAGACGAAGCCGATGCAGGTCCTGATGTTGTAGCAGATATGGAAGTGTCAGGATTGAAATCGACAAAGTTGAAATGATTTGTCATGCATAAAATGGATGCCAGTTGGGGCCCAGTTTCTAAGTGGCGCATGACAACTTTTGGTGGTGCCTGAATCCAGTTTGTAATGCTGTTTTCGTATTGAAGACGCCTTTTGTCATGCTACTTTAGCAGCTCTTCTCTACCCCTCAACAGGCTTACAATCTGCCTCCCTTGCCTACTCTGCAAGACAGGCACTTTGTGAGTTGCATTTTATGCATCGCAAACTATTTCAACTTTGACGATTTCAATACTGACGCCGCCATAGCAGAAGCAAACCCTTTAATGCTTCCGTCAGTCATATCGTTCCGGAGCGAAGAGAGATTTTGCGGTAAACCGGTGGTAGAGGAGACGCAGACGCAGACGCGTCTCGATTCCAACGAGAACGACCCCCGTCGGAGCTCGTTGAGCCGGGTGGAAGACGAAGCCGGTCCAGCAGGTCCTGCTGTTGTAGAAGTAAACCTGCTCCCGTCAATCACGCTGTTAGGGCGGCCAAGCGAAGAGAGATTTTGCGGTAAACCCGTGGTAGAGGAGACGCAGACGCTCCCGCGGCGCAAATCAACCACGGAACCACTGGAGGACAGTATCAAAATGAAAAATCCCCCCTGCCCAGATCAAAACGAAAAATTTGTGATGCTGATTTGTGGCCACAGATCAGCTTTGTATTGCAGAGAGGCATGGCGGCCAGATCCCCTGGCTAGGTAGGGCGTATGGGCCGAGTTGTTCAGCATGGCAAACGGCTCCCCTTTAGGCCCAACAGCATGACAAACAGCTTCCATAATATGGCGGACACTTCTGCCCTTGTCTTCTTGCAAGACAGATGTGATTTGTGACCTCAAACCCGAAACACAAATTTTTGGAAACATACCTTTTCAATATGGGGAGGGGGGATTTTTCCTCTCAATAGACAGGCGGCCGGAGTTACTGCTGCTCGAGTTTTCCGCGGGCTGCGAGGGGTCTGGTGTTATTTTACTTATTTTTTCCATTTTCGTTTTATTGCGGCAAAAAATAAACTTGTGATGCGAAGGGCCGCAAGGCAGATCTTCCGGGTCATGCAAAACCTGTATGGCAAAAAAAAGTGCTGTCAAAATCATAATACCATTTCCGACGTTTCTCATCATCAGTAGCTTCTTTTGCATCGCTTGCCCGCCGGTTAACTCTCCTCTTTCTGTCGACAATTGCGTGGAAAGCTCCTCAATCTTGGCCTGCATCTGCTCCCGCTCGCGCTCCCAGATGCGGGAAACGCTATCTCCACAATCGATGTCGTCGATAACTGAGTGAGACTGCCCGCAGTCGGTTGTACTCAGGGTGTGAGAGTTGTTGCAGTTGTAATCACTCGGATCCAGGTGGAGAATTTTGGTGCCAAAAGTGGTGGTCGCAGAAGGAGTTGTTCCGGGCGTGAGTCTATGCATTGCAAAAGTATCGTAGAAGTCGTACTCGTACTAATCGCATCTATGCATTACAAATTTTTGTTGTCAAGTCAAATTCGCAATACAAATTTCATTTCTCATCCTGAGGAAATTATTTGTCATGCGATTTATACTAGTGCGATCCCTTTACAGTGCATACAGTCCCGCCTTGTGATTATTTTCCGACGTCTCCTCGCCACTGCTTGGTGACTGCGGTCCAGAGGAAGAACTGCTGCAACAGTCGGCTCCTGAGTTAGCGCTGTTCTCACGCTTACCACCAGGAGTCCCACTCGACACAGCAATCGCTGTGCCGTGGAAAGATTGGTAGCTTGTCCCGGCGGATGAGCCACTTCTGCTCGTACCATCTGCCTGCGGCAGCGCGTCGCGAATGAATTTGTTTTTCTTACCCCGATAAACAGGGACGTTGTTCATCTGCCTGTTTCCTGTGTCCGCGCTGCTCTCCGCTGCGGTGGTGGGAGTCGTAATGTCGTGGTCTACACCTTCGAGTAAATTCGTGACCCGGAGCCGCGTCTGGTCTGCATTCGGCGCGCAGAAAGTCATCCAAAATTGGTCCTCATCGTCGTCCCCATTACCACCCGCATTGCTGTAGCAGCCGGGGCTTGGCGCCGAGCCGTAGAAGGCCTGCCAGCCGTCGCGAATCACCACGTCCTCCTCTGGAGAGGCCGGTTTTGAAGTGACAGACGAGGAGGAGGAGGAGGAAGGTCCCGACGTCATTGTAGTAACTGTAGTAAGGGACGCCGTTTGCTGTTGCTCTTTTACTGGTTCTGGTTCCACTGTCCCCTCCCGAGAAATGGTTCCTCCATCATCGCCCCCCTGGTCCGCGAGCACGGCTCCGGATGTCATACGGGATTCATCTGACTTTGTCGTCCTCGTCCCTCCTTCATTCTGGTCGCTGGAGGGGGCTGCAATTATAGCGTCCATCTTTATTCCGTTTCCTCTCGACGAACGTGGGTGGTCAACGGCGGTCGCAATATTATGTACAGCGTACTTAGGTTTTCATTTTGAACAACGGCGGCGGCAAAAGACCCTCCTTCGATAAGTCCAACTGACGAAGAAGTTGCAGCCACCTACACTTGATACTAGACGATCAAGAAATACAATTTGTTATCGGGCTTCGGCTTCGCGACCACTGCGAAACACATGAAACCCAAGCAAGTCGGGCTCAAGGCTGGTTTTAATTGAATTATCTTCCTCTGACACAGGTCGCTCTGAACAAGCCAACAAGAGAACTGAAAAACAAGACAGAATTTGCAAACGTCTTGAGGTGAATAAGTTTCGGCTGCTGTGGGCTCTTGATGACGTTGAAACAGTTCTTGTTCTTCTTTCACTTGTGCATTATCAAAGTAGAGCAGCGTCGTAATAGACTATGACCACACGAGACACGTTTCATTGGAAACAACGCAACGTTGAGGCCCTCGTACCGAACTCCGAAGAAGATTTCAGCACATCTACAAATCGGCAACGGGCAGAACAAGAAGTTCCTTACGTGGAAAGAACTTCATTTCCTCTCTTCAGACCAACACGCTGGAACAGCTAGCATGAGAAGTGGTGAATTTGTAGTGAATTTTGCATGACAGAGTGCAGATGAGTCCGCCGGGACATTGTCCCTTTTGCCCTTCTGGGAAGTGGATTCTGCACACCGCAGAAGTCAAGGCTTATGCGGCGGGCAGCTTCTTCTAGACATGGCCTGGGTGCCGTTCTTTGCCCATGTCTATGCGCCTCCCTGTGCTTGCATAAGAGCACTGCAGCAGCCGCGGCAAAGACGCCAAAAAGAAAGGCTGCGAGCAAGCGCGTGCAAATTAAGCAAGAAGGCGAGAAAGCAAGGGCGAAAGGACCAGGCCGAGAGCTTTGACGCGTCTATCCGGCAGGCGCGTGAACTTTCCAGGCCACCTTTTCGGCAGAATATAGACGGGCTGAGTGCAGCAGAGGGCGCCTGTCCTTTCCCCTCGGCCCCACTTCCCAGGGCCTACCTGTGCACTTTTTTGAGCACTTTTCTGCTCTAAAGTTTGCTTATCACGATCGAAAAACGGGGCCCGGTGAATTTTGGGGCGAATTTTGAAAAAGCCGTGGGTGAATTTTGGCCCAAGGTGTCTATTCAAAATTCGCTAACGCACGAGAAACTCCGGGTTCTGGGGCTTCAAAAAAGTGTCGCCAAAACAAAAAGCCCCAAAATTCCCTAAGAGAATTCCTGATCTGGGGGTCACGTCGAAAAGGCCTCGCTCCGGAGGCAAAAACACACCTGGGGAGTTGTAACTAAGCAGAGCACAGCAGGCGAAGCAAGCTAGCGCCCGCGGCCGAATCGTGCCTCCCCTTCCACCCGAGGCTGCTCCCAGATATCCGAGTCCAAGCCGAGCCAACCACAACTCGCGAGAGCATACATGTTGAACTAGTGCCCCGGTGTTCAGGCGTCGTCCTCCCTTTCGACCATTCCAGAGAGGAACTTCTGAGGCAGACGCGCAGATTAACAAGAGCCCCACGAGCCGCCGTCTTTGGTTACATGTACACTACACAGTCCGGCGGACCCCCGCAAGGCCACTTCTTTCGGTGCTGCAAGTGACTGTGCCACCGGGCGACGAGCAGCCCTTCATGCTGCGTGGGCTGCTTGGGCTCGTGTCCAGCCCTTTGCGCTGCGTACAACTTCTCTTTTAAAGCAATAAATGCAAGTCATGCAATACAAATTCACTGCAAATTCACCCTTCTGTATGTTAACGACCGTCCAAGGCATAAACGTGGAAAGAACTTCATTTCCTCTCTTCAAAGCAAACCAACACGCCGGAAAACCTTGCGGCTTCTCCTTCTCAGCAGCTTCGGCTTCCTGAGACTAAAGAACGCAAGGAAATCATTTTTTCCTGCGAAGGCTCAATTTTATATTTATTTTCTGGTACTTACAACTGAAGGCGATCTGTACTCGCCTCACGAATCGCTTTCCGGTTCTTTTCTTTTGTCGTTTTCTACTCTACCGCACCGTTCCGCGCGGTCGCTTGATTTATTCTCGTCGACGTAGTTGATTTTCGGTCTACATCAGAAATCTAGGTGAAACGACAGCACACGCATAATTTTTTAGTACAATACTTTGTTTATAAAATTACAAAACTCTATACCTAATTCAAATATATTCCAAGATGTGCTTCCACAGAGCAAATTTGCTCCGCTGCGGGGCATTCTGTATCATTGGTCATACATAAAAGATTTAAGTAAACTTGATACATAAAAACAGCTGGGCGTAGGTAGGGGGGAACAGAAGCTTCCAAATCCTTCTGTCATAGTCACTCATGTTTGTTGAAGAATAAATCGATCATGCTTACACAGGGCCCGGGGAAGGTTCTTTGGAGAGGGTTTTACTCCCCTTCCGACCCCACAGTGCATACCCCGCACTTTCGGCGACGTCGACGAAGAGGCCAGGGTGACCCAACAACGTCTTCAGCCGGTTGTACATTTCATTGTCTTATCCATTGCAACTTTGTCTGGGTCTGGAAGAAGGCGAACTAGTGATGTTGTAGAATCAAGGTCATACAAATGTAGAATCAACGCGAAGGTGATGTTGTAGTTGCGAATCAAGGTCATACAAAAATCTGTGTTGCATGACTTGCAAATGAAAAACGTGCCTGTTTATGGCCATGAAGATAGGGTATCTTTCATGCAGAAGAAGCATCGCCAAGGGGCTGCAGAACCTGTGAAGATGCTAGGCGGCCGTGCATTCCAGAGTTGCTGGAGCCTGGAAAAACTGCAAACAAATCTCCGAAAAATCATCCAGACCCAGATACAGTTGCATTTGATACATCCGAGTCGCAGCGCAGCAGCAGGAGCGTGATGAGATCCGGATCGTGGCCGGGTTCGATCATTATGCATTGCAAATCTCGAACTGGGTCTGGAGACTTGTGACGTGGAGCTCCTGTGAATGCCTTGTTGACGGTCGCTGTGAGGACAGCCAAGCATGACAAGCTTGCAGAGCGCTCTACTTTTTTATGGTGCCTAGTGCACATGACAAAGTGCGTCATTTCATTTGCATGACACGAAAAGAAAAAGTCGCCCTTTATCATAATTAAGTAGCCATGCAATACTTGCAGATTTTCCAAGAGTTGCATGACAAGCTCCTCTTTTCCAGACCCAGAAATATTTTCAGTTGATAATCGTCAGGTACATCTTGCGACCGGCGAAGTACCAGTCCGAGGTATCCCGCGTAAAAACGTCCCCGCCCCAGAGTTGTCATGCGGATTTGCAAGAATGACAAGAACATTTACATTTGTGATGCGCAACATGGTCCCCATAATAATTAGGCACTTCCAGTCGTGTTTTGGAATTTGTAATGCAGTAAACAGGATAAACAGCTGGCTTTGTATTGCGGCTCTCCTTGCTAGTACCCTGCGCTACACTACGGACTGCAATTTGTCATGCGTGACTCCCAAAACTTTTGGGTGTGCGCTACAAAGTCCCCATCTTGAATCTGGTGGTGTGGGGATGTTTTTACTCAGGGTACCTGGGGTCTCCAGACTTCCCGCCGGCGTATTCCATTGTCGCGACGGGGCGGCTATGAACTGCAAATATGCATGGGTCTGGAGGAATGTTGAAAGACTTGTCATCCAATTCATGAACCATCCACATGGTCTGGAATGCACACAGTAGCATCACAGATTTTGCGAGACCAGACCGTCTTGATACTGATTTCGCATGAAAATTTCGGCTTTTGCGTAGCAATAAACGGGCAACTACTCTTGGGGTTTATGCAAGACAGATTTCGATTTTTTGTCGTCCAGGGTGTTGCATGAGAAGCTGCATCCTTCCAGACCCAGACCACATGTTTGCAATGCATAACGGCCAATCCGGTCTTCCACGTGCAGCACGGGGCGATGCAGCGCGCTAAACCAGTACGTTCCTTCACGCTGTTTCTGGAAAATGCGGTACACCCAGCTCTGCGGGTCTTCCGTTTCCGACTGCAGCTGTCCGTGCGATTTTCCGTACCGATACCAAAACCAGCTGGCGGGGACCGACAGTCCCTCTGGCTTCGCCCATATGCATTGCAAATATGTCTGGGTCGGTAAGAGTCCAAGGTTTGTCATGCTCGGCCAGCACGTCTCTCATGGGCGCTCCATTTTTCTGTCATAGAGAAAAACAGTTTGCCATGCAGACTGGGCAACCACACCTAGCAGCTAAAAAATTTGGCATGCTGGGCCGCCAATTGAGACATCCTCATGATTGTGCCACGACCCGCATCACAAGTTAGTTCCTACAGACCCAGACATATTGCATGCAATGCATAACCCATTGCAGATAGCCAAAGCGGTACGCCTGTTTCAAGTCGTCAAACGATGCGCTCAGGTCTTCCCGCGAGGTCCGCTCCTGTCCCTTGAAGCTGGGCACACTGGCGTAAAACTGCACGACGTTTCCGCGCCACCCCATGTTCCGGAGTGCACCTCTGACGACCACATCGGCGACCTTATCCAAATTTTGCTATGAGGGTGCACACAGCTCCCCCTTCCCCTCACTTGTACTGCAAAATCCTAAACATCTATTCGCTGCCTGTGCCTTGCTTGTTTGAATAAAAATAAATATAGCACCGCTCGCATAACAAATTCTGGATGAAGAGCCAAACAGTGTACATAGTATAACACTCGGCGCGTCAACTTGTCATGCGCACCAGCATACACGGCCTGTGCTGGTGTTTGACTTTGATTTTGAATTGCTATTCATGCCATACTACGTCAAATGAAGGGGACGAGGGGGAGTCCTTGCGCGGTCGGATACCTTGCCGCCCTGCGCCAGAAGCTTTTTCTGCGTGTAGACGAACGGTGGCAGTTCGTGATCCCCGTCCATCATGTACGCACGGGCTGGATGTCTCTGCAGAAACAGCCCGACGAACGTCAACCCTTTCAAGAAATCCCCCGCAATCGTCAGCCGCTGCTTCATATGCATTGCAAACATGTCTGGGTCTGGAACACTGCAACTTGTCAACTTCATGCTCCTGGATGATGCAAAAATCTGCGGCGCATGACTACCAAAAGTTGTTCACTTTTGCACAAACTGAAGGGGAGCGTCTCACGCAGGATAGGCATGATAGAGATCTCACAGAATCTTGTCACTCTAGGTCCCGCATTCGAGCCCTCATGGGAGGTCATGGAAAACCTGCATAAACAAACCTTGGCGTTGTCTTCCAGAAGACCCAGAGAGGAACTATTTGCATTTGATACTTCAGGAAGATCTCGCCGTCGCTCCCGTCCTCCTTCTCGTAGCGCACGCTGTATCCCATGGAAAAACGTCCCCACCCCGGAATCACGATGGACAAGTACCTGCCGCACAAATGACAAATCAACAAACTTTGGTTGTTGCGCATGACAAGTTTGGCTCCGCAATGAAGTCGAGTTTCGCTAGTGCAGCAGCATCACAGATCTAGCATCCTCATACTGATTCGAGCATCACAAATTTCCAAACTGCAGTAGAAGACCAAGCTACTTCATCAATCTCACGCCGGTCCGCATGAGAATTATTGTAAGCATGCAGATCTGCATGACAACTCTCGGAAGATCTTGGGGACGTATTTATTTATTTAGGATACGTTATACGGAAAGTTCATGCCATCCCCGGAGAAACCCGAGCGGGCCCGCTCGGAAAAGAGCAGGCGGTACGCCACTAGGGACAGCTTCTTGCTCTGCGGCTTTTCACGATTATCAAGTGCAAATATGTCTACGCCGTCTGGAAGATTTTCATGCATCTCGCGGACCACACTCATCGTGGTCTAGAATGCACACAGAACCATCACACATTTTGCGATCCCTTCCTCATGCCTATCCCGCATAGGAACAAGTCAGCCATTCTTTACCTAGCAGCAAGTGCGCGCCAGCTTTTGGTCTTCACATGTAACACAGATTTTTTTTGTGGTCGAGACTTCGCATCACACGGTGAAGCTGCATCCTTCCAGAGACGCTTCAGACATATTTGCAAAAATGCATAACGATCCGGATTCACCCAAACTTGGTGGTCAAACTGCTGGCTTGCCAGGTTGTGCTCTTTCGTATCAACTGCAAAAATGTCTGGGCCTGGAAACTTGTAATGCAAGTCCGTGAACAATCAAGTGCTCTGTAATGCGCCGCCAAGCATGACAAGTTTTTTCGTGTTTCTGTGCTGCGTATTTCGCATGAGAAGCTGCGCTTTTGCATGACAGGCAAGAGGACCTCTTGGTGGCCACGCAATACAGAGTGCAGAGTCATGCTAGGCTGGCATGACAAGTCTCGCAATCTTCCAGACCCAGACATTTTTGCATTTGATATTTCGGGTACTCCAGCATCTTCTCCCACAGCTCCTTGTCGATCCCCGTCGGTTTTGCCACCGCCTCCGCTTCCTCCTGCTGCTCGGGCGACAGAGCCGGTTTGTTTTGCACCTCCAGCGCAGCCGATTCTTGCAGCATCTCCTCCTCCTCCTCTGCAGCTCCTCCTGCCGGCTCGTCCCCCACTTGAAGATGTTGATGTTCCCCAGGTAGTAGTACAGCAGCAACACCCTCCTGTGCTTGTTCTTCTGCTTCGGCTCCTTTCTCGACATCGAGAAGATGGCGCACCTCCAGAAACCCGCTGGAGAACGCCGTGGAGGTGTTGTTGAAGTAGTCCGACACGATTTCTAGACCTTCGCTTGGCGTCGAAGTTTCTTGCTCGAGAAAAACATTGCCCTGCTCTTGCTGTACAAATTCCTCCTGGTCGTGGTCGTGGTCCAGCTTGGCATTCAGCGTACTAGAAGTTGCAGCCGCGACGTGTCTTGTTGTACTTGTTCGGTAGAAGTGGTTCTCCTCTCCTTCATTCCCCGGCTGCACATAGACATAGCCTCCTCGTAAGGCCCGCTTGATGTTCTTTGGACGAGGAAGATCATCTTCAGGCTCAGGCAGTAGACCCCCGTGGTCCGATGCGGCAGCAAGTCCACCATGCGCTCCGATTCTTAGCTCCTGCTCTTCGCACCGACCGAAAAGATGAACTACGGGATCACCACGTCCTCGAGGGGTGGTTGTATGACTTGGAAAGAAGATGAGACAAATTTGAAACAGCTCCAGGCACAGGAAGAGGAACGCCAACGTCACAGCCTTGGAGGACGAAGACGGCGGACGGCACTCCGTGCGCGGACTACGAAACAAACTAGTACTAGTACAACACGCTTTCGGTTTATTGCGAAACATCTTGAGCAGGTCGCCGTGGGAATGAGATGCTAGATGAACTAGGCACTGCTTGTTCTACTCCTTCTGAACTAGATGTTAACCCTTGTTCTATTTGTATTTCATAACTGAAGATATTTTAGCAGGTACTACTAGCATCTAAATAAAGCTTCTGCGGCCTCCACTGCTGTCTAAGTTCCGTCTCATCTTCGATTCTTCAGAAACGCAAATTCTACGACGTGAGCTCAAATCTATTTCGAGGCGATAACGATTGTTGACTTTTGTTTCCTTGTTCCCCTGCGGCCCTCCCGAAGACGAGTGAGATTGTACTAGATCGGATTTTAAGGTAGAAGTACTAGGAGCATCTTGTTCACCTTGAGCACGATTTTCGATTCGTCCATTGCTTCTCCATCGACGCGAACGCGATGAACGATGCTTGATGAACTACCCCCTTCTTGCTTGATGAACTACATCCACACCCACAGGGGGACGAACATGAATTAGTACGGCAAAACTAGTTCGGTACACTAGAGTTCCCGTGCAGCAGCTTGAACACCGGCTTGCGACCTGCAAGCTGCACAGCGGCAGTCTTGGTTCGTTGCCGCTTCTTGGGCCAGTTGTTTTGCGATTTTCTTTTCGACGATTTTTCCCTAATAATGTGCAATAGTACCTATTTTGTTTTAGGTTATAGGTTTTTTATGTACAGCGCACACTGTTCTTTTGCTCTAGAATATATACAGCAACAGCAAAAGCGATTTTTTCTTCATGAAAACATGTTACATTAGCAGCATTATCATATCTATTCAACATCAATCCATCCGCATGTGGCAGGATGGCAGTGCAACTGAGTATGTGTAAACTGAAAAACAATGTGGTGCAAAAATAATTAAAAGTGTGTATCATAGAGTCGTTGGAAGTCGTCCTGTGGATATAATTTTTCTCATTTTGTAAATTCAATCGTGGTAGAAGTTTGGGAGATCGGATAAACGTTTTTCGGCCAACACGAGAATAATGAAACAGACGGTCCTCACGGTCTCTGTCATAGGAACAATTGTGTGAGTCTTTTAGAAGTCAACAGTGTACTAGTACTGTTAGTCATTCTGTAATTGCATAGTGTAAAGTCTCAACTTCAGTGGTAAGAAAATCTTCTCTTTTGAACTGTCCGTGCTGTAGCTTAACAAGTCTCACTATAAATCTGCTCTGAAGCAATTACATAAGTTTATAAAGTTTGCCGCTTGAAACACAAAATTCCGTTGTACAACCTGTAAAACAAGATCATCTTCGTTCCTCCACAACATGCTGGATTCTCCCTCACTGGCCATCGAACAACACGTCCTCCTCGACTGCGGGCGCGTCTTGTTGCTCTATCGTGAGGAAAAATCCCCCCTCCCCATATCGGACAGGAAATTCGTGACGCTGGACTTGCGCACAGAAATCAGTTTGTATTGCTAGAATGGAAAGAGCCGCAGCTGCGGCCTTCATTGCAGGTAATTTGTCATGCTGTTTGCCACTTCCAGTTGCCTCCTGTCATGCTGAAGATGCAAGGCTTTGTCACGCCAGCCAGCACGACAGTCCGCATCTTTTGTCTTCTAGCATGACAACATGATTTGCGGCCACAAATCAGCATCACAAATTTCCAGCTTGAGTATGTGGTGGGGGGATTTTTCCTTTTGATATGCTCCCCGTTCAGCTCCAACATCGCCGAGAATTTGAGGTCCATCGCTATCGCACGAAAAAATCATGGGTTTCACTCTCACTGCGATGCTCATGATTTTGCAAAATGATCTGCATTACAACAATTTCATCACCCTACATGACTCACAAAATCAGCTATGAGTGCCTCCTAAAGGAAAACAAGACTATTTGGTGCTACCCCGCTTCTCGCATTTCTAGCAAGATACAAAGTTTCGTCTTGCATGTCGAGTCAGCCCTGCATCAAAGGTAGTTTACAGCGGTGAAACAGTTTTTTCCGGCAATATTCTCATCCGCCGTACCCGCAGGCAACCCCACTCCCGCTCTCTCCGCTCCGTCGAAGGTGCCCGCCAGGGTGAAAACTCCGTGATCCCTGCTTGTTTTCCCGGTGTCCCCCGCCTGGTCGTTGTAGTTCTTCTTCTGGCCGGAGATCGTAACCCGCTGGTTCAACATTTTCGTCGTGACAGCAGTCGAAGATGGAAGAGACGGTTGCTTGTCAAGAGCAGAGTGGTCTTCGCCGTCACCGTTTTCACCGTTCTTGTTCTCGCCGGCGGCGGAGGTTTGCTTCGTTTCTCCGATCCATTGCTCTCCGTCCGCAGTGGAAAAGTACTGGTCCGCCGTGGTGGTGGTAAAGGAGGATGCGCCACCGGAGGTGAGAGTTGCCGTGGCAGAAACAGTGGTCTTCGCCTGCGGGGGCACCGTCGCGGACAAAAGTTCTTGGAGCGGCGCAGTAGACGTGGACTCGGTTTCCAGTGTACTGGAGGATCGCGGAACCTCCACCCCTTTTCCGTCGTAATGTTCTTGAAGCAATTTTTTCAGGTGTTTGACGATCTCCTCCGTATGATGGGAGTGCGCGACAGCTTCCCCAGCTGCCCCTCCGACAATTGCCCCGGTCTCCATCAGATTGGTGAACCCGGGAATCTCAATCATGTGAGTGAAAAACGCGTCAATCACGTCCGTGTGGTGTTTCTGCGCTTTATGCGGGTTATTGTCCTTCTCGCGGTGACTGTGATGCTGATAGTCCAACAACAGGATTTTCTTGAGCAGTTCCCGTAGGACGTTTACCTTCCACTTATACATTTGAGCCCAGAATTCGCCGTGCGAAATCCCGTCCCGCATGCCGTTGTCGACAAAGACAAAACGCGCACACTGATCGGATGGATCTGTCGGCTCACTGTACAGCCTGGCAACGAACGAAGTGATGAAGTTCGCAACGCGTATATTACAATGAAAAATACCTCCACTCCCTATCAAAACGGAAATCTCTGATGCAGATTTGTGGTCACAGATCAGCTTTGTCATGCTAGAGGGAAAAAGATGCGGACTGTAGTGCTGGGTTGCGTGGGAAAGCCTTCCATCTTCAGCATGACAGGAGGCAGCTGGAAGTGAACAACAGCATGACAAATTGCCTGCAAACGAGGCCATAACTGCGGCTCTTGGCCTTCTAGCAAAGTCGATTTGTGTACTCAAATCCAGCACCACAAATTTCGTTTTCGATATGGGGAGGGGGGATTTTTCCTTTTGATAGCGCACGGGAATGTGCTTGTTGTTGACATCGTGATCTATCGCGAGGTGGTGGCTCTTCACCTGCTTCAGCACCTTCTCCATGGTATGAAGAAACTTTTTCGGATCTCCTCTAATGTTCGCGTCGACAGCGTTCACGATCTCAATCGCCTGCGCCATCTGCTCGTCCGGACGTTCCCCGGCAAGGTGTTTACCCAAGAAGTAATTAGAAATTTTTCCCGCATTGCCGTTCATGGCGTCGCGAAAGTCCTTCCTTGCTTTCTCGAAGAACGCCTCGGTCTTATAGAACTCGGCGAGTGTAGTTCCGTGCAGCGTGTAAGACACAGTATGCTTGCAAAACAACTACCACTACGTCACGTGGCCACTATTTAATCATATTTCTCCTGCTTCAGCTAGACAAAAAGAAAGGATGTTTTGACCTTAGCGTTGGCACAGCTGAGCCACGCATGACAAAGTCTAAATAGGCTCTTTGATCTTGATTCAATATGATTTTCTGATGCTCTACCGACGTTGGTTCGAATTCAAAAACATAAGTCCACATTCATACCCGTACCGAAAATGCAAACGACATTAACACAAGTTGTGAGGCGCTCATGCAATCCTGCACCCCAACGGCTGTCCGAGTCCGCCCATTATATCGGAGTGGTAGATATGAGACACGAGTAAATGACGTACTTAAGTAGTAGACGTTTGCATTTGGTAAGCGACTTCAGAAAGCAATTTGTGTAGGTTGTCTTCACTGTGGGCGTGTTCCACTGCTTTGAGCTGCTGCTGATGATCGTGGTGCTGGTGCTTCACGTATTCCGCAACTGCTCGCAACAAAATTCCGTAGTTCTGCACTACCGCATCTGCGAGAACAGAGGTCGTTGTTGTCACACGATAGTAATGGTAGTCACCCTCCCAGGGCTTGCGCTCATTCCTCTCAAAGAACCGCAAAAAGGCGATGGGAATGTTGTGCCAGAGTAACTCCATCGGATTGCTTCGAGGTCTCGCTTTCCTACAGGTTGCAACTTCCCGTGATGCGCGAGTACCTTTTTAAATTCTTTCAACTGGTGGAGATGTGGGTTTCGCTCCTTATCGACCATCGGCATTTTGTGGGTTTTATCATGATGCTTTTGCTCGATTTCGTGTGCGCGTGTCCACAGTTTCCGTGCTAACTCCTTCAGATACTTTTCTGTCTCCCCGTCATCCAGCATTCTGTAATGCCATTCGCTGGTGTCCTGCTCATCGCCGGACGTAGCGTGTGGTACCAATTCCTGCTCACCGTCGGACGTAGCGTGCTTTGCCTTTGGTGGTGGTGCCAATTTCCAATTACCGCTGAAGATGAAGTGCAGACAGTCTCGCGGAATTTTCGTGTCATCGCGGTCGGGATGCTCTGCGTCGAGATGCTCTGCGTCTTGGAACAGCCGAGCGACGTACAATGTTTTCTTGTGCTTGTTATTTCCTTTTCCTCTAGTAACCGAGTGGTCCTCTTTGTTTTCCGCCCAATCGTTCTGGACACGGACTGGCTGGGGAGCATAGCCCTTAGCGTCGTCTTTGATGACGATAGACCCTTCGACGAGCAACTCATCGACCAACCTGGGTGGAAGCGGCCGGTGAATCTTGGCAGTCAGGCCGTCGTGTCCTTTTTCGTGCTTCTTCATGTACGCTTTCCACCACGCTTTCCACTTGTCTACAGTTGTCTTCGGCGCCGCCGCTGCCACTGCCTGCATCCGGTCCCTGAAGGCCGGGTCGTCATACTGACTCAGCCTCGCTTTGTCTTCGTCCGACCATGGATGCAGTTTCAGAGGAGCGTCGTCTGGAGGGTTGTCTATGTCATAGATAGCCCCGAAGCCATCTTCGTCCTGTCCGTGCCCCTCAACACCATTGCCCGCTGTAACGCCCAGCTCCACAAACGCCGAACCCCCGTCCGCAAAGTAGTTCACCGTTCCGTTGTGCAGCACGACCGAGAGAAGCTTCCGCTCTTCCTGCTTGCCCGCCTGTACCAAGTTCTTCTCCTGTTCCGTCTTCCGCAGACCGAATTCCTCACCAGCAAAACCTTCCTCCGCCAGATCACTGGCTTCTTGTTCACCCCGACTAGCAGGATTTACTACACCATCGTCCTCCCGCGCAACACCTTTCTGGAAGAAGCTTCCCGGCACGAGCTGGTACAACTTCCGGGGTTGCTGCTCATGCTTCCCCGGCTGTTGTTCTCCTTGCGGTGCCACTTTTCCTTGTCCGACACGACGAGCGTGTTCCACCCGTTTCTCCTTGTGCTGCTTCTTCCCCGTACCCTTCCGGCCAAGCGCGAAGAAATTTCCATCGGTCGTGGTACCCGAAATCACAACAGCAATCAGCACCCGCGAGGCGCCGCCGACACGGCTTCCCGCTGCTCCACGGGGCGCGGAGAACATTTCTTGAACGTACACAGTTAGTTGCAGATGTGAAAATCGTAAATTTTCCTCCCCGAAGTAAAATCGTTTTTTTTTTGTCAATTCTTCCTCCACACAGAAAGAGCGCAACCGGAGTCACGCTAAATGTGAGGTAGAAGAAAAAAAACGTAACCTGGTAGAAATTTGTGGAAATTTTGCTCGTCGTCGTATGTGCGAAAGGGAAAGAATCTGTGGTTAAATATATTTGAAAGTTTGACGACAATTGTGCCCACGACAATAATGTTCTATCGATGTCCTTCTATTCCAGTCTACGACGTGCAGTGGTGCAGCGATAGAGCAAATGCAAGAGCCAAAACGGCCGCCAGTGGAAAGCTTTTTGCCCATCGTCCGTGGCTGACGTTGACTATGAACATGAATTCAGAATTCCCACGAAGCGACGAAATAAAAGCTTTCCAGACGAGCCTGCGACGATACCGATCTTCTACTGATTTTCAAGACGAGGAAGATGTTGACGAAGCGGTGAGGTGGAGCACATTTGAGAACTTTGTTTACTGCGATGACTGTGAAGAAGCCGAAGCCCGCTGTTCTACTTCCAAACATAACGAGCTCTTCCTAATATGACGAGATGCAGTGTGGCTGCGACGCCATGCACTTGTAGTACGACAAGGACGAAAATAATGATAATCCGCAGTGATTCTGTTTCTGCGGCTGAACACCAGCACTTTTAGTGAACTTCATACCGGCCAACAAAAATCGTGACCGGGACCGACCAAAGGTACAACCCGACAACACGCCTGTGGTGCTCGTGGTGCACCGTCGTCGTCAGTCGCCTCTGCCTAAATATTGAATGGTGAGCGTGGCAGTGGGCCTTACTGCGGTGTAAACAGAAGATGTTGAATTTGAATTCTCATTAGCTTTCGACATAACAATTTTCGCCCTATTACTCAAAAGTCTCTGCTGCTGAAACGCAGGATCTAGCAGCGACGCTGAACTTTGGAGTGGTGCGGGGTTTTGTCCTTCTGGGCGCTCTGGCTGCACCAGCGCACTCCCTGCATGATTTCTTGTCATGCTCATGCCTGCATGATTATGCGCGGCCAAGCGCCCACCAGCTGCTCCGCTGGGTTTCATGGTACTGTTGGAAGTGATCTTCATGGTCGTGTTTTTCATCATTCCGAAACCGCCCCCAGAACCTCGATTCGATGACGATGCCGAGGCCCTGCTCTGCGACAAAGCGTTCTCCAAATTGCCCACGTCCATCCGGGTATGCATTTCAAAAAACACTGTGGTGTACTGTGGTGCCCTCAAGCAGACCTGCGTCTGCCGACGTGCTAGTTGTTGACATCCCGTGCTGATAGATTTAGACTGTGGTCTCTTTCTATATGCAACAAACTTTGACAAGAGCTAATACATGCTTCCTTCATTCTTTATTCGCCTTATTTTCATTTTCATCTATTCTTTCGTGAATGCTACACCGCGAGAGCAAAACACTTAATTGATTGCCCCAGTGACAACATTACACAGCATTTTTTTCAGTTCCCGCTGATACTCTCGCGGATCCACTGTCAGCCCGAGCCGTTGTCCCCACTGCTATCGCACGAAAAAACCGTTTCACTGTGATGATTTTGCAAGATCTGCATAACAAGTTTGTTACACATGACAAAGAAAACTTGGCATGCGTGCTTCCTAAAGGAAAACACAGCTGAAAATCCAATGTCTTGCATGTGTAGCACGACAAACACATTTGCGTTCCGTTCTATGCATCACAAGTTTACAGTGAAAAAGCTTTTTCTTGCGATAACTGCCGCTCATAGGTCAACGCCCGGCACTCCTTTTCGGCCAGGCTGTTGCAGTTTATGACTTGCTCATGTGCGTACGATCTCATGTTACGAATACAAATGGAGACTTGTGAGGCAAAGACTGAATGATCTGGCCGCCTCTCACAGGACTTCTACACATGACAAGTTCTCGAGTCGCAAACCGCATGGGAATCGTCCGGCGAAACTTGTATTGCAAAAAGCGGAACCCCTGTGTGTCTGTCATGCTGCTCACGCAAGACATCAAAATCCAGATTCTATTGGAACAGCTGTTGAGATTGTAACTACACTTGAGCAGGTGATACAGTCCTGAAACAGTTTTTGGTAATCCTGGAATTCCTGCAGCTTCTTCGAAAAAGTTGCGGAGAGTTGCGGCTCGTCACCCTCACTGCCAGAACGACCCTCGGAGTGACTATGTTGAAAAGGCTGTTGGTCTTCTTCACTGCTATTCCCCCCAAAAAGTACTTCCCCAACGTTGAGGTTTTCTCCCTTATCGTCGCTACCGTGACTGCCCCCCGAGGCGTCGCACTTGATCTTTCGCAACACCGAGCTGGGCTGCAGGTACTGCGTCATGGAGGGATCCAGGGCGCGAAAGAAATCGTTCAGAAATTTGTTCCTGTCCTGCGCGACGCGTCGCGCCGAACTGGTGCCGTCGGCCTTCGCAGCGGTTGTTTCCGTCCTTTCCAACAGGAAACAAAACTCCTGGACCAGCTCTTCCCTATCGAATTCAAATATGTCTGGGTCTGGAAGAGCGCAGACATTTGTGATGCAGTTCCGCCTAGCCCAGAACGTCTGGCATGCAAGCCCTAGGATCACAAATTCCGAGCAGGTATCCCAATGCCTAATCCGCTTGCCAAATGCCCCCTTTCTTCAACAGGAAATGGGACCTTTTGGTGACCATGCATGACAGATGTTGTCATGATGTAGAATTTGCATCACAAATTCGAATCCATCCCGACCACCCATATATATTTGCAATGCATACTCCCACAACTCGGCTGCTTCCGATTGTTCCCGCGTGGACACGAACAGAATTGCTTTTTCGACGTCCTGTAGATTCCGCAAAAAGATCTTCACGGCCTCTTTTGCGAGCCCCGCTTTGGACAACAAAAATACCAACGCGTCGTAGAGCTCGTGTTCCTTGCACAGCCCGATGGCGTGCTCAATGTAGGTCAAATTGGTCTGGTGATCCTGCAAGAAATCCAGAATTGCCTCCGAACTTGGATCCTCCTCGTAGTCTTCAGGAATAGCATTTTTGCTACTTCTTTTCCTGCTTCTATCGCTCGTATTCGCTGCGTTGCGCGAGCCACGGACGGGCTCAGGAACAGAATTATGCGTAACAGCTACTTGTTGCTCGCCAATTGTTCCCTTCTCTGGCAATTCATTATTCGCATTCTTAAACGCCGCCACGCTACCACTGGAAACGACAACATCATGATCCTGCCCGATGCTTATTTTGCTGTCTTCCTCTATTTTCCGCGAAGGGGGGCGATTTTCATCCTCGGCAATTTCAATTTTCTTCTCCCTTATTGCCAGTTGTTTTTTCCGGCTTACACTCGCGTCGGCGACTAGCAACCGAAAGTGTTCGTCGTGGTATTCGCGAATGGCCGCGAAGTCCTTGACCTATGGAATGCAAAAGCATCGCACTCGAACTCGTATAGATGCATTAGCATTACAAATTTCCTCAGCATTAGAAATAAAATTTGTAATGCGGATTCACCTCAAGAAAAAGATGCGTAATGCATGACTGCAATTACTACGAGTACGAAACTTTTGCAGTTCATATGACCCGCATCTGGTTGAAATACCGCAGTAAGAATTGGTTGAATCCGTGTTTTTCTTCCTGATGTAGAATTCCACCGCGTCTGCTGCTCCCAGTTTCATCTACTGTCTTGGCGTCCTCCACCAGCCTCCTCAACCTCTCCACGGTGTCTACCACCGGGAATAAACAAGCGGCACTGTCCACGAGAAACCCGACGCACAAGTCCGCGTCGAGCGTCAGCAGCGCTCGCAGATTCTCGAACACAAATCGGGTACACAGAGAAGTGGTTGTTGTTGTAGACCACGCCCTCGCCGCGCCATCCACGACACCAGCAGATGTTGTTGACCCGCCTTTGGTCAGCCGCCGGAGTAGCGAGAACACCCCGGTGACGGCCTGGTACTGCAACAGAACCTCCAGGGCGGGTTGAAACTGCTGTTTCTTCTCGTAAAGCAGCGCCAAACACTCCGCGGTCACCTGCGTGAAGTGCTGTGAGAAAATGTTGTCGCTTGTTGATGTTGCAGCTGTAGTACCAGAAACTGTAGTACTTTGAGTCTTGTCATGTGCTCCTGTTTTGTTCCCACGACCGCTCTGGTCCGGCTGCTTCTGCTGCTTATGCCGTAATAAACTAGCACTGCCGTGCTGCTCTAACTGGTTCTGCAGTAATAGCTGCAGCAAGTCGGTAGAATAAAGCTCGTCCACTTGCTCAACATTTTCTGCGCCATTCGGACCGCTTGCAACACCGACTTTTGACGCGCCGTTGGACTTAACCGTCAATCCCCAGGTAGAGAGCACCTCCAGCAGGGCCTTCGGGTAGGAAATCAGTCTTTGTAACACCATGTCGCACATGACCCGGTCCAGCTTCTCTGGATTGATCAAGGCTGCAACGCGGTGGATGCAGTTTCGCTCGAGGAAAATTTCCGTAATGGCTTGCTCCCAATTCTCCTCCGCACTAGCGGCCTCCTCGTAAATGTTTTGCGCGGTTGAAGATTCTGCTTCCTCTTCAAGATTTGTATTCACTGCCTGATTCAGATTCGACGTCGTGGTGCACAACATGACCAGCTGCTGCGCCCGTTCTTCGTTTTCGTTGGTGCCGCACCCGGCGAGGACCTGCTTCACCGCCTGGATTAGAACGCGGGACAGGCTCGGGTGAGATTCCTTCGCGAGCAGCAAGATCGCTTCCTCGTATCGGTTCTGCGCTTTTTCGCACAAGAAAAGCGCGTCTTCGAGTACGTCCCGGCGATGCACCCGGATGATGTCAGTCCCGCTTGTTCTGCTCGTCGTTTCAAAAGCAGTTGATGTTCTTTTCGATGATAAACCACCAAGAGTTGTCACCAGATCTGCAGCTTCTGTGTCGGTCACAAAAATCACGCCGCAGGAAAACTCCTGCAGATGTGATTCCGGTGCGTCGTGGTGAATTATATTCGCAGCAGCTGCTCCCGTCTGGTCGTTCATCGTTCCATCAAACACCTGCTCGGATTCGTTCACGCAATACAGCACATTCACGTGGTGGCTCGTGCTCCCAGCAGAGTATTTTTTCGCGAGGTAGTTGTTCTGCTGCAACATCATTTCCCTTGACCTTAACTCGGCGTCGCTGTGTCTCTCCTTGCAGAACAGCTTATCGGTGTGCAAGATACTCCGCGTTCGCAGGCTTACTAAATGATGGTTGACTTGATGCTCCTGGATTATAAACAGCGGGGAGCAGTCCTCGACGAGTGTTGTTCCAGCTCCTGCTGCTGCTTTTTGCGATGATCGCGTCGCCGAAACTGCTGGCTTATGCACGACTTGGCGTCCTCGTGAAGATGAAAAGGGACTGCTGCTGCTTTCTTCCACTTCCATCGAGCTTGCAGGAAACACTCCACGGTCCGCCTCCGCGCCATTCGTCTCGGCACGAGGTGGTGGACCACCCCTCACGGCACCAGTGGAGTCGCCCAGAATCTTGACGCAAGGCCGCTGCCACGGTGGGGGCAGAAGCGCAGTTGTTGTCCTCGTGTCTTTGAATTGCGGGTCCTCTACATCTGTTTTTCTGGTACTAGAACCGACTCCGTAAACGACTTCATCCGCCGTCAAAACCAGCAAATCGCTCCGGACCCGCGGATCCGGCGCCAGCCCGACGATCTTGCTAGAGTAGAAAGGCAACGACGGAGAGGACAACACTGAAGAGGACATCACACACTGTGCCAAATAATTCGCCGTCAGACTCATGTTCACAACCACCTCGCAGAAGTAGCTCACCGCTCCCCCGGACGACGACCCGTTCTGCCCGTTCAGATGTATTACAGTGAAAAATGCCCCGACCCCCAGAGTTGCAAGCATTTGTGATGCGAAGTTTCCAAATGAAAACTTTTTGTCATGCATGAAAGGAATACGAATCTTTGTGATGCAGAGTCTAGGCGCATATAGCATTGCTTGCATGACAAGCGCCGCTCTTGCTGGGATCTTTTGCAATACAAATGTTCGCTATTCACGATTGGGAATCTGTGATGCAGCTGGATGCAAGAGGGCGCATGTTTCACCTGGAAAGGTTTGCAATACAAATGCTCTCAAGTTCGGGGATGGGGGCATTTTTCATTGTAATAAGATGCGGGTTCTGTTCGCGGATTTTCGCCACTTTCAACTCCAAATTTTCGCCAATGCACAAAGTCCACCCGAAATCCAGCCAGAGGAGCACGGTGGGCGGGGGGGTTGATGGTGGAGGTGCTCCTGTTGGGACCTGTTGTGTAGATGAAGAGCTTGTTCCCCCCGGAACTGGTCCTGCTCCTGCTCCTCCTGTCAATGGGATAAACGCGATCTTCTGCATGGTCTTCGTGTGCAGCATATGCAATGCAAAAGCATCGTACTCGTGTAATATTAAACGCATTACAAATTATATCCTCAGCATGAGAAAGTAAATTTGTAGTGCTGATTTACCTCAAGAAAAAAATTTGCAATGCATGATTGCAATACGAGTACGATACTTTTGCACAGGATCCAGCAGTTTCACGCCCTTCTCCGTGGTCCAGGCCGCGATCTGCAGTTGGCCCCACTTGCAACTGCTTTGCCGTGCGTAGCTATTGAACACCGTTTTGGTGGTTTCTTGGTCGAACGAATTATGTCGGGCGGGGGTTGAATTTGGTTTTGGATTGTCCACATTGATCATATTATGCTTTTTGTTCATCTTACTGTAGATCGTATCCAACACCTCCACCGTCGGATTCCGCACGGAGTGTTTCTTGCACAGCAAAACCTCGACTTTCGATTTGGTTCCGGTGGTCAAAACAAACCTGGGAAAAGCCCGGTCAATCATCGGGTCGGCGGCGCAGGAGAGGCACAGCCCAATCACGTCAATTTTCCAGAGCTGAATCGAGGGTTGCTCCACGTTCAAAACGATGCACTCGTACAGCCCGGCGACAATCAGAAACTTGTGGTTCACGGAGAGGCAGGAAACCTCCTGCTCCAGGATCCTTCGAGAAAGGGAGGATGAGCTCGTCGTCGTAGAAGGGGTGGTTATCGTTATGGTTTTGATATTATGGTTGTGATCACCTTTATTCTGATGCATGTTGCTGTCCAGCACCGGTGACGCCCCCGCCGCGGGAGATGAAGAAGCATCACCATAGACAGCAGCTCCTTCGTGTACTAGTTCCCCTGTAGTTCCTGTCACCGACCCTACTAGACCGCCACGCGGAGACGAGGCGGTTGACGCGGACACGACGCTCGCAGCAGTAGAGGCCGCGTCGTGCTGCGAGAGTACTTCCCCTTGTGCTGATATAATGTGGTGTCCACGTGCAATAGAAACAATTGATGTCCCTGTAGTATTTATCCCGACCCCTTGCTCCGACGCGGTTGTGGTTTTCCAAATCGAATCCACGAAGTCGGACGGCACCTATCCTGAGTAAAAACGTACCCACCCCAGAGTTGTCATGCAGATTTGCCATGACAGGAACATTTGTGATGCGCAACCCCATGAGAGGCATTTCCAATCGTGTTTTGGAATTTGTGATGCTGTAAACAGGATCAGCAGGTCGATTTGTGACGCGGCTTTCCTTGCTAACTTGCACTACCTTACGGACTGAAACTTGTCATGCGTGACTCACAAAACTCCTAGGTTTGTGTTGCAAAATCTCCATCCTGACTCTGGTGTGGGTACGTTTTTACTCAGGATAGCACCGGCGTTTGGTTTTGCGAGGAACTGGAACTCTGCTGGGACGCGGTTTCGGCGTTATAAGCGCCCTATCCTGTGTAAAAACGTCCCCACCCCAGAGTTGTCATGCAAATCTGCATGCTGAAAATGTTTCTCATGCGGAGCCACATGAGAAGCATTTTCCAGGTGTGTTCTGGAATTTGTCATGCTCCAATCGGCATGATATAGTAGATCTGTGATGCTGCTGAGCTAGCTCAAACAGCACTACACTACGAGCCCAAATTTGTCATGCAAAACGGCCAAAACTTGTGGATTTGTCTAGCCGAGTCCCGATCTTGACTATGGGGTGGGGACGTTTTTACATAGGATACGCCCTGCTGCTGGTTCTTATTTGGGACGTCTTGCAGCACATGATCAGCTGGAGGCGTGGAAGACGACTCCAGGTTAGCAGTGCCCAGCCTTGTCTGGCGCTCTACTTGATCCTCGTCCTGCGCAAGCACTACATTGCCTGCCAGGTCACCACCACTCCCGACGACCCCAGCACTCCCAACCGTTGGGAAAAAAACTTGGTGCTCCCAGAGCATGCGAAACCGGGAGTGGGTTAGCAAGTGCTTCACGTTTTTGCTCGTGCGCTGGGAAGTTTGCGAAGTAGATGCGGCTGTTGTAGTAGTGGAGGTGGGAACAGCAGCTGCATTACTGGTGATTGTCGGTGTAATATTTTTATCCCGCTCCAAAACCACCGGACTTGCGCCCGGAATGAGCGACGTGTCTTCAAACAGCTGCACATGCCCCGAAGCGCGACCGACCGCGACGAAGGCTTTACCTCCCAGGCTCACGCAGGAAACGTAATCAGGGCTGTTGAACAAAGGTCGCGGAGAAGTTGTGAGGTTTGTTCCCTGCCGATGCTCCTCCCGCTGCTGTTGTTGTGTTTCCGCAGCTGTAGGGCTGCTGGAAGCTGCGCCAGACGTGGCAAGTCGTATCTCGTTATCGGCATCAGTATCGTCTACACTTGGTCTCGCAATGTCCTTGATGCGCAGGTAATCCACACGAGGCAGCGGGTCTTTCTCCCCCGCCTGGCTGTGTGCAGGGGGGGGTCGGGCGACGGACATGTTGTAGTTTTGTGACGATTTACAGTTCCTCTTGTGCAAGAACTACTTTAGAGGTTTGGGACCGCGATTGGAAGTTTCGATATCTCTCAACCACCATTTTAAAACCGGAGAAGCGTCCTCCGTTCTTCTGTCTAGACCAAAGTTGGTGATAAAGATTTTCTGCCTAAGTAGATCTTCGACGCAGCTCGCTCCAAGCAAGGAGCGACGCACTTGATAAGATATCTGTATAGGAACTTTCGCAGTGTTTGGTCGGGCGAAAGGAATTGAAAACGTCCTAGATGAGCCACTGATGGTGGAAGAACACAAGCACACTTTCGCAAAAAATCAGTGCGCCCGGAGATGGGAGTGCCTATTTTTGGTGCACTGTGGTAACGGAAACGAACCAGGTTTCATCTTGCAGTTGCGAGAATGGAACTTCAAACATGACCTCGCAACACAAAAAATACACTATGCGGCGACGTCGCCTCTTTTTTCATCTTCTACGGTGCGCAATAGTGCCTGGTAAGGAGGAGGACAAAATTACCCTCTGCAATGGATGCGAGAGCGAGTACAAAGGACCATAAACGAAGTAAGTAGCTCTATCTGTTTTTCTTCAATAAAGTAAAGCCATGGACCTCAGACGAAGTAGTTTTACCCAGATGGACCCTGCTGGCTTGCGACGGTCCTCCTCGGGGGAGCGATTCTTGCTGTCCCTGATTTTGATTGCTATTACCACGCTGATGTCCTCCATCGTCTTTCTCGTCCTTCCGATTACCCCCACTTGCACCTCGTGCTCCACTTCGATCTCCCAAATGTTTCTCCTTTACCCGCAACTGCCACGTCAACGCGATGTGCTTGACCGTGTGATGCAGCTTCTCGTGGTGGAAGTGGTAGCCGAGTAACGCGCCGACGACACACCCGATGAAGTGCGCCCCGTGGGCGGTTTGTACTTCCGCGTTGCTCCAGGGAATGTTGTCGGCAGAGGAGTTACCATTTCCCGACGAAGCGGAAAACCAGCTGTTCACATATTTCATGTAAAACCCCGTGTACAGGCCGGATTCCGCCGGCCGCGGACACCAAACGATGAACTGAATCACGAAAGTCAATGGTATGCGTCCCGCTTTCAGGTAGATCAAACTGTGCAGGATGATCAACGCAAACACAAACCCGGAGCAACCTAATTGCCCGGCATCCGGATGTCCGTTGGTCAGGTGGTAAACGCTGCAGGAGACCGAAATCCAGAAGAACAGTTTCAACAAGCCATACGCGCCGAATTGGTGCTCCGCGGTCGGCCCGACCAGCATCAAATGCGTCAGATTTTGTCGCATGTGCTCCGCGTTGCCATGCGCGAAACTCTGGGTGAAGATGCGGAGGTAGGTCTTGTAATCTTTCACATTCGTTAATTCCCACGGGTAGAAGGTGAAATAGTCCATTTTTTGGTCGTCGTTCGCATAGTAGTGAACGAGAAGGCAGAGGAGAGAAAACAGCAGCAAAAACGGAATGTCCAGGTCCCAAACGCGAATCAGTGCCGCGAGGAATCGGGCGAGGAAGTTGCGCTGGATTTGAGGTCTATGTGGAAGATGATGTTGAGCAGGATTTATTTCCTGGTCCAAGCCCTGTCGTTTCATTCTTTCACCGGAATCAACATAATTGCCTCCACCGTTAGATGAACCGGACGGGAAAAAATCCAAGTGAGTCAAAACCCAGTCCGCGATCCTTTCCGGACTTCGGTGCGCTCGCTTCTCGGAGAACACGACTATGTCTCTGATAAAATTGTGGTTGTGGAATTCCAGATGCTCTAAAAAAGCGTCCAGCTTCTGCTCCGCGTACCTGTGTGCTCTTTCTAACCGATAGTCTACTTCTGTTCTTGCGGTTGTCGTGGCTCCTGTGGTAGAAGTAGTAGGAGGCTCTGCGGCTGCTGCACTGGCATTTATTCTTGACACCTTCTCCTCTGCGTTATATTGAAGAAGGTCACGCTCTGTTGTAATTCTGGTCACGGAAACGAGAGTTTGCGCCTCCGGTAGCTCTACTGCGAGCTTTTCCCGTCCACTTGTTGCGTTTGCCCTATTTGCATGGTCCGCGATGCTGGCACTTGGTCGTTCATGTAGTTCCGGAAGATTTTCTTGAGAAAAAACCCCACCAGGAGGTTCTTGATCTTCTCCCCGCTGAACCTCGACTCCGGTGTTCTCTCCTTCTCCCGTTCGCAGGAACAAAACGTCCTCCTGGTTTATTTTCTCATCAACACCGTCGGAAATTTCCGGGGCGCGATTAAAATCTTCTTCCTCGTCCGGTGGTAACAGCTTCGGTAACTGCACCCTTTCTGTTTTCGAGTCGTCGCTATCATCCATGATATCCCGGGTCACCCGAATCCAGGCGTTCTCCGGCGGGGGGCGACTGCTGCGCTGCGACGTAGTTTTGAGCAGGCTTTTTCGCAGGGGGGTAGAGGGTCGATTCTCGTTTGAGTGGTCTTCACCGACTTCTTCTGGGGTAGAAGTTGTACCAGGCGCTGTGAGTGCACCTGCACTCGTCCTGCTGTTCGTTCCATGCGTTGTAGTGGGTTTGGACATAATTGTACTTGTTCTCTTGAGAAGAAGAACTTCCCGTGTTATTGAACGCGATACTTTCGCAGAAAGTATGAGAGGCGGGCCGACAAATAAATGTATTAAATGGTATTATAAAAAAGTTGTTCAATGAATATAGAAGCGATTTTTGAGTGAATGAAGACATGAGGTCCTGCATTGAAGATGTAAAATTCCGGGCGACCAATAGTTTTACTTTCAGGAGACACGACCAATAGTTTTACCTTCGTAAACTGTCACACCGACACGACCGAGGCGAGCAGCTATCTAGTAGTACACCTCCGAGGCTTGTAGAAATAAACCGAACATTTTTCCGAAAATCAAAATAACTCGACCGAGGCGACCGAAAGCTATATCAACAAGATACATCATTTATTACCGAGGCCGATCGCAGTAACGGTGGAGCATTGAGGGTTACCAAATGTTGAGAATCTCCGAGTTTAGGTGTAGGAGACAAGCCGAACATCACTTCTGTAGTACTGACCACCTAGTGCAGAGAGATGCATCACAACCGACCAACACATTTTTACCTGAACAAGGGATAATGCACAAGAAAAACCGCACACCTCACGCCGTGTTCGAGGCACCGCTGGAAAAAACAAGCGCATCTAAAAATTTATCGTTAGATTTGATATTTCTCGCAACTACTGCGTACAGGTTGAATATCGACAAGGCCGATTTCGAAAGCGTAACATTTCGTTCCATAGTTGTTCTGTATCTGCGCTTGCAGCTTTGAAGTATTGTATTGTATCCCTCAGAGTTGTGCTGGTGTCGCATCAAACTGTTTTAATATCGTAGGAGAAGGCCGCGCGTTCGTCGGGAGGGGTGGGAAGCTCGGGTCAACACAACACACGTTGTGTTTTTCATTTTCGTGGTGGGTTGGTACAAAATGAAAGGAGTTCTTATTTTTCGGCTGCTTTTGTACTGCTGGGCTGAAGGTTTAAATGGGAACAAGTATGCCACCTCCGACGCTGACAACTTACTCTTCTTCCGGATTCCAGGGCGGCAGATTGTCTTCGATCGCACCTGGTGGGATTGCGATTGGATTTGGATTGCACAAAAATAGCATTTGTTCGTGATCTTCATCCTCAGTCATGCATCCGCGACGGAAAAAAACTGTGTACTCAACAAATGCATGACAAAGACCAGAGAAACAAAACATACCCAAGATTTTTGGTGCGTCGCAGCCGAGGACCTCGCCCACTTGCTTGCCACCCATGTAGAAAAGAAACATTGGCTTTGCCTTTGCTTTGCACGCCAGGTATTTTTCTTCAATTGCTGGCACAACGGATAAATCCATCTGGTTTTTTTTTTAAAAAATTTGTCATGCGTACAACTTGCAGGTAAAGTCTATTGATATAGTGGAAACGCTACGTTACCTTTCATGCAGATGCAGATCGAGACATCAAATGTGATATCGTGTACCATGTAAAACTGCCCTCGCAGTTCCCAAAAATACACTATGCATTGCAAACGTGTCAGAGTCAGGAGGTCACGGCCAGATTCGATATTTAGTGGCATTTTCAGTACTGAGAGATCGTGCAAGACAAACGCAGCTCTCTGGGGTGAGACATAGATTGTAAAGCTAAGCGTAGTTCTGCACATATCAAATCTCGTAAAATCTCAAGCGCCCTGACAACTTCGCGATGGATATCCGTGTTTGCTGCCAAGGACTTGAATGTTGGTTCCATCTGTGCGCAGGGTCCGTACCATTGGTGGTACCTGATCATTTTTTTGTTGTGTCTTCATCTTCAATAGGCTTCTGGATGACAAAGCCGATGTCTCATGCGTCAATAATGCATCACAAATTCCCAGAAACAAAAAGTACACGTCCAGCACGATTAGCCTCTTCTCGCTGGCAATGACTGACTCGAAGTCTTCCTGCGTGGCGATGGCCTTGATGAGCTTTACCTCCTTGCCCGCCATTGTGGACGGAGTAGGAGTTCAAATTTAAAAGAGAAAAATTTATCGGCTGTCTTAGCCCCTAGCTTTGGCTATCGAATAGATGCTTCTCAGAAGATACGTGAACAAGAGTTTACGTGGCACAGCGTTGCGTTGAGCCGATCTAGTACAAACGAGAGAGAGGAGCTGCGGTAGAGAATTTCAAAGTGCAACACCGTGAAAGACATGGGATTAGAGTCGACAAAGACGCTATCGACCCGATGTTTTGTTCACTCATCTATCTCTCCTCTCCGGGACGTCCCGTTCCTTCTCGCGCTCGTTTATTTATAGGGGTTTTCGCTCTCTCTATCTGCAGTTCGATTCGCAACTCTGCAACCGAGAATCAGTTTTCCTCGGACTCATGTTCGTCGGGGAGCTTAGTAGACCATCAAGATGGAGATGCACAAGACCATGCGTCATGGTGCTGACGTACTAGAAAAATGAAGTCAAAATATCAGCCGACAGAAGACCGCATCTACGAAACCCGAACGCGAACACTCGAAAGCAGCAGGCTAGCCTAGGCGACGCAAGAAAGTCTTTCACTTCATTTTCGAGAGGGAGACAGAGCTCCCGAGGGACTACTTCGAGGGCTCATAAAGAGATCTAGCAAGCAGCCTGCCCGCGGCCGGGCCCGTGCGGCACCTGCGCGACCGACCGGAACGCCGCACGGCGAATCGCCCAGGCCGCGCGGGCGACCGATGTAAGGCTCTGGGGCCGAGGGGCTACGCAGGCGGCCAGCAACTGCAGGAGGCACAGCAAGGGCCGCCGGAGAGCAGCAGGCGCATGAAGGGCGGGGGGGAGCAGCGGGCGCAATGCCAGCACCCTCCAACGCGCCGAGGCCGGCGGCCCCGCCCGCAGAAGCGGCAAAACTGCCGAGGGCCGCCCCGCCCCGGGCGCCCACTTTTGGGCCTCGCCCGGACGCCTGCGGCGCGCCCCGGACCCTGCCGGCCCGAGGAGCCGGGGGCGCCCAAAGCGGTCGCCCAACTTTGAAACAAAGGGAGGCCGGGGGGGCCTGCGTTGCCGGCGGCGCGGTCTGTGGTCTCGCAGTTTTCCCCAGCACACTGCGCCGCCGGCCGGCAACGCTTCGCAGCAAAATTTTTGCAGCGGGGCCCCCCCCCGATGCACACCCGGGGAGTCTGAGGGGCGGGAAACCCGACGCACACCCAAAAGGCCCCCCGGCCCCCCGGCCATCTTGCTCGCCCCCCCCCTGCTCCTGGGTCTGCGCGCGCTCTGCGCGCGAAGCAAGGGGCCTCCATTCCCAGCGGCACGCCCGCCGCTGTATAGAAACAATTGGCCACGCCGCCCGCGCCGCAGGTACACGACACGGCCGAGCACCCGCGCGGCGGGCCTTCGGCGGGGGCGCGCACTCTTCCGCGGGCATCTGCCGCGCGACTCGGCGCGGCCGGCTGGAAACCGCCAGGCAGGCAACACCAAACGCGCCCCCTTCGCATCAGCTCGCGCGTGTGTCGCGGCGCACCTTTCTTGTCCAGCGCCAACAAAACCCGCGGCAGGTTCACACGGCGACCGCTACCTTGAACTGGAACAGCCACCAGCTCGCGGGCAGCTGGGGGGGGGCCAGTTCCTCTTGGTTTCCCACCCCCTGCCGGCTAGGGCGGGACTCGGATGCCCCAGAGCCTTTTCCTCGGTCACAATTTTACGCAGTAGCTTCATGAGCCTCTGTTCATGTGGAACGCGGCATTTACTTGGCCCAAAACAACGATTAGAACACAGATAGTCTAGGTCTCCTGCGCACTGCTGCTGCATGCGTACAGGCGTTTGCCGCACACTTTTCAAAGCACTTACATGCGTTATTTGCTGTCGCTTTCTACTTTCAGCATACTTTTCGTTTTGGAGCTAGATTCTCTTTTCCGATGAATCAACAAACCCCACTAATCCATCGCATTCACATCTTCGTAAGAACTCAACGGAATTTTTTCATGACTACTCGCCTTCCCTCCCCCACCACCAGTACCTCCTACGACGGAAGCCTGCTTCACAAGCTTCTCCTTCTCTTTCACGACCGGAGGTGCGGCTCTAGTATTACAACTTGTTCCGGTCGTGTCTTCTTCACTTTTAGAAGTTGACATTTGTACTCCCTTAGCGGTTGAATCCGAACCATCACCAACCTTCGCGTTCTCCACGTCGTCCATATCGATTCCCCGTTCCTTCGCAACCTCTTTGATCCACTCGTCCATGGATTTTTTGTCGTCGCCAAACTGTTCGTATGCATTGCAAACATGTCGGCGTCTGGAAATATTGCGAGATTTGTCGTGCTAGTCTGGCATTTGACTCTGAGCTCTGTATTGCGTGGCCACAAAGTAGAGTTCCACTGGTCTAATATTTATCATGCATCAACGCAGTTTCTCATGCGGACTACACAACACAGAGACACGAAAAAATCTGTCATGCTTGGCGGTGAATTAGTACAGTGTGCTTACCAAATATAGCCGCCGGGGCGGAGGTAGTGAGGTTGTGGGCGTTTTCTTGCCGGCCATCGCCTTGGCCGCGGCCTTGCTTTTTTTGGGCTCGCCATGCCGCCGTGAGTAACGTTAGGCCGCACGGTATGGCGGCCGCTCGATAAACGTCGCAGCCTTTGGCAAATCTCCGAAATTCCTTTCCGAAAGCTAGCCCCCATGCTATGGAGCCGATCCGGGCGCCACGGGGGGCGCCCAAAAAGCGAAGGAAAATCGGGCCCATAGCATGCGGATTGGCTTTGCGCGTCCGGGGCGCTTTTTCTTTTTCGCGTTTCTATATTTCCCTCCGGCGCTTTTTGCAAAGCTTCCCAGGCTCTGAAACCGGCGAAAAGGCGGCCGCTTTCGCGGCCGCCCAAAATGCTCCAAAATCGCGGCCGTGCCATGCTGTTTCGCTGTTCTGACTTTGGGCGAGTTTTTTGCGCGCCCCTTTTTGGGCGGCCCAAACCGCCAGAAACCAAGGCGGTGGGCGCCGCAGAAGGGCGCCCCTTTTGCCGGCTCCCCTGCGTCGTTTTATCAAGTGCGAATCGATAGTTTTCGACCGGGCTTGTTTGACTTCAAAGCCCCGGCCGCTTAATAATTGGAAATCTTTTATGTCAAAGAACGCTTCCGGCCGCTTGAAAACTGCCGGTCGTTTTTCAGGGTATATGTCAAAAAAACTCCCCGGTTAGAACCGTTCGGTGACCTCACTACATACTATTCGCTGACCTGCATTACAAGTTTCCAGGCGCCGACCACATATTTGCAATGCATATTTCGTTTTTCAACAAATGCTCGTTTTCCGGATCCTCCTCCAACCGCGGGATGGCGATCATGTCCTGCAGTCTCTGCATCTCCTCCTTCGTTTCCTTGGTGAAAATCGTCTCCATCTGCTGTGTATGCATTACAAAAGCATCGCACTAGCACTACGTAGAAATCGCATGACAAATTCTGTGAAGAACAAAAGTGGGATTTGTAATGCTGAATTAGGTACAGAAACTAGATTTGTCATGCGCGGCTGCAATTTATACGTAGTACAATACTTCTGCAATGCATACTGCGTCGCGATCTGCTTCCACTGGCCCTTGTAGGTCTGTAGCAGCGCCTCCCGAATCTCGGCCACCAGTTCCACGAAAAAGGCAGAGGAAATTTGGTCGGTGTTGTCTGTGTACGTGAAGTTGGAATGCAATCAACATACGCATGAGAAATAACCGCATCTGTCATGCACTGTAACGGCGCTATAGTACAAGTACCTGAAGAAAAAAACACAAAACCCTAGTACCTCTCTGCTGTCCGGGCAGCGTGGGTTGCGTCATCTGCGTGTAGTGCCCGGTGATGGACAGCTCTTCCAACGTCCGGAGTAACTCTACCAGCGGTGGTATTTGGTCAAACACGATTTCGTTCAGGAACCGTCGTAATTTCAACAAATTATCCTTCCGGTGCGAGCGCATATCGTACCGCTGTCGGCACTATCACATGCAAATATGTCTGGGTCTGGAAAAGTGCAAGTTTGTGATGCTTGTCTGGCATGACTCTTAAATCTGTGATGCATGAGCAGGAAAAGGGCCTCTTGCCTGTGATGCAAAAACGCAGTTTGTCATGCGAAAAACGAAACACACTGCAGCGCAAAAACTTGTCATGCTGGGCTGCATATGGCAGTGCGCCCACAATTCGCAGATTTGCGTCACAAGTTTCATCCAGACCCAGACATATTTGCAATGCATAGGCACTGCGGGTCCATCACCAGGTTGTAAATCGTCAGCCACAGTTGGGAGGACAGCTTGGGAAGCGTGCACAGATCGTCCTCGTGGATCTGATACAGTAAAAATGTACGGAGCATTTGTCATGCTTAACAGACTGCGCTACTGAGCCCGGGGGGGTGCGGGGTCCGAGGGGTGCGCATTGCACAGCCCGGAACACCCGAACATGCCCCGCGACTGGCACAGGACCAGCAACGCAACTATTATCGTCGATCTCAGTTTGTCGATCACAACGTAGCTGCGAAGCCGTCCATTCGAAATGCATACAGAAGCAAAGTATACGGAATGCATCCACTCTCGGAGCATGCGTCCATTCGAAATGCATCCACTCTCGGAGCATTTGTCATGCATACAGAAGCAAAGTATACGCTCCTCTGTGATGCAGCACGCTCATGCTGAATGACACAGAAACATTTCGGTAAACAAGAACATCAACCGCATAAACATCCTATACCACTTTCCACTCGTTTTTGTCGAACTTTTCGAATTCCCCTCGTCTCTTCCGCACCCAGGGCGCTTTTTCCATCAAAGGGACTAAGGTCAGCAGTACGTCGTGGTTGTCCAATAATCTCGTCGTCAACGTGATCGGCAAATGCTGTCGGTGGTCGGTCAAGTAGCGGCACACGTTCAACGCGCTCATGCAGATTTGGAATTCGATGTCCTTGTACTGTTCGTCCAAGCACTCCACCTCCGATTTCGCCATGGCCTCCTTCGCGGAGCTCGTATGGGAGTGTCGGGATCGAAACCGTCAGAGTTGAAATAGTTTGTGATGCATAAAACGGATACTAGTTGGCGCCTAGTTTTCAAGTGGCGCATGACAAATTTGGGTGGAACTGATGAAATCCAGTTCGTAATGCTGTTTGGGTAAGGAAGACGCCTTTTGTCGTGCTACTTTAGCAGCTCAATTTCTACACCTAAACACGCTTGCAATCTGCATCCCTTGCGTCCTCTGCAATAGGGGCAATTTTTGCGTTGCATTTTATGCATCACAAACTATTTCAACTTTGACGATTTCGGTTCTGACGCTTCCATAGCTCGGCGGCCAGGAATAGAGGTCCTTGTTGGGCACTTGGACTAGGTAGGTCAGTTTGCGGTACACGTAATCCACCAGGTCGACCTGATAAAGTTTGATAATCATAGATGAAAACTTGTCATGTAGAGGATCGAGGCAAAACACTATCCTAGACTGAACTTTATGCATGACAAACATCAGCACCTTCTTATGTAAGTAAATCTATACCAATGAATCCCCCGCCGTGTCGCAGGACTGGCTGTGGTAGAGACACATCTCCAGCAAGGAAATCAGGCTCGCTTCCGCGTACACCGGAACGTAGGAGCGCAGGGAAGAGAGCCCGGCGATGTGTTCCTTGAAGAAGCTGCAGTCTTCGTTTGCAGATTTTTTCTTCGAGGAGGAGGAAGAACTCGAAGTAGATGACGCGCTAGAACTTGTCCCGGTCTTTGTCTTGTCCCCGTTGAAGAGGACAAATTCCTTCCAGGTCTCGATGGTGACCAAATTGTGGATCAACACCGGGATTTTCTCGTGCGTGTTGATCAAATCCACGATAAACTCATCCGTTTTGTCCTCCGCCTGGTAATGTGCCTGCGCGGAAAGCTTGTCGATCTTCTCGTGCTGGTTCAAAAAGTCCTTGTCCCCGATCTGTTCTAAATCGATCGGCTCGATCCCGTGCTCAATCCAGTGCTCGGCCTCAAACGGCGTCAGATCGACCGCCACCGTCATCTCATCGATGTTGGAGGCCATGGTGTCGTGTGGATCAGGGTTACTGCAGCTGTTTGATGCGCTTTATCTTACGAGTCAATATGAAATATCTTCTGTGGTCTCGCGGCCAGAGTGTGACGCTTTTTCTAGATTGAAACGAAACCTCAAATGGGAGCTTTTTCTTGCTCTCGTAAGTTTTAGATCAATCTTCGACGCAACATTGCCCTTGGAGGTTGATGATTTACTCCAGGATACCACGACACTCGACAGCTCTTCTGTAACTTTTAGTTCCACCGCGCAACAACACATCCATCTCTCGAAGGCCTTCTGGGTCGTAGGGGTAAGAAGTGACCGGAGCGCAGCGGTTAATCGTCTTACCACCGCTACGACTACAGTCGAAATTTACTTACTCACGAGAAAATCTCGCGAGACTACGCAGAACGCAACACATTCGCAGTGGGGGGCGACAACCTGCGTAGGGTGAGTATTGGATAGTCCGGCGCGGGGGCGGCTCGTGGCCTCTTTTCATCTTTCGCGGCGCTCGCTGGCTGCGCGTGATAGATACATGCCACACCAAGGAGGAGGATAGAAGACGCGCACGGCAGCGGCGGAAGACACAACGCACGCGCCCCGAAGCCGGCGCGCGGCCGGCGCCTACCTCGGGCGCACCGCCCCTGTGTGCGTCCGCTACTGCTGCCCGGGGGCGCAATCTGGCTGGCGCATGTGGAGACGGGGCCGGCGCCCCTCCGGCAAGGCGCACAGAGCGCCGGCGCCCGCGCGGGCCGGCGCCTCCCTGCCGGGCGCCGCCCTGGCGAGTTTCCCGCACGAGCGTGCCAGCTCCGCGCCCGCTGGCAATGCCCGGCCGCACACAATGCAGAGCGGGCCGCCGACCTCATCCAGCATCGGAGCATCATCCAGCATATGGGCCTGCGCCACGAAGTCCAGTGTCCGACGCTCGGGCTGCCTGCAATTCGGGGAGCAGAAGGGGCCCCAACGACGTAGAGCGCTTCCAAAGTGGAAGGGCCCGCACCAACACGAAACGCGCCCGCCCCCACTTCCTGTCCCGGGCTTGCTAGGCCGCGAAAAAGGCGAGGCCGAACACGGCCGCCAGCATCATGCAAGACGAATGCTTGCATGATGCTGGCGGCGCTAGCCCCCCGCACACAACGCCGGCGACTCATCAAACCGCGCCCGTCCGTCGTGGTCTTGTCGCCTCGCACTTCATCCCGGATCTTTTTGAAACGAACCGGGCCGCCCCCCCCTGTGACCCACTCCACCGCCACGAAAAAGTAGCGGCGACTGCCCACGCTTGGCATTTTCTTCAGATCAAGGGCCCGCCATGACTGTGCGGCCGCCGCGTCTACGCTGGTGCCGCCGCCACTTTCTCCGCCGCGCCTCGGCGTTTTTGTACGCGTCGGGGCCCACTGGGTCGCGCACGGCCGCGAGCTCGCCCGTGAGTTCTTCTCCGCGCTGGGTGGCTCTACCCACGAAGGCGCGCGCGCTGCGCTAAAGCTCGCAGCTTTTGCGCCATCCTGGCGCGGCTCTGCTCCGGCCAAGGCGGCAGCCTTTTGCGCGGCCGCCCGCCATGGGGTCGCCCGGCTCCCGCGTGCGCGCTGGCAGAGCCGCCAACCGCTCGCGGCGGGATGCGTCAGCAACAACGGGAGACCCTCGCCGCCCATCCGGCGCCACCTCCGAAAGCGGCCGCGCCCCTGTTGCGGGCGGCAATGGCGGAGCTTCAGCAGCCCGGGAGCAAAAGCGGCAAACCCCCGAAAGCCAAGGCCCCCAGTTCGACCGGGCCAGTCCCCGAATTGCTAAAAGCAAGGCGGGCGCACACTGAGCAAATGAATTTGGCCGGTTGCCAACTGGATCAAAACGTCAGCAGCACACACAAAGACTCGACATGTAGTACGTAGGACCTCCAAAGAGAATCCTTGTTGCACGACGACGAACACCAGTCCAGACAGATTAGTAGAACCTGTGTGGCAGGTTCTCACTACAACTCCGCATGCTCGCTGCCATATCTGCAGCTGCAAGTGCACCAGTAATCGTCGCATGATTTTCTACAATGACAATCGAGATAAGCCACGCGTCAAGATTGATTTTCAAAAGAAACCTCCCGTCACATTCGGAAACTGCTTCACGTCGCTTTGCAAAATTTGCCCAGTGAGGCCGCCACATTCTTGTGGCGACGTTTTTCCGTCGGGCACAGAGAAAAATAGTTCGCGGAACAAGTACAATAACTTCAGACAGTTACTAGACTGAAGAAGTAGAAAATAGCAGATGTAGAAAGAAGTAGTTGCAGCTATCGAGGCGATAGCGCACATGTCCATCCAGTGCAACTGAACAAAAACGAAGTGCAATGTCGTCCAAAACTGTTGTAATGTCGTGAAAGTGCATATCAGTAATAAAAGATGTCGCTAGGTGTAGGTACATACTCAGCATGTGTAAAATTAAAAAATGTCTTCAGGAGCACTGCTCATTGTGATCAAATACTGTTGTGTGAATATGTTACAGACTGGCTGTAGTATCAGAAGTGCCCTCCGTGCACATCCCTCCCACTTCTGTACAGATGAACTTCTGACGTCATCTAACTGTTTACTTACTGGAAAAGGAGAAAATCGAGTGGCACAAAACGCACTTCTTGTGAGAATGTCGCAATTGTTATTGTTCAACATCGAATGAGAATTATAACGGTATTGCCCGTAGTAAGTATCAGACACAGCATGAAAAAAAAAGTAAGACCCAAAAACCATCTCAAGAAAAAACCTCCCCCGGTTGCAGTTCAAGTGAAATCCTCCTACACGCAATTTCGAAACATGCCGCAGACCCTTCCGCTCTCCGTGCCCTCGCCTTCATCGTCGCAGCAGCTGCTTTCGTGCAACTCCGGAGCCGGGGAATTGTGCAGAATGTAATCTTGAATGTGCGCCACGAAGTTGAGTCGCATCTTGTACTTATCCTCCTGCGACACATCGTCCACGTTTGTAACGGGAGGCGTATTAGCGGGAGCAGCCTGGGCTGCACTATCTCCGGGCGGCGGGTTGACATAGCCCCGGTCGCGCACCTCCTTCAGCCAGGCGCGGTAGCCTTTGTCTTGGGACAAGGGGAAGACCAAATCCTGCCACAGCGACCCCCCCGTCTTGATATCGGCAATGTTTTGCAAAACGTAGTCGCGGGGGCCGCGGGTGAGTTTGGTCAGGTGGACCAACCGGGAATAGTACCAGCTGTATTCAAAGTACGCGTAGCCCAAAATGTCCGGCCACCGAATCAGCACGAACATGGGCCCGAAAAACTCAATCAAACCCGTCATGAAACTGAAGAAAAACTCCCGGCCCACGAGGATGTAGCGGCCGGTTGAGTCCGGGTCGATGACAGTGACCCAGTTGTAGCGGTGCTTTATCTATCATCTGCAAAAGTATCGCACTCGTAGTACCATCACAGATTTTCTTCTCAAGATCTCAAATCTGAATTACAAATTCCATTTCTCATGCTGAGGAAATTTGTCATGCGATTTGTACTTACTAGTACGATATGACTTTTGCAGTGCGTATTATCCGCTGGTCCTTCTTGTAGTAAAACTGGAAGAAGTAGCATCGCAGGAAAAAAGTGTTACAGTATACACATTGTGTTGCAGGAGGAGCAAGACAAGCAACCTTTGTCATGCAAGAAATGCTTGCGAACTTCATAACGTACGTGTTTTCTCTTAGGATATCTGCATTGCAAGTTTTCTCTGCCACACAGAGAAAATTTGTGTTGCTGAATTCACTACAAATGTGTAATTGTATGTAACACTTTTTTCGTGGGATAAGTAGTCGTCGTAATTGTTTCGCACCCCGTTCATTTGCGACACAAACTGGGAGCTCTTGTAGGCGGTCAGATACATCTCCAAATCCGCATCCGGCCGGCCGCCCGACTGGTACGCGGCCGCGCCGAAGTAGTTTGCGTCACAGTTGTACTGCTCTAGCCTTGCCTTGTACTTCTCAAACTGCTCCCGATCGGTGAGTTCTCCCTTGTACTGCAGCCACGCGACCCACAGCTCGGAGTTCCACATGGAAAAGTACAGATTTTCCGGCGGGGAGGCCAAAAACCAGTTGTCTTGCAAAACCGTATAGGGGAGATACAGCCGCATGCTCTGATCCGGTTGGTACAGCATGGCGGATCGAGAAGTTCCGATCAACTCCTCGCTAAAATTGTTGTCGTCAAAATCCGTCCTGTTGTTGGTCGTTTGCGCGATCAAATTTGCTGAAAATCCCTGTTGCGCCGCCGGGTCTTTTTTTGCTACTTGCTCGTTGTGGCTGGCGACTTTCTTCAAAAAATAGTCTTCCAAAGCGGAATCCAAGTCCACTGGCGCGACGTTGCCGATCAGCTTCTCAAACGGGTCGGAGAGAATGAGGGTGGCGTCGGTATACAGCCCGCCGTATTTCTTCACCAAAGCGAGCCGGATCCGGTCCGCGCGGTGGGCGGACGCGACCGACCGTTTGTTAAAGCCGACAAATTGTGGATTCTCCGGCGGCCAGTAATCCACCGCCACTTCGTCCGCGACCGTGGGGCCCGGGTTGTTTGGGTCTTCGGTTGTGTCGGTTTCGTACAAGGGGAAGTTCTGCGCCTCCATCCATTTCCCGTCCACCCGGTTGATTTTCCACCCGTCCGGGTTCAATCTTTCAAAGTTCTGCGCACACGCCTCGATGATCCAGGCGGGTTGAGTTAAATTTCCGACCATGGTGACGTTGGTCGGCCACCCGCCCTGCCAGTACAGGAAAACCTTCCGCGGCACCCAGTTGTTGACCCGGTGGACAAAGCGCAGATAGTCGATGGTGTACTTGTGGTACATGGGGTGCGCCGTCGTGTCCCAGGGTTCGTCGTCCCTCCGCAGTTTCCGCGGCACCATCACGGTTTGGTTGTTCGGAAGGGTCAAAGGTTCGTATTTATCGGGAACAGCAGTCGGGTCCTCGGCACCAGCAGCTCCGGCTTGTGAGAAATCCTTCATGGTGACCTTCTGGATCACATCGAAGCGCCCGTCCGTCCCCGGCTTTTGCACCGTGGTCACCTCGAAATACTCGCGGGGGAAGGTCCGGCCGTCCGCAAGCACGATGTTTTGCTCCTGGTACTTTTGGCCGATGGGGGTTTCGTCGAAAAGCTGCAGCAAAGTGCTACTCCGGTCCGGCATCCGCGTCACCCAGAGTAAACCGATGATCGGGCCCAGGATGGTAACGACGACCAAGATAAGCACGTAGCAGAAGAAAATGTTCTTCGGTAAGTAGATCAAAAAATCGCGAACGCCGCACACCGAGCAACATACCTTGCAGCAGCCGCACCGGTCTCGGGCGAGAATGTCCTGCTTGTTCACATGCTTGTTCGCTTCCCCGAAACACAGACACGGCGGAACACCATCCTCATCCGGGCAGAAACACTCATCTAAGCAGCACCGTTTTTTGTTCGGACACATCTTTGACGGACAGCAACAGTTTTGTCTGGAGGAGCCACTGGAGGTGCTCATCGCGCTCCCAAACAGCCCTAGGTTTTTACCATTGCCACTTGTAGTTGTTTTCGCCGTAGTTCCTTTACTCAGCGCGCTCTTTGGTTCTGTGTAGTGGCTTGATGTTCCCGGATTAACATTCCGACTGTTCGGGAACATCGCGGAATCTGGCACGATGAACTCCTTTGTCCGAAGCGTTTCCAATCGCCGGATTGCATTCGTGGCCCCTTCACCCGTGTGATACGCCGTGTTTTCTTTCGGATGTGCGCCAGAATAACGGTTGGTACTGGAGAACCGCTTGCTGCCGATCATCAGTCCCTGCAGCTCATCCGGATCCTCGTTGTTGTAATCATCGAGACCTCCACTGCCGAAGCTGTCGACTTCGATAGCTGGGTTCACGACCGTGCGGTTCGCGTTGCTCATCCATTTTGGTCCGGTACTCAAAGACCCCACCGGGCGGCAGCTACAGCAGCCGCACACTCCGGACCGTATCAGAATGAAAAATCCCCCCTCCCCATATCAAAACGACGTTTCTGATGCTGGATGTGCGTACACAGATCAGATTTGTCTTGCTGGTGAGGACTGCAGGCCCATACTAAGCCTGAGTCGACAGGTTTCGGCCTAGGCGCTTAGCATGACAGACGTCTGCGCTGTAGCTAAAACAGCATGACAAACCGCCTGTAGAATGCGGCGGGGCTTGTGGCGTTGCCTTCATGCAACACAGAGACGATTTGCGACCTCAAATCAGCAACACAAATTTTCGGCAACATACGTTTTCAATATGGGGAGAGGGGATTTTTCCTTTTGATAGACCGGACCCGGTATTCCTGCAGTTCCGCGTAGCCCGCCACGGTATGGAAGTGTCAGAACCGAAATTGACAAAATCGAAAAATTTGTGATGCACAAAATCGATGTCAGTTGGCGCCTGAGTTCCCAAGTGGCGCATGACAAATTTCGGGAGCACCCAAATCCAGTCTGCCATGCTGTTTGGGCAAAGAAGACTCCTCCTGTCGTGCTACTCTGGCAGCACATTGCATACCCCTAAACAGACTTGCAATCGGTCTCATTTGCCTGCTCCCCAGTACAGGCCTTCAGTGCCCTACATTTTATGCATCACAAATTTTTCGATTTTGTCGATTTCGATCCTGACACATCCATACACGGAAAAGATGTCGTAGCCCCGCCTGGCCAGGTCGTAGTCGCTGTACCCCCGAATGGGTCGTTCGACGACCAAGAGGATTAGGAATCCAAAGGGGTACATGAGCCACCCCTTGCCCATGATACAGTCGGACCAAATCCAAAATTGGTACTCGTACAAAACGGACTTGCCCCCACCGTACGTCCCGTACTGAATGTAGAGCCCAAGGAGGAAGAAAAGGATCATGATCGGCCACCACCACCACCGGATTTTTATGTTGTAAATGAAGTACTGCCACGAGTACTTGATCTCGTGCGGTGGGAAGATGTTCTCCAGTTCCCTCAACAGCTGCTCATCCTTCTCCTTCTCAAACTGCTTTTGTTTTTCGTAGGTCATGATCGAGGAAAGCAGTTTTTCCTCGTCACTCGCCAGGTCGTCGATGTTGTAGGCGAGGGCGGCATCTTCATCGCCGGGTTGTATTTCTTCGTCGTCGTCCACTTGAATTTGGTTTTCGCTCGCGAACTGCTCCTCGGGGAAGTAGTTGTAACCGCTGTTGGTGGGCGGGAGGTTCTTGTTGGTGTTGTTAGTTTTGTTTCCGCTACTTCTCCCGGAAGTGGAGCGCCGCTGCAGGGTCGACATGGTGAAGTGATGAAATGCAAATCAATGTGCACTAGAAGTTATACTTGTCAAAATTCCGAAGTATTCTACGCGACAATTTAAAAACTATTCACGCCAGAGACTACTGCAAGTCTAACATGGCCGTGCTGTGTGGTATCTGGTCATAGCGTAGTTTGTGTTACAGTTAGGTTACGTAAAGTCCAAAAAGAAATTGTTACTCATACTTGATACTCAGAAAGATAACTTGGGAGTAGAGAGGTATAGGTATTGGTATAAAATTATACACCTCGCTGTTGTGAAATATTTTGCGATTCGAAGTTGGAAGTTCGAACAACATGTACAACTTATGTAGTACAGTATGCTACAACTCATCATAGCTGTAATTAAAGGAGCCAGTATTCAGTACTGCAGCGCAGCCTGGTGGATCTTGCCACAACCGAACGTCTAGTGCACCGACATTCTCCATGGGTCTTGCAACTACAACCGAAAAAATGTCTGCTTCAGCAGATAATTTGCAACAGAAGAAGCCACTTTGCGCAACCGATGGAACGAGCATGCTGAGACACCGAGGTGAGCAGGAAGAAGAAAACATTTACCGAAGGTCTTTTTTACGCCTGGCCGATGAAAATATTTGGCTGTTGTTCAATTTTTTTTTTCATGATAGAACCGATGAAAAAGAGAACGCCAATAGCGGGCTCCTTTTGCTTTACAACTTTGAGATCGCGGCATGGAAGAAAAGGAGCGCGCTTTTCTACCACACGCGCTCGCAGCTGCATCAAATGCATTAATTCATAATAAATGCGCACTGCTGACACACAGGGCACGCCAGCCTTCCGCCAGCAGACAAAGCTACAAATACGCCGATCGGCTGCGAGGCTGCGCCCTGCTGCCTCATGTCGCGTCGGCCGCGGCACCAAACGGTCCGCCGCGATGCACCTTGGCAACGGCCACAGCAGCACTGAGTGCGCGACGCCGGCCAGCGCCTGGAATGGGCTTAGACATCAAGCTGAACGGCGCCCCCGATCGCGCACAGCGGGTAGATGCATCAGCCGCCGCGGGCTACCGGGGGCCCTGGGCCCGGAGTGCGAGGGAGCTCAAGCCGGGCTGCGGGGCACGAGCGCGCGGTCGGAGGGGGGCGGCGGCGGCCGGAGAACGAACGGCACCACCGCAATCCCGCCCTACCCGTTTGCGCTGGCGCTTCCCCCCATCGACGGCCGCGCCGGCGTCTTGCAGCGCCTGCAGGGCCCGCGGGCCGTCGGCGCGGCGGGCTATCCAATTCCGCCGGGGCTGCCTCTTTGTGGCGCTTCTCCCTGCCATCTGTCCGCCTCTTTGCGGCACTTCTCCGCGGAGGGCGCAACCGGCGGAGACGCCATGAACCCGCACCCGTCCGCCCGCGGTTGCGGCAAACGCCGTCGCCGCCTCGCTCCGGAGCCGAAACCCCGACGCGGGTGGCAGCGAAATGCCACAGGGCCCAGGGCGGCGGCGGCCGAGAGTGCTGCGTCCCCCCCCCCTTGCTTTCCACCGACCCCGGGCCCCCGCCGGCAGAGGCGACGGCCATCGGTGGCCATAAGGGGTGGCTCGGAGCTATGCTTTAGAAATTCACCCGGGGAAAGCGAAATTCATAGCGCAAATGCATCAGCACAGACCATGACCCTCACCGTCCACGGACCACTCCATCTTGCAGTCACTCTCCCACGCGGCGTCTCACACTTCAACACGTTTCAACTAATTTTCTCCACAGTACGTCCTTCTCCCTCGTCTCAGACTCAGTCTTCTGCGCACAACAATCGTTCTTGTCCAAATTATCCTCTGACCCTCTGGCACTAGCCCGCAACTACTTTCGTGCAAACGACAAACCATAAGGTGACCACCGCGCACTTTGGCAAAGAACAATGCTGCTTTTGCCGACGTAGGCAGAACAAGCTCGAGCGCCAATTAATCGGCAGCCAATAGGTCTTACTTATATTCTCACGACCACCCGTTGGAGGCGCACTGCCACGCTTGCAGCAACGACGCCAATTCATACGCATTGGTGACACACATCCATGACACGCCAGCCTTCCAGCAGACAAAGCTACAAATACGCCAATCAGCTGCAAGGCTGCGTTCTGCTGCTTCACGTCGCGTCGGCCGCGAAACCAAGCGGTCTGCCGCGATGCATTCTAGCAACCGCCACAGCACGCAGCACTGAATGCCAGGCGCCGACCGCCCAACGCCTGGGAATAGCCACCAAGCTGCACGGCGCGCCCGGTCGCGCACAGCGGGCGGCGGCCAGCGATTGGGCCACGGTGGCGCCCAGCGGGCGCACGGTGGCCCGGAGTGGCCCTCGGCCCGGAGTGGGCCACGGTGGCGCCCTCGGCCCGGAGTGGGGGGGGGGGCTAGCGCCGGGCGGCTTGGCCGGCGCGGCGGGGGGGGGGCGCGGGCGGCAGGCCGAAGAAGGAACGGCAAAGCCGCCCGCCTGCCCTGCCTGCCCGCTTGCGCTGGCAGCATGCAAGGGCTGCGCGGCGCATCCGCGACGACTCAAGCACGGCGGGCCATTTTTGGACGCGCCGCGGCGCTTTGTTTTTCGCGCGGGCTGCTTCTTGCGCGTCGGTCGGAGCTCGGGCCCCGCTCCTCCCTCCCACTGTCCGCATGTAGCGCCCCCGCGCATGGGGGCGCTGGGCCACCCTCGTAGTGAAGCCCGGCGCGCGCAGCCGGGCCGCCCTCCCCGGCCCTCTGGCCGGTGGCGCGCCTCGCCCCCCCCCTCATCGGCCCCGGGCACCCACCGACCACAGCAAGAAGGGGCCGCATGGTGTGGAAAGCTTGCCCGCGCCCGGTGGTGGCCACCGATCCCGAAAAACCAAGGGGCGGCGCGCTCCGCAGCGCTCCTTTGCGCGTTCGCAGCGGACGCGACGACAACGCCGGCCCTGCGCCGTTGCTGGCAGCGCTCCCCAGGCGGCGCGCGCTTGCTTCTGGAGCGTGTTCGCCACAGGAATCCCGCGCCCAATGCCGGGACTATTCGGGGCTCCTCTGGTACGTTGATCCCCTACCAGCGCCGCTGGACTTCTCCGCGCCCGTCTGTCGGGAGCTAGGTCGGCGGCCATATCGCTCGGCCACGGTTGACCGAATGGATGCCGCCCCGGCTACGCGCAGGCGCCGCGCTTCCGCCTGCCTTCGGCCGACGGACTGGCGCGCCTGTGCCTGCGCCTCGCGCGCGCAGCGCCTCGCGCGCGCAGCGCCTCGCCCTCAGGCAAGTTTCTGAACAGTTTCTACATCGCCCGCATATCCATCTGAAAACCGCGCACAACAGTCGCCACTCTCTCGCAGTACGGATTTCCCTTTTCCCTTACCCTAGGCTTCTCGGCTCTCGCTCTCGCTCATACGGAAACCCGAAAACACGATCACATCAACGCACCTCGGGCACTCCACCTACTTACGCTATAGTAGCGCAGCGCCTTGTTTCGTTTCTACTAAAAACCGCCTTAATTTCATTTCCAGCCTTCGACAAAACTTCTACAGTTTCGATTTAATCCTCCACCAAAATGGGTTGCAAGAGAATCAAAATGGGTATAATGTCCACCAACATTCCTAGGTTCAAAGTTCATTGAGTTCAAAAGGTTCTTTCGTGTCAATAGGTAAAGGTTTCTTCGCATAAATTGTAAAAAGAAAAACCGGATCATTTCAAAAGTCGCACCTTTTTACTGTACCAGGCAGCACGACGATACATCATACACACAATCAACACTCTCCCCCTACCACCGCCTAGTGCTGCCGTTTCGGCGGGAAGTTGACCACTTTCGGTGCGTCCTTCGGATTCCTGGTTAATATCATACAGGTTTTCAAATCGCTGACCCCGCCAGTGGATCCCGCCTTGCTCCCCTCCTCGTATTTGTTCGTTGTGTCCGTATTCCTGCTCGCCACGTAAGTCGCCTTCCCGGTTTGTCGCAGCGCGCAGTACCGATCCCACTTGTCAGTGGTAGACCCGACACCACGGATATCACAGGAAAATAAAAGTGTGACATTTACACATCTGTTGGAGTTTCTGCATCACAAAGTTGCTCGCCATGGCAAACAAAACCTGTGATGCGCAATCAACTATAAGGGAAAACACGAACGGCATGAGGTTGGCAAGCATTTCGTGCATGACAGAGGTTGTCTGTTTTGCTTGTCTCCCATCAGGAGAGTGTGTAACTGTAACACTTTTCTCTCACCATAACGGAGGAGGAGGATGTTGTTGGACAGTTGCGAGGACAAGTTCTGCATCTCCTATCCCACGAAAAAACTGTTTCACTGTAAGGGTTTTGCAAGTTCTGCATCACAAGTTTGTTACACATGAGACAGAAAATTTGCCATGCGACCTTCCCAAAGGAAAACACGCTAAAAAATCCATTGTCTTGCAGGTGTAAGTAGCATGACAAATCGTTCCGTGCTCCATTCTCTGCATCACAAGTTCACAGTGAAACAGTTTTTTCGTGGGATATCTCCACCGGTGCGATCAATGCGGCCGAACCGTTCAGCAATTTCGCCTTGTAGTTGAATTCTTGTGGTGGCAGCAGCTTCTTCTTCTGCGTGATCCTCGTGAGGATCTTCGTGGGGACGGTCTGGAAGGGGATCTGCTTCCGGGTCTCCGCGGTAATGGAACCGCCGTCGATCAGAATGAGGAGGCGACGCCGTTGGTCTGATGAGGAGTAGTTTTGTAGACTTTATTACGAATGCAATTCAATTTTTGCAACTTCTGCATGACAGATTGTGGCGGTTTACGCATTCCTGCATCACAGATCCAAAAAAGAAAACTATACCTTTCAAAATGATATCTTGCACTTCCGAAAACGGTAGTCTCCCTTCAATATCCTTCGCGACTGGTGATATTAGCCTTTTGATCTCTTTCTCCGTATAGCAGTGCGACACTGCCTTCGGTAAAATTTCGTCCACGACCACTTTCACGGTGTCCTTCGGTTTTGGCTCGAAGAGTTGGTATCTGATAGAAAATTTTTTTGCGATTTTTACATCACAGAAAGATCCACTCTTACCAGGTTTCGCATGACAAACTGCGGATGTTATGTTGTTGAGGGATAGAAACATTAATCCAAAACTCTACAGTAGTGTCTCGTTCAGCGACACAATCAGCTTCTTGATTTCGTGGTCGCACACTTTGTGTCTGTTGGCGCACCCACCCCGCAGAAACCCATTATCGTCTACCGGTCCGAAATGGCCGAACACATCCAACCTCCCCGTAGACTCGGGCTGCTCCAGTGTTGGGGGGAAGAGAAATTTGAAGAACGCATCCACCGGCACGCCCCGTATCCTCAGGAAAAACGTCCCCACACCAGAGTCAAGATGGGAAGTTTGCAACACAAGTCTCCAAGTTTTGGGAGTTATGCATGACAAGTTTCGCCTCGTAGTGTAATCCTGTTTAGCTAGCTAAGAAGCATCACAGATGTAGCACATCATTCTGATTGGAGCATGACAAATTCCGAAACACGACTAGGAAATGCCTCTCATGGGGCTCCGCATAAGAAATATTTTCAGCATGCAAATTTGCATGACAACTCTGGGGTGGGGACGTTTTTACTCAGGATACCCCGCTGCGACGCCTTGTCAGCGTGAATCTCGACTGTGCGGGTGGTGGCCATGGGGTCGTGTTTGGGTTTTTAATGTAAGCTATTTCAAGCACAACTTTTTTGTTTCCAAAAAAACGCAGTTTGTCAACTTGTTCTCGGGATCGACTTTTTAGAAGGGTCATGAAGAGGATCTGAAAGTGCTTGCAAGAAAGCAAGGTCAGAGATAGATCGTGGTCGGAAGTATGCGTATTTAATGTGTCAACGTCCGCTGCTTAGTACAATCACCCCTCCCACAGGTTTGTGACGTGCGATTTTTGAGTCTAACGATAAAGCGACGAGCTTGCTTCGACAATGATGTAGCAAGACCCCCAAAACCGACTCACTTTGCTCCAGAAAACGACGATTTTTTACGACGTCGTATTGACAACTGGCGGAAGCGAGACCAATCACTAGAATACCGAGGCAGACCGCCTTTTTCGACACGACCTATGACTATTTAGGAACACATACTCATCGAGCCACACCGCATAGGGAGCGTAGATTCCACCAGGCCGTGGCGTTTCCAAAGTTTCAACATCGCTTCTACTACTCTTCTTTGTACAGTTTGTTATACTGGGGACAAATTTCATCCAAAATACAGTTTGAGGAAATCTTATCGAGATAATTGCCAGGTAAAAACCACTCACATCTCGTCGCTGTGGCGCGTTAGTCGCTTTGCCCCTGCGTTACAGGCTAGCACTTCGATGATATTCAGCCAAGAATACCGCGCATTATACTGTATTCTTTTTGACTGCAATTGTATTCTTAAAGGGTAGTACTACTTACAACTGAAATCTAGTAGGGTAGGCCGAAACGCGAAACCCAGGCAGGAACGGGGATCTGGGAAAATTGCGGCGAGGGAAGATGATTAAAGCGTGGCGCAATTGTTGTCTCAAGAAAGGGAATGCATGTGCTGGTCTGTCTTACTCGGGCGCGGCGTGGATGTCATGATGATGATCCTACATCCTACTCAGATCAAGGTTGGGGTAGGCGTTGTTACAGGTTCTTGATGCGATTTATCATCGGTTGCATACTGGTATTCTCGTGGTGGTTACAATTTGATAATTTTGTTTAATATTTCCCTTGTGGTATAATCACCCTCTTCACACGTAGTTTTCTGATGATATTGAAGCTTCAATTTGTTGTATCAATTTGCTGCAAAACTGTTGTATATGCCAATGCATCGGTTGTGCATTTATTTGCTATTTCGAAATTTGTTCGTATTATTCGTGTGGTCAAAATTGTTCTTTCCCTCATCGAAGATGCAGTAGTACTTCTTTCACTACCCCACCTACTGCGACGCCAACTTCCCAGCACTACTAGCCGACGCGAGTTTCGTCAACGAATTCGAACTCGCCAAGCTGCCATTACTTGTCAAAGACTGCGTCAACCCTGCGAATTTTCCGTTCTTTTGCTTCATTAATTTTATGCATTGCAAATATGTCTGGGTCCGGAAGAAAGCAGCTTGTAATGCTACTTACCTTTGGATTCTACATAAAATCTGTATTGCACGAACAGCAAAAGAGGTCCAATTTTTGCTACGCGGAGAGGGCATTTCTCATGCAGTATGAGCATCAGAAATCCATCGCAGAATCTCTGATGCTAGGGCATGCATCACAGACCTTATGGGTCATGCAAAATCTGCATGACAAACTCCAGCGTTCTTCCAGACCCAAACATATTTGTATTTGATAGATTTCCGCGGATCCCCGTACTCCACCACTTTCCCGGCCTCCAAAACCGCCACCGCGTCGTAATCCGAAATCGTGGAAATTCGGTGGGTATGCATTGCAAATATGTCTAGGTCTGGAAGATTCTCAGACTTGTCATGCCCGTTTTGCATGAGCCGTGATGCCTGTGATGCATGCCCGAGCATCACATATTTTTTGAGGGCTTCTTGATGCCTATTCAGCATGACAAATGCCATTTCCGTGTGGCAAAAATTGCACTCCCTTTGCTGGTCATGCAATACAGATTTTTTTGGAATCCAAATGAAGCATCACAAGTTGCATTCTTCCGGACCCAGACCACATATTTGCAATGCATAGTGGGCGATAGTTAGGATTGTGGATCCCTGGAAGTGGGTGCGGAGAATGGATTGGATCGTCTTGTCCAGCTCCGGGTCTAGGGCGGACGTGGCTTCATCGAGGAGCAAGATGCCGTTGAACGAAGTGTCACCGGTGGGTTTCCTGTTATTTTTTTCAAAAATTGGAAATCGGTATAATGCAATCTGAGCATGACAAAAACGAATATGGTGCTACTTTTGCATCAGAAATTGAACTTACAGGACGCACAGAACTGCTGGCATGAAAAACCAAAACCAATTTCATCTCGCTCCTATCTTTCTATGTACCTCAAAATCGCCCTTGCCAGCGCCAGTAGTTGCCTTTCCCCATGGGAAAAATTGCTTCCCCCTTCCGACACCTCCGCATCTAAATTCGTCCCTAACTTCTTCGTTAACTGCGACAATTCCAGTGCCCGGATCATGTCCGCATCGCTCGCTTCCCCAAACGGATCTAAGTTAAACCGGACTTTTCCAGAGAAAATCACGGGGTCCTGGGGAATGATCATCAGGTTTCTCCGCAATTGGTGCAACCCGATTTTCGAGATGTCCTTGTTGTCGATTTTTTGCACAGACCCGTTTGCGTAATCCGGCTCCACCAACCGCATTAGAGAGAGGAGTAAAGACGATTTTCCACTACCCGTTCTTCCGCAGATCCCGAGAGAGGTACCGGCCGGGATGGTCAAGGTGATGTTTTTCAGAACTAGAGGGAGCTCCTCCCGGTATTTTAGCGAGACGTTTTGGAACTCGATCCTGCCCCGACTCGGCCAGTTGTCTAAGCGCGTTTCCTCCGCAGAATCTTCAGTTGGCGCAGCGCCTTGCTCTACCTCCAACGCCGCTTCCGAGGGGATGTCGAAGATGTACTGTTTCAACCTTTCCACACTGATCATCTGCGTCTCCAAGTCCGCAGATTCCCGATTCAACGCGTTCAACGTGTCGGTTAACTTCAAACTGTACATGATCGCCAGCCCGACGATCCCCGCGACCAAATACTGTCTCAACGCGATCGCGAATAGGCAGACACCGGAGACTAGTAGTGTGCCGGTCAATTGCATCCGGAGAGAAAGCCACCGGTTTGCGGAGTTGGCGAGGAAGAAGACTTGGAGTTGTTTCTCGAGTTTGATGATGTTCAATTTGCTCGCGATCCGTTCCAATTCATGAACTCTTATCGTGCTCAATCCGATCAGAGTTTCCGCGAAGTGGCTGAAGATCGGGGATTTGTTCACCGTGTCTAACCTGCGTAAATCCCGGGCGCTTGGGATGTAGAACCGCTGCGTTTGGAGGAAGATCGCCCAGATGGGGATGAAGAGTAATAATGTCCAGACGGAGACCTGCGACGCGAGAACAAAAATCATCAACAACCGGTACAACCACTGGCAATTCAACGAGACGGTGATTGGTAAGTTGTTGTCCAATATCACCGTGTCTTCTGCGAACCGGTTCAAAATCCGGCCGACGGGCGTCACGTCCAACCAGCTCATTTTTGCTCGTAACACCGCAAGCTGGCAGTCCATGTGAAGTTTTCTCGCCGCGTTCTGGCCCATGGTGATTCGGTACAGAATGAAGAGGAAGAGCGCAAACGCGCCGAAGATGAGAATCCCCGCGTAGACCGCTAAGCCGAAGGTCGAGGATAAGTTCCCGACGTTATCAGACCAATGAGAAATCCACGTGTTCGCTAATACCGTGCAACTTTCCGAGCTCGTCATGGCGAAAAAGTAGAGCAAAATCCACTTCCAACCGCCCATCGCATTCAAATAGTACTTGTAGCAGTCGAAGGATACCGATCCCTTCTCCCGCTCTTCCTCTCCCGTGTTCTGCTGCATAAGAGATTTCTGCTTCTCCAAACTCGTGCTATCAGCGGATTTCTCCTCTTTCTTTTCCGTCGGCGAAGATGATTTGTGATCCCCCGTCGCTGCGTTAACCGATTTATCCTTCGACCTCGTTCTGCTTCTCGCTCGGACCTGTCCAACCGTCCCCCCGGGACTCGCGGTCGCGCCGTTCCCGAGCTGGAGAGAATCTTCTTCGTCGGAGTAAACAGAGTCGGAATCTTCGGAATGGAGTGTGTCTAAGGATGAGTCGGAAGTTAAGCTCGCCTTGTAATCTTCGTAGGAGGAGAACATTCGGACCTCAGCGTAGCCGGAATTACTCGCGACCAAATTCCCCCGTTCGTTTTCCGCATCGTAACTTGCCGTGATCCTGTTCGGCCGCTTGATGTTTTCTGCTTCTGTTGCTCCTGATCCTGCACCGCTGCTAGATGTGGCACTGCTATCGTGTCCACCGTTATTCCCCGCCACGTGGATGATTTTCGTCGCGAGTCTCACCGTCTGCTCGTCGTGGGTCGCTAGAATCACGCATTTATCCACCAACCTCCCCCGAAACACTTCACTCCTCAAATGTGCCGCGACATGAGCGTCCACCGCAGATAAGACGTCGTCGAAAACGAATACATCAGCGGAATGCACGTCGTAAATTGCCCGGGCGATCGCGATCCTTGCTTTCTGTCCCCCGGAGAGGGTGACGCCGCGGTCGCCGATTTCCGTCAAATCGCCATTTGGGAGAACCTCGATATCTGGGAGGAGGGCGGAACATTGCAGGGTTTTCTGGTACTCAATGTCGTCAAAATGCGGGTTGAGGTTGTCGCTGGAGGAAGATTGGGAAAGTGGTTCGGGGTCGAGCTGTGAAGAAGATGAACTTGTTCCATTCGTCGGGTTTGAAGTTCCCCAAGTAATGTTGTCCCGGAAGGATTTGTTGCAAACCCACGGCTGCTGCGCGCAGTAACGGACGCCACTGTTTTTTGATTTTTGATTTCCTTTATAGGCAAAAGAAGCATGATTTTCTGAGGAGAAACCGCATCACAAATTCCACCAAAATATCAAAGCAACACAAGTTGATGTTCTATACCGTCCTTTGAACAAGTTCCGCACGACCCCGCTTTGGTTGCTCAGTTCCCCGAGTAACCCGGTCAAAAACCCGGTTTTCCCGCTCCCGGTAGCCCCCACCACACACACGAAATCACCCATGCCGAAGTGAAATTGCGTGTTCTCTGGGTTGTCCAATAACGGAATCGACCCCGGCCACTGCAACTTCCGGAATTCGTACTCAACCACGATTTTTCCGAAATTTTCCTTGTCTTCCTGGGAGGAAGAAATTGAGGCTGCTCTGGCTTTGTTCCTCGGGTTATTTTTCTTCTCATCCCGCTTCTGCCCCATCAGCCGCGGAGTCGACGATTCCGTCACTCCGGTTGAATCTGACCTCGGGGTCATGTCCTGCAAGGGTAAGTCGGATTCGATTGTCACCGAATTTCTCGCGATCGGGAAAGCCGAAATCGCGTTTCCACCATCGGAATTCGGCGTATTACTCGTCTCCAACAACGGCCTCTGAGAATCATGAATCAAAGACGAGTTCTGCAGAATTTGGTTCCGCCTCCTCTCCACAGCTAATTTCGAATTGATCTCCTCATTACTCGTCGGTTGCTGCGGCTGGGGCTGCCCCGACCCGGCGGTATTAAAATTACTGATGCTGTTCTGCTTGATGTTGTGCACTTTTTGTTTCGACGAAACGATCGTTTCCGCTCCGGTCACTACATCCTTCTCGATCCGCATATTCCCCTGCACTTCCGGTTTTTTCAAAAACGCCTCCAGTCGCATAACCGCGACCTGCGACTGCAATAGCCACTGCAGCATCATTGGGAGAGCGCCTAACGGGAACCCGATCACGGAGAACAAAGCCAGAGCGGTAAAAGCGGTGGCCGGATCCAATGTCTTCCCTAATACGATGCAGTGGACGAAAAAGGTTGCACAGCCGACGAAACCTGGTGCGATCGTGAACTGGAGCCATTGAATTCCACTCCACTGCCGGACCCGTTTTTGCAGATGTAATTCCCGGTCCCGAATCTCCGCTACTCGATTGAACAAAGATTGTTCCCAGCCGTAGATTTTGATGATTTTGATACTGTTCAGCAACTCATTCTGAATCTTCAGCCTTTCATCCTTCACCTTCATCACCTCTCGTTGCAGAGCCTGCGCCTTCTTCTGCACCTTACCGGAGATGGAAAACGACACCGCCATGACAAACAACCCCCCGATTGTCGCCCACCCGACGTAATACGCGAGGAAGAAGAAGCAGAGAACGAGCTGCAACGGCGCGGACCAGATCAGGTTCAGATACGGCATGAGTGTGGAGAATCGATCAGTATCCGCGGTAACCAAGTTCATGATCTGCCCAACACTTCCCTCGTAATCCGACTTCCCGGGGTTCACCGGTAAGAAAGCCGCTAGTAACTTCTGCACCCAGGAGGACCTCGGTGACCCGGCGATGTCAGCGGCGGTGACGTGGCCGACGTTTTCCTGGCCGACCTTTTTATCCGCCAAAGCGCCGGGGACGAGTTTTAAGGATTTTTGAAAAACCAGGACGATCAAAGCGGACCGCACGTGCATCGCGGCCCGGTACCCGATTTGGAAGTAGTGGGTTAGAAAAATCGCCTGCAACAAGCTCGTCAAGCACATCCCGATCGCGAGAAGCCACCCCTTCAACTCCGACTGGTCAGCTGATTTGTCGTCCTGTAAATACTTCAAGAGCGTGTTGAGTAGAAACGGGTTCAAGAAGTGTAGACAGTCCGATCCGATCTTCATCAAGCCCTGTGGTCCGAACAAGGCTTCGCCGGCGAAACACCTTGCTAGTGCGTGGGTTAGTGACGGGTTCTCCGGGTAGTTTTCCAACTCGTAGTCCCACTCCTTTTTCAGCTTTAAGTAATGGACTTGCGCTAAATCCTATCAACTGTAAAAATGTCTGGGTCTGGAAGATTCTGACACTTGTCATGCACGTTTTGCATGAGCCATGATGTCTGTGATGCATACCCTAGCAATACAGATTTTTTGAGGGCTTCTTGACGCGTATTCCGCATGACAAAGGCCTTCTCAGCGTAGCAAAGATTGCATTTCCTTTGGTACTCATGCAATACAGATTTCTTTGGAATCCAAATGCAGCATGACAAGTTGCATTTTTCCAGACCCAGACATTTTTACACTTGATAAGTCCTGAGCTGGAAGAACCGGGACTTGTTCCATTTGCAACTGCTCGTTGATTTGTTGTTTCTTGTAGCAAAACTTCACCAACGGTGTGAACCAGGCGAAGGTGAGTTTGCTGTAAAACGTCGCGACTTCCTATGGAAGTGTCAGAATCGAAATTCACAAAATCGAAAAATTTGTGATGCACAAAATCAATACCATTTGAAGCCTTAGCTTTCAAGTGGCGCATGACAAATTTCGGGAGCACCAAAATCCAGTTTGTCATGCTGTTTGGGCAAAGAAGACTGCTCCTGTCATGCTCCGCTGGCATCACATAATTGCATACCCCTAAACGGGCTTGCAATCGGTCTCATTTGCCTGCTCCCCATTACAGGCCTTCAGTGCCCTACATTTTATGCATCACAAACTTTTCGATTTTGTCGATTTCGATCCTGACACCTCCATACCTCTTCCGGTGATTGTTTTTCATTTACCCGGATGCACAGCTCCTTCTCCAACTCCTCCAACGTGTTTAAATCCGTGGTTTGCTGGCTGGTTTCGAGCAACAATCTCGCCAAAGACGCGGTCTATGGATTGCAAATATGTCTGGGTCTGGAAGGTTGCAACTTGTCATGCTAATTCTGGATCATGCAAAAATCTGTGTTGCATGAGTGCCAAAAGCTGTCCACTTTTGACCTAACCGAGACGCAGTTTCTCATGCAGGACAGGCATGATAGCACCTTTACAGAATCTGTCATGCTATGTCATACATAACATATCTCCTGGGTCATGGAAAATCTGCATGACAAGTCTTGCATTCTTCCAGACCCAGACATTTTTACATTTGATACGGTCCTCGTGTTGATGATCTGCTTGGTGTAAATCAAGTAGGAACTGGTGACAACACAGGTAAGACACGCGGTTATGTCGGAAAATAGTTGGAGTATCTGGATCCATTCGAAGGACTGATGTTCTTCCGGTTTTGATAAACTGTACGCGGCAGACACTGATCGGGTTAACAACGCTGTCCGGAGTATCGTCGCGAGAAACCAGAGGAAGGGGGAGGAGGCGGCGCTCGGGACGAAGACGAAACACGAGAGGAAAAAGGTGGAGGAGAGGAGAACCTGATGGGATTTTGGATTGATAAATTCATGTTGATTTTGTTTCTGCATCACAAAGAACTTCTTGCATCACAACAGAAGAACTAGAACATCTAATCCCATTTTCAGCACGAAAAAACCATACCGGCAAAGCCGAATCCGCACTTCCCCGCACATAGTACACCCCCGCCGCATTATCCGGCCCCAAACTCAGCGAGTCCGGGCTCAACAACGGCAACAAAAGCACAACCTGCATCACCGCCAACAGTTGGAACTTCCCGGTTTCCCGGCGTCTCAACCGCAAGAGGAACAAGTCCTTCCGTCTCCGATACCAGATTCGGAGAAGGCCGATTAGAGTTAAAATCACAGGAAGGGTGACGTAGGCGAAACACTCGGAAAAACAGGAGTTGGAGTAGTCAAACACCGCGGTGGAGGAGGTCGAGCGGCAGATTTTTGGTGACGGGGAGGTATTTGCGTTCAAGGAAAGCAGGTAGCTATCTGGCATGCTACTTGGCAGCTTGAACTTCATGTCTCCTCGGCTGATCGAAACTACCGGGCTGGTGATCTCCTGAATCACTTGGTCCGCTTTGTCTGCAAGTTCGGCTGTTCTTGATGTTCTGAATTCATCTGGTCCACTCTTCTGCCAGTTCGTAGCCGAACTTGTGATCGCCCTGCCAGCCGGCGTCGCGGAAACCGCATGATCCGGCCAGCTGCTTCGATCTCGCCAGCGGTGCTTGCGTTGCTCCTGCGAAGTGGATTCTTCGACGCTCACACCGATCTGCGCCTCGGCATTTCTCCTGCTAGAAGACGATGACGACGAAGACGATGACCCGCCAGATGAACCAACCACTTCCCCGACGATGCCACCGAAATTGCTGTGCCCCTCAACGGTGTAGAACCCGGTGGTCGGCGACAGAGCCCCGTCGGGCGAAGTGTACAGTTCGATGTCGCGCATGATGCTGTTGAACGAATATAATGCTCTTGTTGCGTAACAAGGATTTGTAGTCCTTCACTTATACTTAACTTTGAGAATGCAATTCATTCGTACTGTCATCAACTAGTGGTGACAATTTGTGGTCTGCATTCAAATTTTCATGCCTATTTGCAAGACCGCCTTTCTACTAAAGTGCGCCACTTTCGAGATGCGTCAAAGATGAACATGTAATCTATCTGCCTAAAGTAGTTCGTGCGCTTATTTCACATTTCTCACTGTCGGTCGCTGTTTCGCGGGTTTATTGGAATTTTTTTTTGCACATCTCAACGCCAACAACTCAAACTTTTGTTCTTCCACACAACTACTACCCAACAGACCACTAGCACAACTACACACCTCGCTGCCTACTTTTTGTCCCACGATAAGGTTCTCGTCGTGACAAAGAAATTGCAGTACCACCGACTTTTGCTCAGATGATTTTCTCGTCAACCAATTTACGGTGCGACTTTCTCTAGTGTGGAACAACATTTTCATCACAGCATTTCAGGATCATCGCGATTTCTCACTACCACATCGTGACAAGGAGGGCACAAGCCATCAAAAAGTCAATACCGACACTACGACCGATTTACATTATTGAGTGATTTTGCTTTCAATGGCATTGCATCATTTTTTGCACCAGCTGATATTTATTTCCACTCCTGACATTGCATATCGCCAATAAGCGATTATCGACGTAAAACAGTAAAACCCGATTGGCAAACGTAAAGGTATCAAACGTAAACTCGTTTTAAGCTTTGATTGTTGTAATGTTTGAGGATGCAGCCGAGACGACCGCGTAAACTTGGTGTTAGCAAGTCTAACAACACGGTGTTGGAAGATTTTGAAAAAAATGCAAAATGAAAAAATCAGTGTCTTCAACGTATTTCAACAAAGTCTGTAGCAAGTGCAAGTAGTTCATTTGGTATTAAATACAGTTGTAGCAGCATTCCATCAGTAGTACAGATTGATTTTTGGTGTCTTAAAAAATCATCAAACTAGGCCTCTACTGGACCACCTCTTGCTCCACGACACCTCGGCCCTGTTATTTCTTACTCCTGCACCCCCACATACACCGTGTAGCCCGCGAACAGCAGAAACAAAATTCCCCCGCTCAACGCCACCTGCCGCTCCGTGATCGATTTCGCCAAAATCTTCCCCCCAATCACCGCAAACCCCGTGCAAATGCTGTGCCCTATGATCGCACCCAGCGTTACCCCGTACGGGTTTTGCGCCGCTGCGAGCGCGATGGTCGCGATCTGCGATCGGTCCCCCCATTCTGCGACGAAGGTGAGGATGAAGGACTGGGTCAGGATCTGCGGAGTGGTATCCTGTGTGAAAACGTCCCCGCCCCATAGTCAAGTTGGGAATCCAGCAACACAAATCTGCAAGTTTTGGGAGCTGTGCATGAGAAGTTTCCCCCTGCAGTGTAGTGCTGGTTGGCAAGGGAAGCCGCATGAGAAAGCCATTCTCTCATCCTGTTTACAGCATTACAAATTCCAAAACGCGACTGGCAATGCCTCTCATGCAGGTGCGCATTACAAATGCTCGTGTCATTGCGCATTTGCATGACAACTCTGGGGTGGGGACGTTTTTACAAATGATAAGTGGTTTTCTGGTCTTTTGCTCGACTCCTCGGGGATGTTGCACTGGTTCCACTATTTCTCGCTCCCAAGGTACCTCCGCTGGGAGAAGCGCCGGGCTTTGAGTTCGTCAGTATCAAAGTTATGAGAGTGCATGATTTTTCCCCCGTTCCCTCCTTTGAAGTTGTGGTACACGAGCAGCAATAGAGGCAGTGTAGGTGTACTGCCTTCCGCATGACAAATCACCGCACTTGGATTGTAGTACTGCTTGGGGTTCCAAAACTTGTCATGCTAGCAGTGCTTTCTACCTACGGGGTACGTAGATGTGGTTTGGCACCTTGCATCACAAACGAGAGAGAGTGGAATCGTGCACTTTCATAAGATCCCGCGGACTCGCAACGTCTGTGTTAGTGTCGGAACCGGAGGTGGAGACCATTTTCTCCCGATCCTCATCAACGTTGGACTCGCCGGCAGTTGTGCTCATGGAATCGACCTTTTTTCGTTGGATGGTGATTGTGTAGTGCATGCCAGACAGTAAATGCGGCTGCTGCATAGCATCACAAGTAGTTTTTGTCAACAAGAACGGCTTCTTCAAATTACTGATGCAAAAACTCCAAAGTAAAAACTGCACACCCATCAATCAATATCAAACCTCGCAAACGAGCAAGCCATAAATCACTTACCCCCACAGCTTGGCTTTCCAAATCTAACCCGAATTCCGGATCCGTTGGCTTCCCGAGCGTGTGGCTTCCCTCCATCGACAGCGGGTCCGTCATTTCGGTCGCCAACCCCTTCTCGGCCAGCTCGTGCTCGACCTCTTCGAGCTCCTCCGACACCTCCTTGCCCTCGCCAGAAAGGTACATCTGTCTCGCGTCCAACAGCATTTTCACGCCGAAGTAAAGGAGGAGAACCACCGAAGCCCAGTGGGTGAGGACTTTAGGAAGGAGGTGCGGGACGGCGTGGCCCAAAATGGCGGAGAGAATCTTTTAAGTGTGACGATCATTTTTTTTGCATTCCAACTTCATTACCCATCATGTTTTGCATCACAGCATGACAAAAAGAAAAAACAACAGACACTCGTCCCTGTGAATAAAACAAAACCCTCAATAACCCATACCGTCATCAGCGCCAACGCCCCGATCGCCCCGGAAAACACCACTATTCTCGGATTGCTCATCGCCATAACCGCTGCGATGAAAAAGGTCCTATCGCCGATTTCCGTGGCAAAAATCATCCCGAGCGCGTTCAGAAACGCCGAGGAAAATCCGCCGTCTGCCTGGTTTTTTTCCAAAGTTGCTAGTTCTTCCGCGGAAACTTGCCCCAAAGCGGCCGCTGCGTAGCCGTTTTTGATCTTTGCGTCTTCGTGTACCCGTTGCTCAGTGTCTTGCTCGAGGTTTGTTTATGCGTTGCAAATATGCCTGGATCTGGGAAGTTGTCATGCTAATACATGAATGGCAAGATGACTACAGTACAACGCAGCCAAGCATGACAAATTTTTCAACAGCACTGTGCTGCGTAATACGCATGAGAAGATGCGTTTTTGCATGACACAGCACCGTCACCATTCCGCAACGCGCATTACAGAGTTTCGGTTTCGGGGCATGCGAGGTCAGCATTAGAAATCTGGCACACTTCCAGACTCAGACATATTTGTATTTGATATTGTTTTTGCTGATGCAATATTTACCTGCTCGTTCTCCTCCAGTATTCTCCGCCCGGAGGGGCCGATGTTGATATTTTCGTCCTCTAGATCGTGGAAGAAAACGGAGGGGGTGCTGCTCGGATCGTCTGTTTTCCTGCTAGGTTGAACGATGCTACCTACTTCCTCGGACTCGTCTCTCTGCTTTTTCCGAACTGTTTGTTTGTGCAGGCTGGTAGAAGATGATCCTTGGCCTTGTTCTCTCGTGCTAGTCCTTGTGCGTTTCTCATTTTGGTTTTGGTTTTCTTCTTTCAGCTTCTGTTTTGCTAGGGCGCTGGCGTCTTCGCGAAGAAGCTTCCGGTTGAAGTGAAGCTGCAGGCTGTCGCGCAAGACTTCTTTCTCTGCTGATGTTTCCGCTGCTGTCAATACACTTCTTCCGTGCTCCGCTGCAATGCTGCCTTTTGCGTGTTGAGTTTCCCCCGAAGAAGACGATGTTGCTGCTGTTGTTCCTGCTTTTATCGACTTCGCGTTGTGCATCAGACTGTGCTCCTTGTCCTCCGATCCTTTTACCGCAACACAAACGGCGGCGCGAAACACCGCACCGCACATCAGCCAGCTCTGGCGGCGAGCGGCCATGGTTCTGTTTTTTGTTTTGCTGAGAAACAAATGCTTTCACCCTGCTCAGTGTCCGGACTCTTTCCCTACTTGTCGGACTTGTTCAGATGTAGTAGATTCACGGTTGCCTCAGGGTAGGCAGAGATAGCACGGCTACTCTGAAACAAGAGCTGTAGAACCAACCTCAGAAAATAAGTGGTCGAAGCACTACACATCTGTTTGTTCACCTAAATTATCGCACCTCTAGCTCACGGCAAGAAGAAGTTTTCAGAAGACGGGGGGCACACGACACGCACTTACACATATGACGAGACGAACATCATCGAAGAGCCGAACGCACAATGTCTGCGCGCGCCCACGGGTGGACGAGCAGAGACTACACCGAGTAGACTATCGATACTTACGCGCACTTTCGAAGTTCATCCATCGACAAGAACTGCAACGCGAACGTCTTGTACCGATTATACTCTTGAAAACCTTCTTTTCCTCGTTCTAGAGACTCTAATCGGTTGATCGTTTCTCTGCTCGTCAAATCATCGTATTTGTAATGCACTTGGCTTGGCGAGCTAGGCGAGTCAGCACTTACAAATGAGGAAAGTCCGCCAAAAAGACCTCTGCTTGTTGGCTCTGGCGGTTGGGTAATTTTTACTTTTAGGTCGTCGATCTTTCGCTGTAGTTCCGGAATTGCAGTTTCTTCGTAGTATTTAATTCGGATTTCTAAGACCTTCGCCTTATCCTGAAGGGCAAGAATATCTGTACCTAGATCCGTAGATTGAACATCTTCAATCGCAAGGCGGGTACGCTTTGGTGAGCGTTCCATACTGAACTTTCAAAAGAAAGAATAAAAGACAAACTTACAACGGACTTAGCGTTGAATATTACATTTTCGTACAGCGGTTAAGCTGAAAATAATTCTTACCGTAGATTTTATGAAGCTACGTCTTCCGCGTACACCCCCTATAATCTAACCCCTGTTTGTTCCTGTTCCCTCCACTGCCAGCGTTTTGCTCTAGTGGTTTTGCGTTATCTATCCTTAGCTTAGTATAACCTACTCTCCGCTACCACTGCAGAAATAGAAAGCCATCTAATTCTGTAAAGAAGCGCTTTGTGGATAAAAGAAGTAGAAAAACGCACTATTGTGGACCCTTCTGTTCCTGTCTAGAATGGGCGGGATTCTCCATTTTTCTGGATCTTTACTTAAAGGTAAGGGGGCCACTTTCTAAAAGAAAAACAAGCTTTGTTCGTCTTCAGCTAGGACGAGGACACTCATTTTTCTGGATCTTTCAAAACACTACCTTAAAGCTTAAGGAGAACTTGGTTAAAGCAAGCCGGATCATACCGTGATAAGTAACTTGAACCTCAGCTTTAGTTGCGAAAAAGGGAAAAAAGAGAGAGAAAAAAAGGCAAGCGCATTCTGCTTGACTTTTACTAGAGCAAGAGCTACTGCAAACCTTAACTTCGTTTTTCGTATGCATTTCCTGTTTTTCAAAAAAATTACAACTTCACTTTAAACCCTGCCCTTAACCTCCTCCGAAGCTCCAGATAAGACCACCCCCACGCCCGCCGCTCGTTAACAGTCGTATCGCAGGAGACACCGAGAGCACAGTAAGCACACCAGAAGACCTCCGATCCGTAAGAACAAGACCTGGATAAACACCATAACAGCCCGGAGTCCTTTTTTTCAAGTTTTTAACGTTTTCGACTACGAAGCCAGGTATAGATCCACGCCCCGCCAAAAGACCGAAGGAGGCATAGCTGCAGCACCGAGGCCTCGACCCGCCGCCCGAAGGCGGAGCACATCGACTCATGGTCGGAGGGCGTAGAAGACAGCGTGATGCAAAACTGCTGGAGACAACAACTCAGCACATGACACATCGCGAAATCCATGATGCAAACGATCAGCACACGATCTTCTTCACCCAGCCCCACGATGTCGCTGCTCCACAACCTGTTCACAGCCAGCAACTCATCGATCTCCACGCATCCCCGATTTCAAACCCCTCCGAGCAGAGACGCTAGTACTTGCGGAGGCTTTAACGGAGGACTTGATCTTGAGTACAGGAAGGGCAGAACTACAACGAGTACGACTTGATCTTGAGTACATCGACAAGAACTGCAACGCGAACGTCTTGTACCAGAAGAGCAGCTACAGCTCGTTAGGCTGCGAACTTTTTCGAGAACAGTCGAGAGGTGGGCCTGAAACTCGTCGAAGGCTAAGGACACGCCGCCCCCTTTCTTACTGCCGTCTGCCGGGGCGTAGGCACTGCATATCGCGATGTATGGAAGCCGCAGGCCGATGACGCGGGGCTGAGAATGAACACGAAAATTCCCGCGCAAGATTTCTTTGATCCACTTGCGGTTAAACAGGACGATGGCAGCGCCGTTAATCCAAAGAACAAGCCAACGGGAATCCGGGTCGATGGACGTGGAGTAGGCGTCGGGCGGGCACTCATCGGCACCTGCCGCATCGTACGAAAACTCGCTTGCACAAATACCGTCCAACCGAGGGCCACCACGTAAATGAGCGTCACAAAAATGCTGCAGGATCATATCGCGCTGCGCAGACTGGAACTTCCCCTGGAAGTTAACGGTGACAAAATGCGCAAAGAACCCCTTTTTCCTCCTGGCCCTGGTGCGGCGCGTATGTGGTGTTACTGGAATCTTCTCCGCAGTACGGATGCCCGGGTCCCAGATTTACCATCTTCAGTACGGATGCCCTTCTACGCAGTTTTTTTGATGGAGGAAAATATCGTTTTTTTCCCCGAACTCTTGAGACGCCGCAGCAACTTGTTCGAGCAGTTCCTCCGGGATTGTGCTGTAATTGGAGAGGTTGATGCCCGTTTTCATTAACACGTAACTATCGTGTGTGCACTTCTTGTGCGGTCGGACGAACACATACCCGGCCCAGATTGGGTTGCCGTTCGCATCCAGAAGCTTCGTCTTCTTCTCCGGATCCGACGGGTCCTTCCTCCAGCCCAGTCGTTGGACAGTCCCGAACAAACGCTCTCCCAACTTCGGTCTTGGTATCAAATCCCCATCCTCCATCAAAGCATCACCTTCCGGCATCGTGTTCGTGTAGCAGGTGACCAGGCAACAAGTTAACGTTGTTCTGCACGTGCAGGAGACGGTGAAAGCAGAAGCACAGGGCAGACGCACACTACAGGGACGGAAACAACGACATTGTTACAACGACATTGTTACAACTTTTGTTCATCCTTAAACATTGTTACAACTTTTGTTCACCCTTAAACAAGAACTGCAACGCGAACGTCTTGTACCAGAAGAGCACTTACAGCTCGTTATCAAGTGAAGCGCTAGTCGGGATATTGTACAAAGAAAGTCTTAGCACAAGAGCAAAAGAGATGCAGTCCGTCACGCGCAATTTGCATGACGAGCTGAGTGAATCGCACTTCATTCTTATCAAGGTGTGAAACTTTCAACAATTTTTGAAACAACTCGGGGTAGGTTCATATTTTTCGCTATCGATACGTACATTGCGGTAGCACAAGTTGTAGTTGACACTCCCTAATTATCGTCTCTGCATTTTTTTGTCTGTAACTGCATCTTGTAAACGGTAAGAACGGTTCTTACAGTGGATACGGGTTGCTGATTTAGAAATCATATTTGGCAAATTCATTTGGTAAGTGATATATTTGACATTCACAACATATTGCTTTCGCTATAAACGAAGATTTTCGATTGCAAACTGAAACTTATCTGACGAAACCGTGCAAAAAGAGTAGTTCCTTGTGGTACCTAGAGGTCTAACTACAGATTTTGAGCCCATCTTTGTACACGACTAGTGTAAGCACATAGGTAGTAAGCAGTATTGTAGCCGAAGGGGCTACTCCTACTTATTCATTACACCGCTCAGCTACACCTCCTCCGTAGTACAAGTGGTCTACGCCCTCAACTTTCCCCCGCGATCGCCATCGCCACATCGTAGTCATCCGGCGGTGGAAAGTGGTCATCGTCATACTGCTGGTGTTGTTCCCCTTGTGCTACTAGCTTTTCAGCATCACAACCAGCCACTGTAGCTCCTTTCGCTTCATCGTCCTGCTGGTTACTTGAAGAAACTATTTGTTGATCATCTGCTACTGCATGGTCTAGATTCAGTGGTGGCAACAAACCTCGGCGACCAGGAGCTTATTGAGAGGAAAAATCTCCCCTCCCCATATTGAAAAGGTATGTTTCCAAAAATTTGTGTAGCGCATTTGAGGTCACAAATCACATCTGTCTTGCAAGAAGACAAGGGCAGAAGCTTCCGCCCCATTATGAAAGCGATTTGTCATGCTGTTGGGCCCAAAGGGGGGACGTTTGCCATGCTGAAATACTAGACCCATACGCCCCTACCTAGCCCGGGGATCTGACCGCAATGCTTTCCTGCAATACAAATCTGATTTGTGTACTCAGATCCAGCATCAGAAATTTCGTTTTGATATGGGGAGGGGGGATTTTTCCTTTTGATAGAGCTGTTCCTCCTGTCATCGCAACTCCCGGCGTGGTGTGCGGCCTACTATTCACCTCGACATCCAAAATCTCCGCGTCCGTTGGGGAAATTGTCACCGTCATGGCGTTGTCTGGCGACCTGGTTAGCCGCGTTATTTCTGTTGCAGTTCCTCCTACATTTTGATCCGCGGCGAATTCGGGTAGCAAGTGCGGGGGTAGCATGAACTCTTCCTCAAACCCGACCAAATCCGTCGCCTGACTCTCGGCTTGCAGTGACCGGGAATTGAGACTAAGATTTGGTTCTTTCTTCTTCCTATTCCCTCCGCCGGCACTCATCCAATTCCCCGGCGTTGTGTTCGGCCTTCTGGTGTCAAGGGAGGAGGAATAGGAATTCGTTCCATTTCGGTAACTGTCATCATGATTCATTTTCCCGCTCGCAAAGGGTGTTTTCCCGCCATTTCCGCCGTTCAATTTCTCAATCATCGCGACCTCGTACGCCGGCCGCTGCTTCAATATGACAGTGCACAACTCCCCCTCCGCCTCGTTTGTAATGCAAAATCCGAAGTCCTATCGTTGCGATGTCGATGCGGCACGGTTTGCATGACAAATCTTGGGAGCTCAAACAGCACGACGCTAGGCGCATCAACTTGTCATGCGCAGGCTCTATTTGAGCTGGTGGCTGTATTGCTGTTCATGCCATACAAATGAGGGGGAGGGGGACGAGTTGTGCACTCTCATATTCAACTTCAACCCGCCGCGACTAGCGAAGGCGCGGAACCGGCGGTAGTCGGAAACGGAGATCTATGGATTGCAAAAATGTCTGGGTCTGGAAACTTGTAATGCTGCGTTGGAAATAGTGAATGCTCTGTAATGCACAGCCAAGCATGAGAAATATCTGCGCTTTTTTGTGTTGCGTTTTTCGCATGACAAACTGCTTTTTTGCATGACAGGCAAAAGGGTCTCTTCTTGGACACGCATCACAAACTTTTTGGTCATGCCAGACAAGCACGACAAGTCTCGCAATCTTCCAGACCCAGACATTTTTGCATTTGATAAGATCTTGTTCTTTTCCAACGCGTGTTTTAGTTTGAAATCTAATGACTGAACGTTGGACTTTTTCAATTTCAAAAACGTTTTGCTGTAGCCGGCGGAATTCAGCAAAGGATTCGCGGTCAGTTTGCGGTTTGATACAACATCGGTTGTTGTATTCATCCCTGGAAGATCGTAGGAGTGAATTTGCTGGTAGTAATCCACTTGCTGCTGATGAAGATTATCCTGCAACTTATCGTAGTTGTGCTGGCCGAAGACAAATTCCGTTGTTTGCAAGAGATTCTTGTCCTTCTGCTTCTGGTTCCATTTCGACCGGGGCGGGGTTAGATGCCGGTGCTGGGAATTACCATGGGGGTGTTGGTCCTGATTTGTTCAGGAAGAAAAATTGACTGAAGTTGCGATTATGCTGCTAATGTAAGTAGTCGAGAACAGGCATGAAAAAAAAATGCGTGATCGTACAGATTCTGCATCACAACAAACACTAAAGACACGAAAACTATGCAGCAGTACCAGTCTCCCTCGGTGCACGGACCCCAACATCAAACTTGGATCCGTCATGGAATTGTAGCTCCAATTGAAAGCCCCGGCACTCCCTAGATGAGCATGGTCCTTCTCGTAGTCTTCGCTGGAGATCAGGGACAAAGAGTGAAGGTGATTCTCCCCCAAATCGTAGATCAGCGACTGGGATAAGGATTCCAGCTGCGTGCTCAATTTTTTCCCGGTTGCGACGGTTCCGTTCTTCCGCATGCGCATCCTGTTACCCTGCTCCTCGTGCTCGTCCCGAAGAAGTTGGGACCGGAGGGACGGGTTAGAAGGCGGGGAGAGGAGTTTTTGGTTTTGCTGCTGCTGCTGTTGTAGTGCTGCGGTTCCGTACAACGGTTTGATAGGGTCGAGTTTGTTGTTGTTTACAACTCCATGATACGCCTGATTATTATACACCCGCCCCGTCACCGGATCAATCTCACCACCCCCTTCCACTCCAACCAATTCCCGTGGTGACCTCGACGCCGACCGACTCCGCCGGCTTTTCGACGTGGTTAGAGAGTTGTTCAAAGAGTCTTCCTGTCCACTACTAGACGGTCTTCCTTCCGACAGCCGCTGATAGACCGCTGATCGGTCGTTCGGATTATGCTTCTCCCGCTCGAAGGTGGTTACTGTGGTGAGCACGCCGAAAGGGGGCTGGTGGACGTGATTGTGGGAAGAGATGGTGTTTGTCACGATTGTGGTGGTCGTCGGGGAGCCAGAAGCGGAGGCGGAGGCCGAGGCGGAACTACTATTCACACCGTCAACCGTCGTAGAAGCGGAGTTGGAACTAGAGGAGGAATTCGTCCGCTTCACAACTGCTCTTTTCTCCTTGAACCCCGCAAATTTCCACCCGTCTTGTTCCAGCTGCTCCCCGTGAAGCTCGACGGAAATATTGTTTGTCGAAGTTGTAGCTCCTGCGCCGTTGAAATTATCTGCGAAGAAATTATCCCTGCCTGCAACTTCATCCTGCTCGTGGTGTTCATACACGGAGATTTCGTCCTTCAACAAGTCAAAATTTGTCCCGGTGCTGCTGTGGAGGAAGCTTGTGCGGTTCGACATTCGCGGACTTGGTTGTTTCCGGTTGCTGTTGAGCATACTCCGCGGTCTCGGGCTCCGAGAGGAACTATGCCCCCGCAGGTTCAAACCACTACCCTGCTCTGCTGCTGCTTTGTCAGAAGGATTGTTCACCGGTCCTCGGTTAACACTGTTCCTCGTCCTATTTTTCCCCCGGCTCTGCAGCCCCGACCGACTCCCCACACCGACGAGTGGCAAAAATTGTTGCTGAGAAACTCCACGCGGCGGGGAAATAAAACTCCCGTCCTTCCGGTAGTTGCTGTTTCTCGCAATGGCGTTGGAGAACAAGCTGTGATCGGATAGCAATTTCTCCGAAATAATCTGACACTCGAGCGGCACGAGCGTTTTTTCCTGTCCGGGTTTTAGGACCTGTTGCTGCTGATATTGTGGTCCGCCTGTTGTTGATTCTGCAGCTGTTCCGAGGATGACGGAAGTCGTGCTGTTCTTGTTTGCGTTCTCGCCTCCTCCAACCGTCCCATCGGACCCCGTGTTTGAACTGAGCGACTCATCCCGCACCATACTGGTCCCGTCCTCCCCTCCCCACCCCGGGAGTCGGCTCACCGCGTGGTACCTTTTCACGTTACTGGTCGTAACTGTTACCACTCTTGGTGGTTTCAACGACAAGTTATTTTTCGGCTTACTGCTACTTTTCGACGCATTTTGGACGGAGTGGAGAATGCTGGAAAAATTTTCCTCGTCGTGACTGAACTCTTCCAAAGACTCGTCTAATAGCGATCGGGTCGTGATGTGTGTGTTTTTCTGCTGGGAGAAATCATGATTTGGATTCGCATTGTTGTCCAACACATGCTCCCAATCCTGCTCGACAGAATTTTCGAACAAATTACTATCTTGCGCCTGAATCGCGGCGATGACGTCATCGACGGTCTTCTCCAATGTGTTGGTCGCCAGGTTGGAGAGGAGAGGGTTATGATTGTTCCCCGTCGTGGTTCTCACTCTCTGCGATGTGTTGAAACTGCTCCCCGAGTGCATGTCTTCGTTGTCATCTTCAGTGAGTAAAACCGGCTCCGTGATCATTGAGTTTTCTTCCACAATCCTTGGCTGCTCGTCCTGATCTGTTGTGATGGACAGGTGGGAAAAGTTGTGCTGGGAGAGCTTATTGTGGTCCTGGCTTTCGGTCGTTTGAAGAGGATTGTTCTCGATATTATCGTGCAGCCCGTGGTCAGGTTTTCGGTGTTGAAACTGCTGTTGCTGCAAAGATAGCGCAACTGGATCCTCCGATGGTGTACTCCTCGAGGACCCGGGGAGAAGCGGCGTGGTTGTGCCTGGTATATCGGGTGGAGTGCCATTTCCCTCTGGATTTTTGCCTGTATTTGATCCAATCCGTGGAAGATGAGCCGCAATCTCCGTCTCGGTCTCGGTCGGGGTGGTGAAGTCCAGGCCGACGTTGGAATCACCGCCCTGCATAGGGGGTACTGCTGCTGATGAATTCTGCAACAAATCCACTTCAGGTTTCACCTCTTTCGGTTCAAACTCACGGCGCAGCACGTTTTGTTCAAAACAAATTTGTGCTCCCTCGGTTTCCGGACCAGGACCTCCTGTTCCACTAGACGAGAAGATTTCCGCGTGCTGTGCGGCTCCCTTAGATGGACCTGCAGCAGGCTGTGGAAAATTCTCCTTCAAATCAATTGTCCTTGTCACCTTCTCCAAATCCAACCGCGGCGGCGACCCCGGGCGGGATAAAGTTTTCTTCACAGTGCCGCCTGGAGATCTGTTCGTCGTCCCTGTGGCGTTTTGTTCCCCTCCAGGAGGAGCGGGCTGGGATTGTGGCCGTCGTGAGGGGACGTTTGCTGCTTGATCCATTGGCGGTGACCGCGCAGGTGGCAAGGACTCGTCCAAACCTGAAGAGGAAGATGAGACTGCAAGAACCCCGGGCGCAACAAGACCTACCGGGCTGTTCGCTGCCCCAGTGTTCACACTAACCGAGTAGTTCTCCACGCCGGTGGGACTCGCATTTTGCTGGAGTAAGTGGTGCACAAATTGTTCCCGGTTGTGCGGATGCTGGGTGTAGTGGTGCGCGTTACCGCGTCCTCCGGTTCCTAACAACGACAATCCCTGTCCTACGACAAACCCTTCGATGGGGGAAATCGCAGCAGCTCCCACACTGTAACTCGCGGAATTTTCCTCTTCTTCGTTGTGTCTTTTTTCCGCCTCGGTGGAGTGAAGGTGTGGTTGCTGCGGTAAGACATGGGAATCCTCCTCCAGCTTCACGATCTGCCTCTGGACCTGTCTGCTGGCCGGACGGGAAACAACTCGGCACATGGAAGAGAGGACTTCTTTCGTGTCATCAGACGCAAGGGAAATGACAGTTTGGGGGATGATGGACTTACTTTTAGAAGTGGTCGTTTTTGCCGCTGATGTATTTCCTCCCGCAGCTGAAGAGGAAGAAGATGCTCCTGCGACTTTATTCAACCCCCCGCCTCCGCCAGGCGTGGTTCTTGGTCGGCGGAGGCTGTTTACCGTTCCTGCTGCCGTCCCACCACTTTTCGCCGCCGTTCCACCAGTCGCAGCTTTGGACGAGGAAGAGGCTGCTGCTCCTCCTGCAGAAGTTCCGTGATTGTTCCTCACTCGTGAAATGTTGATTTTCCAGTTGTCAATCCACTCATCCTTGCCGAAGTTGTTCTGCCGGCTTTTCGTACCCCGCTGCCGAGCAGGTACTGCACCACCGGTCTTTTTCCCGGTAGGGACAGTGCCTGCATCCTCTTCTTGCGCACCGCTGGTTGTGTTGTGCACTTTCTTGTTTCCCATCGTCAAGGGGAACTGGAAATCCGGTAAGGTTTCCACCTCCAACGTCGGGAGAGGAACATAATCCCTCGGCTGATTCGCGGTTTTGTTCACGCCAAACGGGTCCGCCAACGTCCCCCGCGGAACCAAGTTCCCACTCACGGTACCGCGGACCAGGCTGGCGTTGGGGTTGAAGATAGGTGGGTTATTTGTCATGCTTCCTGGTATTGTGGTGTTCTGGTTGTTCTCTTTCTCCAACACCTGCTGCTTCAAGTTTTCCGTGATGTTTTGCACATCCTGCGTGAGCTGTTGTGCCTGCGCGGAAAGCTGCTGCGCTGTTCCCGTTCTTGCCGTGGAGGACTGATCGTTTGCGGCGTTGAACAAGTTCGCTCCAACCGTAGAAGCAGCTTTGTCCCTTGTTCCGTCCGCAGCTTCTGCGTCCCCACCCTCGAGCTGCTGGCCCTGCAATTCATTCTCCTGCGTGCTCGGACAACCAATTGACGCTACAGAAGACGGAGCAACTATCGGCGAGACCGGCGCTAAAGACGTCGGTGGGCTCTGGAACAGATGAGCGGTCGCCGGGTTGGCGGTCCACACTAAAGGCAAGTTTGGATTACTACCAGGATCCACTCCATCCACGACGGAAAGTCCGCCGTTCGGGTTCTGTTGCTGCATCGGCGTTGTTGTAACTCCTCCTAACAGACCGAACGTCGGCGACAACAACGGAGCGTTCTGGGTCAAGATCACGTGCTGTTCCCGGCTTTCATTCCCGATACCAACTTTGTTCAGTTTCTGCCGGTCCTTCGGGAACCGCGTGACAACAACGTCTTGGTGGTCTGAAGAAGCGGAGGATTTTTTCGCCATTTGGTCCCGGAAGTCCAGCATCTCCACGTTACTAGGGTGACTTGTCGTGAAATGGAACTCGTACTCGTCTGGGGCGGGCGGTTGCGCCGCGGTTGGAGGACCGTGGATGATTTTGTTGCTGTTGTTTAACCCGTAGTTTGTCATGCTGAACGCCGCATGGTTTTGATGTTGACCACCGCTAAGGGGTGAAGTCCCACCAGCACCCGGAAGCGGTGCAAAATGATTCGTTACCCCGAGAGACTTGCTGACACCGAGGGAGGAGCGACGGGTTAAGTGCTGGTTATTTCCGGCGGGCGCAGGAGTTGACGTGGTTGAACTACAACTACTTCCTATTGCAGGCGCCGTGCTCGGCTTGGTCACGCTCACGTTGATGCCGGACGGTATGAAACGAAAAAAGAGTGTGAGTGGAAGGACAAATGAATGTACTGCTCTTCATTGCGATGCGTAAGTTTGTTAAGAGGACAGCATTAAAAATGCAAGGTGATGAATCCTAGCTACTCACAGCCAGTTTCCTTCTCTCGTAGCGATCGACCGCATCTCCTCGGACAGTTCCTCGAATCGGATGTTGACGGAGGTTTGTATCGCACAGAAAATTGCTTGGGTGTTTAGCTCGTTTAGAAAGTATCCAACAAATCTGTTTTGCATGCTTTGGAACCCTTATCATGAAATACCGCCCTTGTGCGGATTGTATTCTCGGCATGACAAACATTGTAAACAAACAATTTTCCTGTACGATACTCGAACTAGAAGACGAACTCGAACTGCTTGGGATGTTGGCGACCGAAGGAAGTTTTTCATGCGTGAACGCAAGGTTGGCATCCCCAACACGAGGGGAGCCGAGTGCGCGACCATTGACTTTCGGCGAGGCCAACGCGGTCACGTGGAACGGAACTTCGACAAGCTGCTGGGGTTGGTCGTGTATGCAGTGGGAAAAACCTTTTTCATCGCCTGGAGTTTGTATTGCAGATTTGAGTTCCACTTTGTATTCATAATTGCATGCAAGTTTGCGAATTGTCTCGACGGTTGCATGCTGGTCCATCTATGCAATACAAGTTCGCACACGACCAATGTGAAGTTCACGAACGATACGCTGGCTCGAGGCTTTGTTTACCGTGATGCCCGTCTTGATGCCTCTGCCGGAGGCGGAGGAAACGGGACGGGGAGAGGACATTGCTGCTTCTTTTTGCTTGAACCTCTTGCCTAGATTTCAATCGTTCTCACGCATAAGGGGGCTAGAATACGGTTTCCGACCGCTAGCTCTAGCTCTCCTGAAATGGGTTGGCGTTGATCGTTGGATATTATTGAGATGCCAGAAATTGAAACGATTTCTCTCACGACAAATGCGCTTTCGCCAAGTATACGACATGCACCCACAGGTCCAACGACCTTTACACCGGAAGGAGTTCACGATGACACGCACAATACGGAGTCGACCACGGCTGTCACGATCACGAATCCACAATACATGGACATTCCTGTCTCTGATGCAGACCAAATAAACTACGAATTCGCACAACGTGAACACGGGTTGCAAGAAAGATCAATTTCCAGTAACGAAGACTGACTTGTGAATACCAGAACAATCAGAGGGGCGGTGCGACAAAAACATAAAGCTACAATTATCAGCAAAGAAAACTAGTGGAGTTTCTTCTAGTGGGGGGGGGGGGGTTGCAAGGTTCTTGCAAATGAACTTGGAATTCTTACTTAGGCATTATTGAAACAAAAAGAAAAAAGTAAAAGACGTAGATCAACCTCATCGAAAAACAAAAAAGTCAAAAAAAAAACTCGCTGAAGAAAAAATGACTCTACTTCTAGATTTACTCCTGGTTACCTCGTTTCAGAGAGCTAATCAAAATCAAAGCTATGAAAAAGAAAAAAACAACCGGCCCTGGTAGCCGCCTGTTACTGCTCCGATGGTGGCAGCTGCTGGAGCGTTTACTCCTAGGCCGGCGATTGCGGCTGTTGCTGCTGCGTTGGTTGCTGCGGAAGTTGTGGCTGCATTTGCTGCTGCTGCACTTGAGCTGCTTGCGCTGCTGGAGCCACTGGAGCTGCTTGTGCTGCTGGAGCCACTGGAGGTGCTTGTGCTGCAGGAGCTCCTGCAGCTGCTTGTGCTGTTGGAGATTCTGGAGCTGCTTGTGCTGTTGAAGCTCCTGAAGCTGCTTGTGCTGTTGGAGCTCCCGGAGCTGCGGAAGATGCCTGTTGCGCTGGAGCTCCTGCAGCTACTGGAGTTACCGGAGCAACCGGAGCTCCTGGAGCTACTGGTGCTGCTGCTCCCGTTCCTTGATCTTGTTCTCCCATTGCTTCGCTAACTTTTTGTGCCGCAGCAATGCCGTTCACGAGTGGCCCCACAGGAGTAAGGCCGACCACCGCCGATAGAGCTGGATCGCTTTGTACTGCCGCTGCCGCTTTTCCTAGACCGTTCGCTGCCTCTGTGACTGTCAGTGCAGGCTTTCCACCACTTTTTTCCCCCGCCAATTCTCGTCCAAATTCCAGCACCGAGCGGGCGCCGCCCCGCTCACCGTTTCCATCTATCTTCTCTGCTCGACGCCTCCCTCCGTCACCCTCTTTTTTTCCCTCATCCGCCGCACGGACGATCTTCTCCCCTGAAATAGTTTCCATGTAAGAAGACGAAGAACTGCTCCTGGTGGAGGATACATCCTGCGAGCTGAAACCACCAGCACTCTCCTGTCCCCCAACCCGCTCCTGACCGGCCAGCCGCCGATCGCCGGACCTCGTCTGCAATTCACTCAGCTTGCGTTCTTCCAATGTAGAAATGCTTCTCCCGTCAGCACTTCTTTTTCCGTATTCTGCGCCCGCGCTTTCTCCCGATACTCGTTCGATTGGTGTTGCCGGTCGTGCTGGTGCGGCTTCGTTGGAGGTGGGAGTCGGAGAAGAAGCAGTCGTTTGGGCGAAGGAAATGGAAGGCCCTTCTTGATTTTTGTGGGCTTTCAGATCCCGCTGAACCCTGTGCACCTGGTCTTGAAGCTTATCCACATCAGTCTGCAGCGCCTCCTGATTTAGTCCCTGCTTGTGCACTTCTGACGCCACTTGAAATTGCTTCTGCTGCATTTGCCGCATTTTCTCCGCCTGATCTGAACCTTCATTTGGTGGTGGTGGTCCCGCCGCTTGTTGCTGCGATACCCCTCGCGGCGCTACAGGTTGCTTCGGCGTCGCTGCCGATGTGGCCGGCGCACCTGCAGCCGGTGTCGGTGGCGCAGCTGCAGCCGGTGTCGGTGGCGCAGCTGCAGCCGTTGCTGGTGGCGGAACTGCAGCCGATGCCGGTGGCGCAGCTGCAGCCGGTGCCGGTGGAACCGCCGTGGCAGGCTGTGGTAGTGCTGCATGCTGCGGCATCTGTGGTGCCACTTGCGGTCCTGAGTGCGCGGCTGCTGCTGCTGCACCTTGTTGGAGCTGCTGCTGGTGCTGCGGCGCCGGCGGCTGAGAATTTGCCCGCGGCGCGGCCCCGGCCGCCCCCGGGGGCGCTGCACTTGCAATGGGGATGGGTCCGGCAGGATTCCCCTGAGGTTGCTGTTGTGCCAGCTGTTGCGCCTGCTGTGCCTCTTGCAGTTGCTTTTGCTGCAGCCACAACCCTTGACTCGCTGATGTCACCTTCTCTTTCCCAACTTCTACCATCGAACCACTGCCCCCCTCGACTTTTCCATCCTCCTCGCCAACTTGACCACCACCTCTTCCACCAGCCCCAGATTCTCCCTTTTCCGAGCCTGCCATTCTTTCCCCCGAAATCGTCTCCATGTAAGACGAACCAGCCGACGATCCACTGCTCCCAGACAATCGCGAGTCCAACCGTTGATCCTCCCTTCCCCCATCCACCTCCCGGCCGACCGGAATCCGATCCTGCCCCGGTGGCGGCAAGGGAACTTGAGCTTCTTTCTGTCCGCCAATGTAAAAATTCTTCTCCAGGTTCTTCTTCTCCTCGTTCTGCTCTCCCGCCTGCAAAGTCGACGCGGCGGCGGCGGCGGCGGAATTGCCCGTACTGGTGGAACCGATGTTTTCAGAGGGGGGCATTTGTTCAGGAAGCTGAGGGCTGGGAGGTTCTGAACCGCTGCGAGCTTCTTGAACAGCCGCAGCTTCTTCTTCGGTCGCGGACGGTTTGTTCTGATCGACTTTCAATGCGGTTTTCTCCTCCTTTTCCTCCGCCTTTATTTTCGTGGAGGTTTCACTTGCTTCGTGAACCTCCTTCTTGGTCTCAGTTCTTCCAAGTTGCACACTACTGCTCTTGCTTTCCTCCACTGACAGTTGTGCATTTCCAGTTTTTCCGTTTTCCAATCCCGGGTTTTGCACAACATCCTCCTGCGCGCCATCAGACTTCACCTTTCGCCGCTCGGCTTCCAATTTTTCGAGCATGCTGGCGCTCAACGTCGATTCGGTATCACGATGGAAAATGGATTCCCTTCCGCAGGTGTCCTCGTCATTTTTGGTCATGCGTCAGTCGTGATACAACAGGAGGACCCGAAGTTGAAAAAGCATCACTTCAGTTTCAGACCCAGAAAGATGTGATAGATCTTCACAACTTCATCTCGTCATGCATACCACTGCTACCTAGGACATACAGCATCAGAAACAGCAACAGGTTTTGAATTTCCGCATGACAAACGATGACAACTTCAAAAGGGAATATGGAAATTAAATTCTACATTCCATACTCTTCCTCATCGACCGCGAAGTTGGGACCACTTGCCGAATCACTCGCCCTCCCAACTGCACCAACCGCTCCCGAACGAGAAGAAGCACCAGCGGTAGCGGAAAAATCAGAGCCATTTTCCATCGCAGAACCCCCGATTCCGCCCAACCCCGTACTCGTTCCGGCCGCCGGGGCACCATTTTCAACAGTTGTAACGCCAGTTCGACGCGATTTCGACTTTTCCCCCTTCTCAAACTCTTCCGGGGCGAGAAAATCGGTGTTTTTGTCGTGGGAATGATGTTCTTGCAGCTCCTTCGCCCGATGAGCGTGTGACTGTGAGATGGCTCCACGACCTTTGTCCAACGCTTTCCCGATCTCCATCACAGTTGAAGGATCGTCGTTTTCCTGCTTTCGACTTCCGCTACCGAGCTCAGTAGAAGTCTTCAGCGGTTCTCTCTCCTGCACAAAATCGTACTCTGGTTCGATGCTGCTGTCGGGGTGTTGCGGAGAGCTGGTTTTCAAAGCCGCAGGCTCAACATTCGCTTGTGGAGCGGCGGGAGGAGGAGGAACAGCAGGAGTGCCAGCAGTTGCCGAACCGTTTTCCTCCTCTCCCATGTCCGGTAAGATTTCCGGCCGACCTCGCCCATGTCCGTGTCCTGGCCGTTCGTGCAGCTCTTTCTCCGAAAACGACGACCCACCGATCTGAGTTACCGACAAATCTCCTTCGGGGTTGTTTCCCGTCTTCTGCTTCACCGCGGGACTATGATGTTGTTCTTGCAACATCGAGGCTCTGTCCCCACTTCCATCATTCGTGAGTCTTCGTCCGCCAAACGTGTCGTCATTCCCCGCGATGGTTGGCGGAGGGGGCGCGGTCACAGGGAAGCCGGCGTCTTGCAGCTGCTCGTCACTTGTTTTCGAAGATTCTTGCCCAGCAGCTTCTTCCACTGGTACTTTCCCGCCAGAACGGCTTTCCCCGACCGTTTCCTGCGCCCCAGAATTCTTCTTGTTCTTCTTCTGGTAATTCCGCTTCCGGCGCTGCTGCCGCTGCACACGGGCCGTTTTGCGCTCCTTGGTCTGCAACACGGATTGATCCCCGCTTTTCGAAAGAGCGGGTTGAGAACCATCATCTGAACCAGCTGCTGTTCCCGTCTTTTTCTTCTTTTTCTTTTTGTTCTTGCCCGGCTTGGCGGCGGTTTTTCCACCTTCCGTGACCTCAGCAGCAGCTGCGGGGGCAGTGGCAGCTCCACCAGTAGTTTTTCCAGCCGCTTCGGAACTGGTCGCTGCTGTTGCCCCATCAACACCGGCGTTGCTAGTACTTCCAGCTGCAGAACCCTTCTTCTTCTTCCCCTTTTTCGCGGTCCCCTTCGAATTTTCCTTCTCCTTCGCCAGCCACTTCTGCGGGAACAGTTCTCGGTCCAGCGCCTCCTCGTCCCCGAAATAGGTCCCGTAGTTGTCCCGTGTGGACCCGAAGTTTTCGAACGACTCCCGGATGATCCCGTGGTCCATTAAAAAGTTCCGGAATTTGTGGCGCAGCGGTCCCATGATCTTCACCTTCCACAATCTCGACTGCGACGCACCCGCCAGAAGCACCAACGCCACGATGAAAGAGCTGAAGACGAGGCCGCACCCACGGAAAATGGCGAGAAAAGCGTGGCAGCACCGCTGGTGTCGCTTGGCATTGTTCGCTTTGTTCTCCTTACTCAGCATTGGGGTGTGCGGGGTCGGGATTTGCGCAAATTGCTTCATCCGGGTGGGGGGGCGATCGGAGGGGTGAGGACCAGGACCGGCTCTAGCCATAGTGTCTTCGTGGAAATTGTTCACGTCGTTCCCGTCCCGCATACCACGTTCATGTCCATGTGCGACGCCGCGTTTCGGCGGCGGGGGTGGGAGTGGTGGGGAGAGTACTCCTTGACCAGCGGCAGGAGGACGACTTGTTCCAGCACCAGCAAGTGAAGATGAAAAGCCATGAGTTGTTCCGTCGCCTACAATTCCACCACGACCTTGCTGCTGGTTCAACACCATCCTCTCGTCGTCGTCATCATACCCGTAGTTGTACTGCTGCCCCGCCCGCGGCCCGGGCGACGTCGTTGACGCCTGATGGTTCTTCGTCCCCCTCTCCCCAACCGACACCCGGCGGTAGATCTGACTGCTCGCTGGTGGGGGCGGAGGCATGGGAGAAGAGGAAGACGCGGTGTTGCTGGGTACCGATTGTTGTTGCGCACCGGGAAACTCGGACGAAGGCCCTGAAGTTGAACAATGCACCACACGCAGCATGGGGTTGCGACCGGAACGTCCTGCAGGCAGTTTCCCGAGCATGTCTTGAGGATGGTTGTTCATGTGTGCATGTTGCTCTACATCCTCGTCGTAGCCGGGTATGGTAGTTTCATCCGCAACTTCAACGTCGTCGTAGGGAAAATGCTGATCCGCGTCTTGCTCGTCGGAAAGGTGGTGCAAATCGCCATAGTTGTAATCCTCCACCGACTTCGACGCCATGTTCTCCAATGGCATGTCACCGGACCGATCCCCCTCCTCCGCCGGTTTATTCCCCCTACCACTTCTGCTTCCTTCGCCGCGCATGGCGTCGCGCACCGTGTCGAAATGCGAAGATGAGTTCATAACTTCTTGGGCGAGATGAGCCGTGTTTTACACTCAGGTCGGCGCCAACTCCGTGGAGGAAAACAAGTAGTCGGCAAAAATCAGTGGCGGCTTGTTGGATGAAGAGAAGTTGTAGCTGCTCTTTGGTTTGGCTTGGGTGGGTGCAAACCGAAAGAAACTTCTACACGAACTTTATTTCTGAATTGAAATTTTTTCTCAAAGTGGGGACTTGATGATGATTTTTTCTAAACTGACATCTTTACACAGGGGGAAAAATACTGCTTTTTGCTTAGTACAGGAGGAAATGCAGCTGTCGAAAAAGAGTTTTGATGTTTCTAGCGTTAAGCATAATCATAATGTACAGGGACGTGGTCGAAATAAAATTTACTAACTTGCTAGAACCCAACTACTTACACCACACGCGAGGGGCGCCTAAACTTCTCGTCGGAAAGGCTTCTCGCCAGGGTTGGAGCAGTGGTTTTAGTTTCACATTGAGAATTAGCATTAGGGGCTTTTATCTTACACGACACTTTTTTCATGGAGAATACGGGAGTTTCTGAGGCTGAGAGCCCGAGCAAAAACACCTGTTGAAAGAGAGAGGGTTGTGTAAGTAGTAAAGAAAAGGGAAAACCATGCAACTGATCACACCCTCTTGCAAATCACGACAAGATGGCGGCAAAAAGAACCGACAAGAGCACGACTACGTCAAAGAACGCATCGCGTACGAGCAAGTAGTGTGCTAGTTGTACGAGACGTGGTTTTAATTCAGGACGCGTACGAAAGAAGATTTTCCGATAGTTCGTTTCATTCGTCTTCCGAAAAGATTTTGTGCGGGCAATATCCTCTGAGCTGCTGGACGAACGACTGTTCCGTGTACGAGGCAAAACCGATTTTCACTTTTCACGGTTCGTTTCACTTGACCAGTACAACGCCAGAACGAAAGCAGGGAAAGGCACGACCGAAGGTGCGGAGTACAGGTGCTGCTCGTACTACTAGTAGAGACCTAGCAATGAATACAATCATCAAGACCGAAACCATGCGAGCACAGAGTATGCCTTGGTCTCATAATTTACCGAGAATGGAAACAAGAGAATCTTTTGCGCAGGAAAAGATGGACGTGCTATCACAACAAAATCTACGTTCTGGCCCGAAATTAGAAGGGCGTCCGCAAGATGGAAAACCAGTGAAGAAGCCAGCTCCAAACTCAACAGCACTGCTGGTCCCGGACGGATTCGGCCGAGCAAGAGGTGAGGCTTGGTACTGCCACCATGCAGTAGCTTCGATGCTGAAGGCAAAAAAGTTGCCCCGCAACCCCCACTCGGCGCTCGGCTCTGTTCTTTGGTTTTTTTTTTTTAACTTTTTCCTTTTTTTTGGTGCAATTTATAATTCTCGGCTTTTGTTTTTCAAGTGCAGTGCCTCTCCCTTATCCGTGTTCCACTGTTGAGCTCCGAAAGAATGTGCGAAAAGAAGAACGGATGTACTGCTACTGAGCTGCTGGCTGTGAAAATTTGCGAAAGGAAATTAGGTGTGTGAAGATACTTCTTCGTGGACGCACAGCACAGTGACAATACAGATCTACTCTGAGTTTCGGTTTTCAAAAAAAAAGGAAAGCACTGCACATGTAGTGTAAATGCTGATAGTTTTAGTGCGTAATTAATTGTAGAAGTACAAAGTTTTTAATTATATGTGATCACCCTCCTCGTACTACAATGATTTTCTTTGCGACAGTACAAATTTCAAACACGTACGTCAAGGATACTAGCTCGCCGATTCATCTTCGTATTTCCCATGCTTGGTTGTACCGCTACAGCCCCACTGCCGAGAGCTACGTGTGTATGCGCCGCCTTAGCAATAGAACTACTCATAGTGGAAGAAGTGGGCCAAACATTATTGATGCTCGGAAGACCTCTGGCAGCTAGCTTCCAGGCTGGTGTACTATCGTGGTTCTTCTTGCACGAAATTTTCGAGGAGTGTGACCACAGTAGTGAGACAAAATAGGGGTGAGACTGATAACAACTACGGGAAAAGTACGCTTCATCTTTACAGAGAGAACAGGGGTCGCGAAAAGATAAGCCTGGCGTCAACAGTGAGGATGCAGAATCAATTGTAAAACTGTAATTGGGGTCTTCAAAATGAAATTGCGAAAAAATGGCACGTCAACAATGCCAAAATGCAAGGGGCCGAAAATGCGTACAACTCAACCTCAACGATAATCTGGAGAAAGAGTAAAACAATTTGACAGATAGTATGAATATGCGTAGCTGTAAAAAAGTAAAAGAAAACAAAGAAACACAAAATTGCGATACAAGAAAGTGGTTCTACTATAAATTTTGATTTTGTACGACTACAACCCGATCAAGAAGGAAGATTGCCGATAGCACTCGACAGTCATTGTAGAAATCACTGTGAATGTAGCTGTTGGAAAGTGTTCTGCAGGCGCCGAAAGAACTTGACGAGCCCTTCGGGCGCCCACACTTGAAAGCGACTCAGCTAAGTAAACTCCTACGGAAACGAAATTCTGAATGTGTGTGAGGCGAAACGACACAAACAAAAAATGAACAAATGCGAAATCCGCATTCATACTTCTTCCGTTTGTGAGAAAATCAGACAACGACATCTTTTTGTCGAAGTACGGTAAGCAAAGCCACTCGCCGCAGCGTGAGACTTCATCCTCGAAAGGAGAGAGCAGCAACAGATAGTAAACGAAGTAGAAGCATGTTCAGAATGGTAGATACATAAAACCTCGGAAAGAGGGTTTTCTCCCATGGCAGCTGGAGAAAACCTTTGAAAGAATGGGCGACGACCCACATCTCTGTGGCGCGTACATGCCTCCCTACAAACATGCAGAGTGGACGGACGGCCAGCAGTGAAGGCAGGAGCTGTCGCTAGACAGTTCGGGCCATACGGCTTTGTGCAAATCGTGGTGAAAACGTCGATTTTTTCTCTTTTGGTGACATGGCTTCCGCACGCGCGTCTACAGCCTGGATCGTCTGCGTTGTCGCTTGGGTGGAGGGAGGTCGCCCGGCGCCCGCTTCTCGATCTTGGGCTTCGCCTTACGCGGAGCGGCATCTGTAAATATTTGTCAGAAACAACACTGCTGCATCTGGTACTTATCAGAGTAGAGCGAAAAGCGCTCATTAAGACAGCCACCACATCAGCAACGGCGTTCAGACCAGGTCAGCAGCGTGCCGCCTGGTCAGCCTGCTCCGACTAGCATTCGAGAAGCAACTCAGCGCAAGCTCTCTCGAACTCGGGCGGAAACGCAAGACCCTAGGTTCCGGGTATCGAGAGAAGCTACGATGAATTCGAAGCCCGGTAGCCCAGACGCAACTGAACTTCCGGGAAAACCGAAATTTTGTCCAGGTTGCCCAACCACCTTTTCCCTAGACCCTCAAAGCAACCCGGAAACCCGTTTGCCGATTTCTACGGTGCCTTTCCTTTGCCAAACCCAAACCCGCAACGCACAGTCCTTCTGCAGTCGACCACTGCACGAACCGCGACGCCTTTTCGCGGCAGCGGGCTAAGCCGCTGAGCAGCCTTCAGCCGTGAAACTTCGAAGGGATCGGGCCATCACGAAACTCCTCCCTCGTTGTTTTGGGAACACATTTTCCTGAATCGGCACAACGGGCCAGCGCAGGGCGACACAAGCAGCGCTGAAGATAACAAAAAGACCTCTCTATACCGAACTTCTCCTTCGCAGCCTTCGCGGCATGCTCCACATCTCCCCCCGCGTTCTCCGCGGCGTCGACCTCTTCCCGGACAAACCGCTTTCTTTCAGCTGCAAGTTTTCGAGCCTCGACCTCTTTCTCGATAGCGGCCGGGTCCACTTCCTTCTTGGCGGGATCTTGCCTTTGTATTTCTACTGCAATGTCTGCAGCGAGTCCCTTCACCTCAAAGTCCTCCAGGTCGGCAAGCCCTCTGCCGTCGTCTTTTTGCCCCGCTTTTTTGGCCGCTTCGTCAATACCCTTCGCAGCTCGTTCTTCCTTCCGAGCCCGCTTCGCAGCTCGCTGGGCCTGTTCTTCTGGGGTGACGGGGCCGTCAACATCCGCTGCTTCATCACTGTCCTCGTCATCACCGTCGAAGGCATCCAAAATGTGGTCCGTGAGCTTTGGGACGAGATGTTCTGCAGCTGCACCAACGAGAGCGGGCCCGACAACTGCACCAATGGCCGCAAGTGCTGGAAATGGCTCATATGACCCCTAAAACATTCCGCTCTGAGCCTGTGCCCTATTCGGTCTTTCTCTTTGCGTGGTTGTATTATGATATCACATTGAAAAACAAAGCTCTGACGTCGGGCTCGGGTCAATGCAAACGAAGAAATCACGTGATATAACAGCTGGAGCCGCCGCGAACAGCTGCGTCCATCGAGGCCAAATTAAAAATGGACCAAGCTCTACTGTACTTGACAAAAAACACTCCAGGTCTAGCCACCGTCGTTGGATGCAGAAGACAAACTTTGTATAAGCTACTTTCCTGCAGAGTCTTCGTCTTTTCACGCACAGACATTTTTCCTAACTTCACGAGTCGACAAATTGCTTTCGCAAAAGTACGAATCCAGCAGCACCGACGAATCGCCAATGCGAAAGTAGAATGTGAGGTTGTTTTTCTTGTTTTTATTTTCTCTATGCTCCTATTACCACTGCACAAGCTGAGAGGGAGGACGAGTAGTGCTTTCTTCCAGTAACTTCATCTTCTCTTCCAAAAACGCGTTGTCCTTGGCCGTGGCCGCCGCTCCCGTGGTCGTCGCAACCAGCTATGGAACCAAAACCATTTCCCTGGCACTGCAGCTTTCCACAAAAAACACGATTGACATGTAAATTTGAAAGGGTGAGGGACACCAGTTGCCAATGTCATGATCCTGACAAGCACATCGAATCGTAGGACACACCATGCATCTGCGAGAAATTTTCCTTGATTTGATGGCATCAGCAGGTTTTATCCAACTGCGCCTGCGGCTGATACAAATACGCCGCATCATCGAGGACCAATTATACACCGCCTTGCCCGCCCGGCAACACTAGGCTCAACGATTTTACATGTAAAACCGGCGTTCCGGTAGTCCAAGGGACCACGAAGTCGGCTTTTCTACATCGCAGAATCTAAAATTGGAAAGAGCAGGAAATCCGGTGAAAAGGTTTCAATCCTCGTAACTCGCCGTCAGCGGATTTGTCGGTCACGTCGTCCAGAGGTATCAAGAGGAAAAAACCGCACAAATGCCGCCAGGAGTCCATTGATTTCCGTTCGTGCTGTCGTTGGCTTTTTGAGGTGTGCGCGATAAAATTGAAAAACCGAACAACACATGAAAAATTAATACACACATACTGCACTATCTCTATCTTCATGCAAAGACTCGGTCTTGATCACGACAGCAAAAGATCCTTTCCTGCGTTGTTGCCTTGCCTTCTACATCCGACCACCGCGGAGGTGACACGAGAACAACAATACCTACGACGTGTACGTCGTTCACCCGCTCTCGACCTGAAGCTCGCATAAAAATCGTTTCTGTTTCAAGCCGGGATCGGCGAAAACACCGAAGATGCAACGACTTCCACGAGGACCAGTCAATGGGGGCGGGCATAAGTTTTAGCACTACAGCTGTAGTCTTTCCCATATCAACCGCGGCGGGTTCTTGCTCGTGAGCAGCAGCAAGGGGCGCGGCCGTCTTGGTCGTGGAGGGGACGGTTTCGGTGAAGGAGGACACTTTCTTGTTCTTGTTGGCGTGGTAATCGCTCGCAGCTGTATATTTTTTTTCTTGAAACATAGAGGTCACGACTTGATGAAAGCAGTGATTTCCTTCCCTGGCGAAGGCACATCGCTATGATAGGCACATAAGTACTTTGCCGGGCTCTCAGTCCGGAATATTCCTCTCGGGCAGAAGCAAAGCCTAACGGTATGCGAGGAATTGTCTTCACGTACACTGTATCGAAGACGGCGCTAGACCTAGAAACGTAAGAAAAGCAAGATATGTACCTTGCGCACCCACTGCCCCCATGAGGGCCGCGTTCGGATTGTTCGCGGCCCATTGGTCGGCCTTTTTCTGAGCCACTTGGCGAAGCACTTCCCCCCCAATTTGTTGACCGGTCTTCAAGGCCCCCTGCAGTGCAGGAATGATCGAACGAAACACTTCCTTACTTGCTCGCATGCGTTGATGATATTGACACTTTTCCTTCAACAAGGAACTTTTCATCTACTTGCCCTACATCTAAAAGAACTGGCGCGCAGCAAAGCTGTGCCTTTTTAACTTACACCGGCGCAACATAAATTCGACGCACCTCTTTAATTTAACTACATCGCTCTGTCGGCAATTTTCAACAGGCATAAACAATGCGTCCCAGCATGCGAAGCAGAGCAAAGAGTTCCTCATCATAACCATCGCCCCGTTGTTACCTCCACCTTGTTGTGGCGCTTCGCTTTGTTGGGCGGCGGAGGCTTTGCCGCTTTCCTTGCCCTTGCCGACGGCGTTCGCTTCGGCTTCTTTTTTGTCCGCTTCCCCCTCCGCAGTTTCCAGAAACCCGTCCGCGGCGTTCACCGGGAAGTATGCAGTGGAAAGACCGGCCACAGAAATCATTCCCCCATCTTTTCCTCTTTGTACCCATCGATTTGTCATGCTAAACAGGAGTACGACACGCCTTGTGTCATGCTGTTCACGGTGACTACATGACAGACATCAACAACGTTGTAAATCCGCCTCTATGCCTCTCTGTCGTAGGAGGCTCGGAGGACAAGCCACGCATTCCAACACGTGAAGCTGGCGTATCAGAATCACAACTGTTCATAGCAATGTTCACAAAAGAGGAAGAAGGAACCCACGACGTACAGCTTTTCCAAATTCATATCTTCCCCGGCACCGCACCCGCGCCGTCGTTTGCAGCCGGCTGGCGTATAGAACTGGAAAATTTTCATCTCGCAGTAACAACTCAAAATGTACCCGACGGAGCAAACTTCAGATCCGGAACACTACCAGGCTGCTTTCATCTCAATGCAATGAATCACTTATTGCACAATTTCAATGCAAGGAGAAGGAGCCACGCATGCCAAATTCGAGTATAGATGAAGAAAAATTTTCCACATTCCGTAAGTTCCACCGCATTGTCGGTCGGAGCGCTTATATCGAGTTGAAAACTGCCTTGACTATACAGCATCAGATTTTTTTCCTTCTAGTTTGCCATGCATTCTCCACCGGGAAAGAAGCACAGACGCGTCGCCTTGCTCATGCGACGTGCCGCGCCTGCACATAGGGCTACATCATCATTTTCTGCAGAATGAATGAGGTCATTCCACGGCTTATCTTCAGGAGAGATATTTCTGGTATTGGCATGAGTAACTCCATTATCGATGCAGAAGAAGTCTCAACAACTGTCGTGTGTTGTAAGTCCGGAGCAATTTTTTCAACCTGATAACTCTCGCCGGCAGTCTGCGCGGTTTGGGCAGCGGAGTCGTCGATAATGTATGGAGAGGAAAATTTTGTCTGTTTTTTTTGTTTTTCTTATATACGCTTTCGCTTTTCCTCTTGTTCCCGCAACACCTCCACCACGGATGGAGCAGGTTCATCTTGTTGTACTTTACACAGCTATAGAAATTTCCGGTACTTAGGTAAGATTCAGGGATGTTACACATGTGTTGTCAATGCCACATAAGGAACCAGTGAAACATCAAAATCTTTCCCGCCATATCGGACCGGCGGCAGCCGCAACAGCTCCTTGTTCAACCGGCGGAGTATGGTGTGGAAAAATTTGACGCAAAAAAACGGTTGGATTTTTTCTTCCTTTTGTACCAGCTAGAAGCAGCTTCTACGCTGCAGCTAGACAAATGATACTGTAATTGTTCTGTCATTTTTCGGAGATTTCTATCACCCATAATTTTCCTGACCAGGGCCAGTAAGTTCAAGACCCAGTTGTAGGGGGCTCATCCACCATTATCTTGAAAAAATTTGCATCTATTTGCATTCCAGCGCTATTTCCAGCATGACAAATCCAACAGCTTATTTTGACCCAAATTCTTCCCTACCGTACTGCGTGGTCGCCGCCGTCAAGTCCGTCGCCGGTGCGGACGCAGCCTTGCCGCCCTTCTATCAAGCTGAAAAAAGCCGCTCTTCTGATGCATTTTTTGTCTTGCATGTAGGACCATGCTGGTATTTCTGCATACGGAGCTGCTACAGTAGTAGACAATGAATAAGTAGTACTCTGATCAGTCTGCATTGTGGCCAACGAGCTGTGTCCGCATGACAGATTAGTAGTGATGTCAGCATGATTGTGCACCAATGCTGAACATCGCATGACAAATCACGTGGCAAAACAGAAGGTGGTTTTTCAGTTCCATATGTCCTCGAAATCGTACATGGCCTTAGGTTCCAGAAATTCCGGCATTTTCGTGGCGTATCGAGTGCAAACACAGAGTGGCATAGGTGGACTAGTATGTACTTATCTAGATCTACCACTGTGGTAGTGGTGTTACTCCCTCCACCTCCGGTGACAAAAAAAATCACTTTCTCACGCAGGCATCTTCCTCAGGCTTGCTAGGTTACACATTCACGCCTTTCAACATAGTTTGAATTTGTCATTGACGAGGCGCGCGTGTCCGAAGAGCACATGCACAACGGGCCCGCATGAAAAATTGGCTCAAGATTTCAGCCGCGCGTATTCCTCTTCTAGCAGCACTTTTTACCCATTTCTTTATGCAGAGAACAGCAAGAGAAAAGACTTCCGTCACGCTGACATTCCTACTCTATGCCCTCACAAAGTTTTTTGCGATTTCATACGATCCGAGCGGTCCCCGGATTGGTGCGGTCGATCAGGGATTCCCCGAGCTGTTTTGATTTTTTTTTTTTGCGTAAAAACTAGGTACTGCCACTTCTGCATCACAAATCCTTTCTCCAATGCAGTGATTCGCATGACAAATCAGAGAAAAACAAATACTACCATGCGGCGTATCAAGGAAGACTGGGAAGCACCCGCGAGGACCACGCAAATCACGTATCAAATGCAAATATGTCTGGTAGTGGGTGGAGGATGAGTGCAAAAACATGATTTACCTTGCCGAGTCTTGCATGACAGAGCAGTGTCTTGCACGACAGACACGCATCACAAACTACTCGCGTGTTGTTCTTGCGAGCTGTTGCTATTCTGCCGTGCTTTGCATGACAAACTCTCGCCGGTCCCACCGCGAAAGAGAATAAAGCGGTTGCGGTCGTAGTCGTTCCTATTCATGCATCACAGATGTTGTTCCTCTTCACCTCTTGCATCACAAACCCAGACCCAGACGTATTTGCGTTGCATATCACGACGCACAGGCCGACGACGACGATGCCGTAGCGGTTGCACCGCGCCTATCCTGTGTAAAAACATCCCCACCCCAGAGTTGTCATGCAGATCTGCAAGCACAAGAGCGTTTGTAATGCGCATCCCGATGAGAGGCATTTCCCGTTGTATTTTGGAACTTGTAATGCTGTAAACAGGATATGGAGATGGATTTGTTATGCGGCTTTGTTTGCTAAACTGCACTACACTACAGCCTACAATTTGTCATGCGTGCTTCCCAAAACTTCAAGGTTTGTGTTGCAAAGTCCCCAACTTGACTCTGGTATGGGGACGTTTTTACACAGGATAGCGCCTGCGACTCCTGCTGGAACTTGAAGCCACTGGTGCTTCCCGCGGGCATGGGGTTCTCCGCGTCCTTCTCTTTGATGTCAATGACCTTCGCCATTTTCGTCGTACTTCTTTACCCCGTTGTCCAAAACAAACGGTTTCCAACAACGGCTTAAGAAGTCGTTCAGAAGGCTGTGATTTTCTCCTCCGGCTTTCGAGTCTTCGCAGCGGGTTCTTAGCTTTCCTGTCCTTTTTCGTAAAAAACCCGTGACAAACAAAATTTCGGTTTCTTCGGCGTAGATAGAGGTTTTTGACGTGATAGTTAGCTGTGTTCTTGTTCTCCTTCGTTGTTCTTGCTCGTAAATAACGGGTGGTGATGTTTGTGATTTTGGAAACAAAATTTCGAATTCTTCGTCTCAAAACTGATCGTGTTCGGTGTTGTAGTAGTGCGACTAGAAGTTGTGTGGTAAAAAATACAATTCTTCGTAGTAGATGATGTGCAAAACTTGGTAGTACTTATACTTAATCGGAAAAATGTAAATGATGAGTCGAGTTCGTGGAATAATTTAGAAAACTAAGTGTGAGTATGGGGGCTTACACTGTTTGTTTTTTTTCCAGCAGAGGTGGGAGTATTAGGAAATGAAGGGTTCGATTTTGTACCAGGTTATCCGCAGACCGACGCAGAAACTTCAACTTTTTGAAGCCGTGTGTGCACGAAAGAGATAGTCAAGCACGATTCAGGATTGAATGGGCGTCCAACTCCGACAGACGTTTTCATCGTAACGCTTCGTCCGACAGAACGTGAAGTGATGCTGTACGAGAAGTAAAAACAATTTTTTTTCTCCGTACGATTAAGGTAGTGACATTTTTGTACAAAAACGCCAGCCAGCAGCACGATAAAGACCGAGACGAAACTATTGTTGCACGACAGAAAAATCCGATATGGGCAGATAGTACTATACCGAGAAAAAAAGAACTAAGTACAGAGAATTTCCTACACTCGAGCAAAACCGAGGAAAAGGTGAGACGAGGTCGTCGTCTTGGTAACTAATTGAGCAACAGAAATCGCACGACGGCACCGAAGATGAGAAATAAGAAAATAATCTTCCTTCTTCCGCAACCGACGACGAAAATAGGTCGGTTCTCTGGTCGGCGCTTCGAGGCACGGCGGAGCGGCGATTGCCGCTTTTGCTTTCATCTAGAGCAGCACTCATTTAGCAATCTTTCAGAACTTCTACGCGAGAGGAGGAAAATTATTCATCTGTCTGCAAAACAAGCAAGTACAAGAAAGTCAACGAGTTCTATAAGTTGTGGTCGTAGCTTACGATTCTTTCCCTGCGGCTACTATACTTCGAAGAAAACCCTGCTGGAGCAGCGGCCCGCGGTCTCCTTCTTGTCCGATTCTTTTTTTCCCCCCTTTTCCTTGCTCTGGTCCTCCCGGGGTCGGTTTCACTTTTCGGGAATACAGCTGGGACAGCTTCTATGGAGGAGGTGTATTGGAATAAGTACTGGTCAAAAAACAGGAAGGTCCGGTCGCCGAATAGAAAAAATATTTGGAGTTTTATCCTCACATCAACGCAGGAAAACAAGACATGTCCTCTAGGAAGGAGTTACAACTTCGTACTTTTTCAAGGAGAACCACAGGGAAATAAAGAAATTCAAAGACACAACTACATTTAGTATACTTGGGAACTACAAACAATGCTTTTAGGAGTTTTTGTGAAAAAAGTGAACGTCGTCGTGAAGAAATTATAGCCGTTATTGTAAAAAGGTTCTTGAAGTTTTCTCAAAGACATTGAGTTTGTTTGTTCCCTGTGCTTAAAAAACAGATGGAGGATTACCACTTAGAATTTGTGTGTAAGACCAGTAAAAGCGAAATTAGTGAGAAGCGAAATTGGACAAGATTCGTCGTGCAGTTGCGTTTAACGGCCGCAGCATTGTGTTTGTTGCCGTGCCACCGCATTTGCGGATTGCTGCTGCGCCATCAACGTAGCCCCGGCGATCGTGTGCATTGCAAGCATTGGGTCTGGGGGGGTGGAAGGTGGCAAGGCTTGTTGTGCTTGTCTGGTAATATCGTGACTCTACTGCGCCGCCCTTTGAATAAAACGTGTGGGTTTTTTTACGCCTCAACCCATATAATTTGTCATTCACTTTAATACGACCACTGCTCCTACTTGATGCGTGGGCACGAAAAGCAATGTCATGCAAATAAAACGCAGTCGGAACAAATGCGGTACTATCGATCCGCAAGAAACAAACGTAGCAGCAGCACAACTTGTCCTACTGATCTGTGCAGGAGTGAACCCCCCACAAGAGAAATACAAACTATAGCACGGCAAGCTTGGTGTTCCAGACCCAGATCTTCGATATTTGATGCATACACCGCCAGGCCTCCCACGCCTCCCATCCCGCCAGCCATCCCGCCAGTGAGTCCGAGCGACTCGAAAAAGCCTTTCGACTCCTCGTGCTGAGTTGTTTCCAACTTCTTGACCCGTTCTTCGCCGTGCAGCTCCTTCCGCGGCGGGTCTCCGCCGAGTTTTTGGCGTTCCTTATACGAGTGCACAACTCGTCGTTCCCCTCCTGTTCCTTTGAAGTGGGCTTGCAGGAGTAGAAAACAACTCAAAAAGAAGTCGTTGCATGACAAATCTGTGCCGTCCTCCTGAGTCCTGTACTAGTAGTTCAGTCTGGGTTTCTTGTTCCAGAGCTTGCCATACAAACACGGCCAAAAAGCCGAGACTGGGTTTTGCATTTTCCGTGAAATAAAACGAGGCGGATAAGGAGGTGGAGTTGTTGCGCACTCTGATACTCCTTCTCAATCTTGTACTCGATCAGAGCTGGGTCGTTCCCGGCCGCCGCCTCCTCCTTCTGCGGGTTGGCCACGAACTGCTTGTTCGCTGCAGATGCCTTGCAAATATGCCCCCTGGGTGGTCTGGAACTATAATATTGGGAGACTTGTACTAGAGCTCGGCTATGCAAGTACTTATGTGGATTCTGTCATACCTGTTGCGCGAAAGCCAGGCTTCTTTGTCATGCAAGGTAGCGACTTGTGATGCGGAGTCAATAAATACACAGGGGCGTATCGAAAATTTATCAGACCGTGGCGGTGGGGTTAGAGTGATGAACGAATGTGCGTGTCAATGTCGCCCTCGTCCTGTCCATCACTGATAGCATGAAAACGTCTTTCCAGACCGGGACATGTTATTTGCAGTTGATATTGCAATCCAATTGGCAATTTCCTGCGCGCTAGCGTTGTCCAGGTTGTCAGGCTCCACGCCGTTGTTCGGGTCACCGAACATATCGCAAGAAAAAACTGCTTCTTAATAATGCAGAAAGTCGTGCATCGCAGACGTGTTTGTCTTGCTACGCATGCAAGATAATGCATTTGCAGACGTGCTTTCCCCTTAGGAAGCTCGCATGGCGAACTTCCTTTATCATGTAGAACAGACTCCTTGCGCTGCAAAACTTGCAAAATCATCAGAGTGATAGCAGTTTTTTCGTGGGATAAAACAGAGCATCGATGGCTCGGTCAATCAGGATGCCGCCCACATTTGCAGCCTTTGCTCGAAGCTGCTCATTTGCGAGCAGTTGCTGGGCAAAGTTCTATGCAGTGTATAAAGCATCGCACCAGCATCCATTGCATTTCAAAAAGATTTCATGCCAGGTTTATCACAAGGTGCAGTTATTATTTGGAGTGCAGCTGGCCATAGGGGTTATGTATTTTTTCCTTTGTGTGAGCTCGGCCGAGCGGGCCTCGGCGATGTGCATTCGAGCGACTTCTACCGGCGGCACGAGTCGTTTCCCAAACAAACGTAAATTCGGTACTTAAGTAAGCTAAGTGATAGGAAAATGAGGCGCAGTCCGACAACAGGGAACGATGCTTTTGCAGGGGGTAAATTCTCAAGGAATTTGATTGCAGCCTGGCCGACCTCCGGCGAGCCCACTTGCACCTTTTTGCCGACGTCCAGAAACGAACCCTGCCCCCCCGTGGCAGCGCCGGCGGCCGCGACCTCGGGCAGCGCGGTGCCGCGGGGCGCCAACTGGTCGGGGTTTCTATGGAAGCGTCAGGTTTGATATCGACAAAGTTGAAATGATTTGTCATGCATAAAATGGATACCAGTTGGAAGACCAATTTTCAAGCGGCGCATGACAAATTTTCGGAGCACCGAAATCCAATTTGTCATGCTGTTTGGGCACAGAAGAGCCCTTTTGTCATGCTCCTTTAGCAGCTCTATCCCAAACCCTAAATAGGCTCACAATCTGCCTCACTTGCCATCCCGGCAAGACAGGCACTTCATGCCTTGCATTTTCTGCATGACAAACCATCTCAACTTTGACGATTTCAAAAATCCTGACAGATTCATAGTTCCCAGCCGCCTCGTCGTCCGCGGAGTCGTCCCCGTCGTCGTCGTATGGAATGCAAGTATGTCTGGACGTCGGGAAATCTGTGCTGCTGATACCTGCATTGCAGCGTTGCCGCTTGTTCGGCATAACAGCATGGGAAGTTATTTTCCTTAACTTCTTGCGCCGGATTCTTTATTACTCTTTAGCATTACAAACTGCAGTACCCAGCACGACAAAAGAGTGTGCCACGATACTAGCATCCATGCATCACAGATCTTGCTGTCCTTCAATGCTCGCATCAGAAATAATGATCCAGACCCAGATATATCATTTGCAATGCATACATCGCTACTGTCCTTGCAGCCGGCGCATCGGTTCTCCGTCTGCACGCCAGATTCCTTCCACACACCCACTTCGGGCACGCCGCGGGGCTCCGCCTCTTCATCTAACGGAGAATCGTCCGCTGTGTCACGCTATGCGTTGCAAACATGTCTGGAGGGTCTGACAGGTTGCAGCTTCTATCTCATGCAAATTTTACATGACATACGACGTCTGTGATGTATTCCCTGGCATCACGGATCTTTTCGGTGCTTCTTGATGCCTATCCCGCATTATGAAAAATGCGAATGCCCCGTCCTCCGCGTATACAAAAAGTATCCTTCTCGTGCTGCTCAGGCAAGACAGATTTTTTTGCAATCCAAAAACATCATCACAAGTTCCAGCTCTCCAGAACGACCAGACAGTTTTGCATTGGATACATCACGCTGCGCCAAAAAATTCGCGTGATTCGTCTTCTTGGTCGAGCGTGGCCAAGCGTACAACTTCATCAAATCAGCCAGCGGCGGGAACTGGGTTTATTTTTTGAAGTTAGTTACTAATTCTATTTATTTCTGTTTCGTCCAACAGAAGATATTGACATAAGAATTGCACCCCACTAGGCCAAGCGGGGGCCATCGGATATTGTATATGTAAAGCTAAATCACAGGATCCACAAGAAGTAAATCAAAAACTAGGGATAAAAACCGGCCTATGGTACCAGCTTCTGCAACGCCGTCGACTGTGAGACGCCGGCGAAAATGATCAAGAACACGACCAGCGTGCCGAAAAGCATCCAGACGCAGGCCTTCCCCACGACCCCGGTGGGGGCGGTGGTACTCCCGCCGCCGCCCAGTTTTTTGTTGGGCGGCAGCAACGGCGGAGCGACGAGGGGAACCATCCCCATTCCGTGCGTATCAAGTGCAAATATCTCTGGGTCTGGGAGATTGCGATATTTGCCATGCTAGTCTGGTATGACCCGGAAATAAACCTGTATTGCGTGGCCACGAAGAGCTCTTCTCGCCTGTCCTGCAAAAATGCAGTTTCTCATGCGGAGTACGCAACTCAGAACCACGGAAAAACTTGTCATGCTGGGCACCGCATTTTTACAGAGTGGTCGCTCGATCCTTTCTTGCGTCACAAGTTTGTTCCAGACCCAGACATATTTGCAATGCATAGTTCGTGCCGTTCCGCAGTAAATCGGCGGCGGCCTTGGCGGTGCCGTCGTCGATATCCTGCAGCTATCAAGTGCAAAAACGTCTGGGTCTGGAGGGTTGGAGCTTGTGATGCTAACTCTGGACTCTAGAAAAATCTGTATTGCATGACCAGCAAGAGGAGTCTGCTTTGTGCTACGCGGAGAGGGCATTTCTCATGCGGTAGAGGCATCACAAAATCCTCTAAAAATCTGTGATGCTTGGGCATGCATCACAAACATCATGGGTCATTCAAAATATGCATGACAAACTTGACAATCTTCCAGACCCAGACAGTTTTGCAGTTGATAGCAGCAGCCGGGCGGTGGGATTTTTCGCGCTCGCGGTGTCTTCCCCGCTTTCCTCCGAGGTGTGCGTGTTGTCATGTACGGCGACGAACTCCGCCGTGCCATGCCGACTTTCACGAAGCATAATATCCTGAGGAAAAACGTCCCCACCCCATAGTTAGGTTGGAATCTCTGCAACACAAATCCTGGAGTTTTGGGAATCACGCATGACAAGTTTCTCGCTGTATTGTAGTGCTGGTTAGCAAGGACAGCTGCATGACAAAGCCATCCCCTTATCCTGTTTGCAGCACTACAAATGCCAGAACACGATTGAAAATGCCTCTCTGGGGGATGCGCATTACAAATGTTCCTGTCCTTGCAATTCTGCATGACAACTCTGGGGTGGGAACGATTTTACTCAGGATACATGTTGACGGAAAAGATTTTTTCCTGCTAACTCCTCGTGCTTGCTTCCTGGGGTTGTGACTGCGAGCAGGTGTAGTTGCTGCTGTTTTTACTGCTTCTCAAGTGAAAGTGTTGTGGCAGTGAAAAATTTAATGGTGTAGATAAAATTTACAAAACAACAGAGATTTATTCGGGTGGTTGTCAAGTCTTTCGATTACGTTCTCTTGAATTGATGGGGCTGATATTAGTACAACAGAGGGTGTTGTTCGTTATTTGATCAAAAAGCAAGAGTAAGTAGAGAAAAGCAAAACAAAGTGACGTCGTGGTGGTGCAACAGAATGATAAAGTCGTGCGAATAAAATTCTTTAGGTATCAATAATCGACGAGTGTAGGGGCAGTAAGCTTCACAACGCCTGTGAGAAACGAGCGAGGAGGGGAAGAAGCGGGAAATTGCAGTTTCAAAGAATCAGATAGAACCATAGAAGCTCCAAAAGCACACAACTGCTTTTGTGCAACATCGACGCATTTATTTTAAGTACAACGAAGCCGCTACGACGCTAGTGCACCACATGGAGAACGATTATCATGAGGTGGACGATACGGTAGAGGAGGTCAAGCCGAAATATTATTGTTTTCAAAACCGACCTACGCACGATAGAAGACCGAACGAGGGCCAGAGGAACGGCTGGCTGTGATAGTCTAAGTTGACCGAGGTGAAAGCATGATTTTCAACGACGGGCACTACTCAGTCCTGAAAGCTAACGTGAGGAAAGTGACCGAGCACGAACGAGTGACCGAGCACGAAGATAGTTGTGCAGCTATTCACCCAGCATTTCTTGTAGGGCAAAGACAACAAAACCCAAACAAGCGAAACCAACAACCGCGGTATGTCATAGCGGTTGTTGTTCACCGAGGGTGGTGCACTAGGAGCAAGCGACGACTACCACCGAGGGGAGGGGACCGAAGGGCCGTCTACGGTTGTTCTTTTTGTTTTTACGCGAACTCTGCAGTACAGGAATAGCAGTGCCCGCCGGCTGCTTGCAAAACTGCCTGGAGTCCCGCCGACGAATTTCTCTAGCGCTTCTGTTTTTCAATTTCGGGGCCTGGAGAATTTTTATACAGTTGTGTTCTTGTAAAGCCGGTACATACTGTAAGTACAATTGTAAGATTGTCGATAAAAACCTTTGGCAAAAATCTGTGATGAGGGACATGTGATGAGGGACAACGCGATAGAAATCTTTGTGGGTCGCCGTGAAAAAAAAACTCTTCATGTACTTGCACTCTACTTCTACTACTACTTTTGCTGACGGATTACAAAGCGGCCGCTTACTTTAAGGTTTTTTTACCTATGGATTGGCCTGCCGTTTGTTACTTCACCCGTGTGCCTCCCCGTCGCAAACGTCCTCTTCTCTACTTGTAGTACTTTGTGGTTGTCTTTGTGGTTGTGCCAAGATGGTCGGTGGAAAAAAATACTTGAAACACGACAACTTCAGAGGAACAGGAGCACATCGTCGGGCGGAGCTGTCGGGAAACTACGGAAAAAAAACATTGAAATTTAAGTTTGATGGAAGTTCTGGGACCATGCAGACGTGGATGGTGTTTGAAATTTTAGTACAGTTCGTTTACAGATCGTAAACCTCTTGAAAATTATCAAATCTTATCGGAAAAAGCTCTGACGTCGACCTCGTGCTGTGAACTACGAGAGGAGTACAACATGAAAAATTGAAGTTTGTCAAAAAGCTTGTGTATGAAATTCAAGTTTATTCTTGGCACAGCATTCTGGCTTCGACGGCGCATGTTGTGATGCATTCACTTCAGTATCAGTTGCAGTTCTTCTTCAGAATAATAAATCTTCACGGACCACAGAGCGGAAAGTGAACCTTGTTCGCTGGGAAAAGAAGATCTTTTCATCGAGACCCTTCTTCACCCTCCAGAGGAAAACAGCTCCTGCAGCACCCGATTCCAGTTTCGATGTGAATTTTCATGACGCAACGTTGGCCACTGCTTGCCTCAGTCGCAAGAGCCCTTGTCCGCCGCCTTTTATTATGCAAGTGAGGACAAGAACAAGCCACCCGTCGTCCCCCGTTTGTCATTTGAACAGCACTGAGAAGAAAAGACAGAAACAAGAAGACCGAGAACACCGAAAAAATGAAGCATAATGTTAATCTTAATTTTGATTTTCACTCACCTAGTACATCATGGAAAAAATATTGAAGTATTGTTCATGAGCTCCTCTGGCCTGTTTCGCTATATTACATTCGGGATGAATCAAAGTACCTTGTCATGCAAAATTACTGCCGCAAGGTATTATCTCAGGGAGGTCTTTGCAGCATCACAAATGACTGGGACGGGGGCTCATCGAATAATTGTCCAGTATCATACAGCGGTGCTCGTCCCGGGCTTGCCTCCCGCAGTGTTCAGGATTTGTTGAGACGTATGCATTTTGCAAAAGCATCGTTGTACTAGTGACAACATGACAATTTTTTTCTGAAGCAAAATAAATGCCATAATTCATAAAAATGCTAGATCGCCGATAGCAGTAGACAAGGAGCTCCTGCGTCACGCATGCTTGATTTTTGTACGAGAGTACGACACTTTTGCACCGGATACGACGCCTGGACTTGCATTTTCAGCTCCTGCGACACATTCGGGTTGTTCAGTTCTTCCTTGTTGAACGACTCTATGCACGGAAAAAGCATCATACAGGTAGTTGGAACCGCATTTATACACAACTTCTTTCGTCCATAATATTCAACAAGAAAGTGGTACAACTTGTGACCCACTCTAAAAAGGGCGGGTCGTCGGGCCATTAGAAAAAAATGAGTCCGCCTCTGCCAATGGCTCGGTACTCCTAGTTGTAGAACTTCAACAGCAGGGGAGATGATGAAATTGGATTAACCATCTACTTCCTGATTCAGTTCGGAAAGTGAATGAGTCTCTATCAACATCTGTCCTGCACAAGATATTACCACTGCAAAAATGTGTCCAACTAGCGGAGATGAAAACTTTTGCGCCGGATATCGCGGGGCCCCGCGCCGCCGTGCCTCGCCCGCGCTTCTTCCACTTTGAGCTCGAGAAGCGACTCATCAGCGTCGGCTCCATCTTGTTCGCCTTGCTTCTTCCCCCCCAAAGAACCGGGGTTTTGTGCAATGTATTTCGCGACTCTTCTCGCGTCGTCATCCGTGAGTTGCTTTGCGTCCACCTCGTTGTCTGGGTCCCCAAACTATCAACTGCAAATATGTCTGGGTCTGGAAGAGTGTAAACTTGTCACGCAGGTTTTCCATGACCCATGAGGTTGAGCTCTGGAATGCGGGACCTAGCATGACAGACTCTGTGAGGTCTCTGTCATGCTTATGAGGAAGTCGCTCCCAACTTGGTCGAAAGTGGACAGCTTTTGGCACTGATGCAACAGCAACACAGATTTTTGCTATAGCATGACAAGTTGCAATCTTCCAGACTCAGACATGGTTGCAATCCATAGAAACATCGCCTCGATGACTGCATCCGTCGTCCACGCGATCCCCGCTGAAGCCATCTGCTGCGCTGCCGCCTGGACAGTCGGATTTGTCGCAAGTTTGCCAAGCCACTGGATGGCGGTATCGCCCATGTTGCGCATGCGCTGCCCCTCCTTGTTCTGCTCCCCGACGCGAACTTTGTGCTGCCCCACCCCGACATCCAAAAACGAGGGCTCCTTTTGCGCCGCCGGCCTGCTCGCCTCCTTCCCCTGCTGCTCGGGGGCCGGATTGGGTTTTATCCTGTGTGAATAAAACGAGGCCCAGCAAACCCCGTCAAAATGTTGGCAGATTTGCGTACACAAGCCAAGTAGTTTCGGCTGATCATGCGCATGACATCACCTTTATTGCCTCTCTACCTCTAGTGCACCTGCAGCTGCACCACACTCGTGGTTATCATAGCATTCGAAAAATGTTTCTCATGGAGCTGCTGGCACGAGACACAATTTGCATATACGAATGCATATCCAGATTGGTATGACAAAAATGGGATGATGTTGGCAACGTTCGTTTGACAAAGGATAGCAGCTCCGTCGCTTCCTTGGTCCGCGTTCTTTCCCTCCGTCTGCCCGTCGGACGGTAGTTTCAACGCACCCACTTCGGGCACGGCGCGGGGCAGCTCTCCGCCCGGTAGTTCCGTCCCGGTTTGTTCGGTCGGAGTTGTGCTGTCCCGGCGCGCCAGAAATTTTCCCCCGCGCCCCGGCTTCTTCAGACTCCAGAAAGGCGAAGTATGGGTTGCAAATATTGCCTGCTGTTGTACTGGGTGCTGTAGAACGAGGGAATTGCAAAAAGCTAGAGACAGGAGGAGAAAACGAAAATCTGTTAAGCGTGATGCGACAGGCCACATTTTTGTCATGCCGCGGCAAAAACGGATTTTATAGCCATGCGATGACCGGAAGAGTGAGACGTCGTTACACCGGAAATAAACCTGTCATCCGCTGTAGCCCCGAAGAGGGGAAGCAATGACTAGAGCAGTGTCACTGTCATCCACTAACCCATTTTTCGCATCACAACTGTACTATTTCAGAAAGACACCGCCCAGCAGGCATATTCTATTTGCGGTGGGTATGAAGTGACCTTCACCAATTCGGCCAGCGGAGGGAACTGTTTTATTTTAATATCGGGTGCGGCTCATGTACACTTTATCATTATCTTTAAGAGGGCCTACTGCAAGGAATATTGTTTGGGAAAATATTTTTAAACCTCTACATCAAGATCCGAATCGCATGACTTTGCAATAGTATTATCTAGCATGGGCGGTCGCTCCGCGACCGCCGGAGAGGTATAGAGTAGACAAGGAGGCGATGGACCCGATTTCCTAGTAGGAAGGTTGCAGAAGTCGCGGGGAAGGGGAGGGGAGGGGGCGAAAACTCTACAGGCGCAGGGCTTTTCCGGGCGCCTGAGCCCCGCCCCTAGAGAAAGACAAATGCGTGACAGCCGCCCGCCCCGGGCCCCAGGAGCAGGGGAAGCTCCGGGAAACAGAAAAAACGCCCGGGGCCACCCCAACGTGGGAGGGGGCGAGCATTCCGGGACGTTGCCAACTTGCGAGCACCCCCTCCAAGTTGCGAGCCTTACGGACGGCTACTCGTCTTGTAGTTACGCCCCCAAGGTGGTGGGGCTGCATCTGACGGGGCCCACCGGGCCGCAGCTGCGAAAACTGCGCGACCAAGAACCTGGCCGGCCAGGCAGGTGCAGCCAACACAGTGGGGCTGGGCGCGGTGTGTGTGAGGGCCATTCGGGGCAACAAGAGCTGACGCGTTTTTCTTTGTGCAGGGCGGCGGGAGCATCCACACGAAGAGGGGGCCACCCCCGCGAGGCGAAACGTGGCGACCCAAACAAAGCGCA